CGCCCCAGGGGTGTCATTTATAACTATATATGTATAGTTAAAACTTAAAAAATCTTCTTTTAAGAAACCCAATTAGCTAGAGCTTAGATGTTTAGCATGAAACATCTTCTTATGGGTGTCTACCAAGTTTGTTCAAATAAGAGCCCTTGGGTTAAAATCGGCCCTGCGGGGGGGGGGCTATATACAGGTGAGCGACTTCAGGGCCATCATGGCCCTCTTGTTTATTATTTTATTAGTATTATTATTATTTGTTTTTGTTTTGTTTTGAGACATCAGTCTTATATAGACCAAGACCATAGACAATATGCATAGTATAAAGGTCTTAAATTTTGTTAGATTAAATAATATTTTATTCACTAAATTCACAAAATATCTTAGAAATTTCATTTGAGTCAATGTTAATTATCTTAAGTACATTAAGAACTTCTTTAAAGGCAGGCTAATGCCTCAGAAAGGAATAAATCTTTAGGTTTAAATATCAGTTTTATATCTTCATTAACTTAAATGCATTACATCTATGGTTGAAGACATCTGATACTTAAAATTTACAAAATATGACAAATTTCTATCAAAGAGGGTCTAAAATAAAGAATTGCTCTCTTCAAAATCACTTAAGTATATTGCTCATATGAAATTGTGTACAAGTTTTCATGATTTTGACATGTTGTTTACATATACATTCAACTATTAAAATGATCTTAAGAACCCGCTTTTATCTACTTTGGAGTTCTATTATCAATATTTAAACATCTTTATGAACTTGTAAACTAAAGCAAATAAAGTAATAAAGTTTTAAGGCCTCTCTTTGGTCGTTGGAGAAATTCTAAAGCATCGTGTTGAATTGATTTGAAAAGTGTTTGAAAAATCACAAATTTGTTTAAGATTAATAAACACTGAAAGTGCGAGAGCTGTAGTGGCAATTTTAATATTTAAAGAAATATCTTATTAGATTATTGTTTATATGAAAATAAAGTGCAGATTTTATTGACTGAAATCATATTGATACTGAAGAAGTTCACTAAAAATTTCTCATTTTTAATTTGTGTCTTTTGTGACAATTTAAAGTGGCATATGCCTGCAGAAGAACTGAACAAATTTTGTTTAATCAGATTAAGGAAACATATAATAATGAGTTTAAGAGATAAATAACAATTCACATTAGTTTGTATCAGTATGTATAACCTTTGCCCATTGATCCGGAACTAAACATGATTTAGTCTTTGCCACTTGAGTATGTAAGAGCCAGCCTTCACATTCTGTGCAGTGTGGCCACTCACTGGCCCTATACAGTTGGTCACAAGTTCAGGTTTTGTATCTAAATGTAAATCTAAATGAATCAATTAAGTTTCATCATTATGTTCTGAATGCAGCATGAATCCATTTCACAAAATTCAGCTATGTGGTGTACAGTGTAAGTCCTTGTTTCCTTGAAAAAGAAACTGTACACTCATTGCTCAGTACTGTTTGGTTCGAAAGTGTGTCTTAAGCTTATAGTTTCCTAGACAATCAAACTAAAATAAATTCTGTATAAACCAAATTCAGGAGGTTAATACTTAATGCAAAATATGATGGTCTGAATATCAGGGTTAATAGGAGCTACATTGTAAATTACATATGATTTAACATGTTACTGAAAATAAGTATCTGTGAGTAGCAAAAGTTGATTGATTGATTCATTCCAATGAGAATATATTTTTATTTAGAATCTTTTTTATTAGAAAAAAAGCACATTATCCAGATAATTTTTGTTATTATTAATTTATCAATTTCATAATTGATTTAATAAATATAATAAACAATACACCATAACATTTTTTTTAAAATAAGGTTTAAGTGATAAAAACAGGTTTATTTTTATTGATAAAAACACAAAAATAACATTAAAAATACTTACATGAACATATTATTTTGAATCATGGCCCTTATATACATGTAATCTTGGTTTTTTTATAACCATTTGCTGCCAATATCTATGTCTTAATACTTCTGATGACAAAAATCGCAAGAGCTAGAGCTTAAATATTTGGCATGAAACATCACCTAGTCAGTGTCTACCAAGTTAGTTAAAAAAAATGCCCTGGGGTGAAAATTCGCCCCACCCCAGGGGTCATTGATTTTCCTTATATGTGTATATGTGTAAAAAAATATCCTTATAAAAAAACTATATTAATATACTTATTGCTGTTGTTTTTTTATAGATGTTTATAATAATACTATAGACAAAGTATTAACTTTGGCTTTCTTGATGTTACAATATTAACCATTTGTTTGTTTCATATATTATTTTTGTATTGTGTCATTTTAAAGTAACCCAGCCCCCACCCTCAGGAGATTAAATGATAGACAGCATTGAAAAAATGAGCCAGAGCTTTACTGTCTATCTGTCCTGAACTGTCAAACATCTGTTCTGTTCTGTTCTGTCAAACCAATGAGATGGTTTTATTTTGCTGTCTTAAAATAATGGAAAACATTAACTTTGTCTTGCAATGCGATCAAGGCAGTTAGTCTAGATTTTACATATGAAGTCTGTCTTGGCTGTGTTTGCCCTTTTAACTGTGGTAATAATTAGACCAAAAGTCAATGTCTGTAGTACTCTTTCTTTGGCTGGGATATGGGGTAGCCGGGCTGTGGTTGCTGAAAAAACTGGTGCAAAATTATTAACGATTTAACACGATTGACATTAATACTTTCCAGCAACGGAAAAAGCTGCTTGAGCTAAGGGTAAAATATTTGCATGCAGTATTGATTGTTAACATATAATTAGCCTTGATATGTATTATATGCTTTAAGAGTTTCTAAATTATATATTTTATATTTTTTGTTAAAACTAAATGTATTCATCCTTAAACTTAGTGTAATATTTATTCCCCCTATTTTGAAAAATAATGTATATCATGTAAATATGCATGCTTTTAGTTTAAATAAATGATTGAATATATATATTTCGTGGTTAAAATTGGTCTCTTTCTTTATTAATTACATATCATGCAATATTATTTGATTTCTAATTTCACTGTATAAAAATATGTTAAAGTTGGCATAAAAATTGAAGTTGAAATTTGAATCATAAGTTAAACACTTATGGAGCAAAAGAAAAGAATATAATTATTATTAAGAGTGTGGTTTAATCCAAAAGCCAAGGTTTTTAAAATTTAATAGTTACTTCTTTTAATTTACAGAAGTTATTTTTGGCTTATTTTATAGCCGATATTCGGTCATATTCAATTTGAAAATAGTATATTATTTTCCAAATCCACAAGAAAAAATTCCCAATTGAAAGTTATATAATAAAAATATTGAAATATAATTATTAAATCTTTGAAAATAAGGGTTTCTTCACCGTCATGGTGCTTAAAAGCCTGAAGATGCCATCCTCATGATAGCCAGTGATTCTTTGCATTTATTTAATCACTGCAAAATTTAAGTCTTGCAATTTTTTCCCAATTTTTAACAAAACATCGCTGAAATTCCCAATGCTATGGGTATGGGTTATGTTCCCAAAATCCTGGGAAAAAACGCTGATTTAGATCATTTCTCAGTTATCTTTTAATGGCGGTATATATATTAGCCAATTTTAATCGAAATCATGCAACTCAGTTTTACTTTTGATATTGAATTTAGTGACCAAATATTTTAGGTCTATAAATAAAATGCATGTTTAAATAGTGATGTTTAAATTTAGCCATATATAGGTATATTAAGTTACATATTGTGAATGTATATAGGTCAAATTTATAATATGAAATATATATTAACCCAAGAATAGTTTATTCGTAAATATATCTATATTCATGATATATATCCCTCGCATGACAAGTTGTTTAAATTGATATCATTTAAATAGTGATCGATTAAGATAACAATGAGATTGTATGAAGTAATCATTAAATATTGCCAAAATATAGTAAAAATGCCAATCAAGATCTTTTGGTTATATGATTATTAGTATGAATTAAATAATACTTTCAATGATTTCCTTATTATATAGAGGATATTTGTTTGTTTCAGTGTAAGATCGAAAAATATTTCACCGAGTGAACACCAGATGCAATATTTTCCACGAGTGGCGTAGCCACGAGTGAAAATATAATAGCTGGGGTTCACGAGTGAAATATTATTTGATCTTACATGTAAAACAAACAAATTTTCTGTTTATTTCATGATTTTTTAACGATTTTTACACCATTTTACTGATTTTTGCCGCGTAACGTCATGCTCTTATCTTCATGACGTCATCAAATAATGACGTCACAATGTTGAAGCAAAATATAATTCCATGATTATTTTTAGATTTTAGATGTTTTTCAGCACAACGTTCGTAAATATTTACGAACTACAGTTATCACGTACATTTTTTATTATGATTGACTACATTTCCGCTGAAAAGACATTCATTAATGATAAATATTTTATTTTTACGCCAAATATAGTTCGGCTACTGTGAAATTATATTTGGTAATCATTACTGTGAAATTATCAGAATATAATTAACCGTTATAATTCAGTAATCTACTGCAAAACATGTAATAAAAAGACTGCAAACTTAAGATTTCAGAAAGTTTTCCATTTTGTTAATTTTTTTTGTTAACTTCAACTTTCCTACAATTTTCATTTGCTTTTATTATTGCTCTTATTATAAGTACAAAATACACTTCTAGTTTAATATACTCTAAATTATACTTTATACTGACTGATATGAAATTTATGTCTAAGTAAGTCTTATGTCTAAGCACTGTCTCTGAGTCAAATATGAGTTATAAAGTAATTATTCATTATAGATTTTCATATTTTTCGTGCAACATATTTCTTAGTTTTTTAAAACACAAATTAATTTCAGCTTAATGATAGATTTCTAAAATAGAAAATAAATAAGGTTAATTACTATTGTATCACTGTAACATAAATATTAGTTTATTTTTACACAATATAATTGGGGAAAAACAAGAAAAGTTGTATATATGAATACAAAATGTTATATTTTTAACTTTTTTAATTTTCAGCAAAAAAGATCCCCAGGTCAAGTTTATGAGACTCGCGCCTCCTTGTTAAGGACATACCAGAACCCTGTTGATGCTGACACATTATGGCAGATGCCCAGGTTTACCAAAGAAGTAAGTTCAGAGAATCATGTGGTTAATAATTTTTCATGGCTGAGTGGTTAAAACATCAGTCTAGTAATCTAATGATCGCTTGCCGCATGAGTTCAAACCCGTCAGGGGCAAGTCATTGTTGACTCGGGCAAGAAACTTTATACTCATTGCTCAGTACTGGTTGGTTCCAGGAACGATTCAAAGGTGTGTCTCAATTCCTACACAATCAAACTAAAATTAATTCTGTATAAACCAATAATTTGAAACTTAGAATGGATGAATACTTTTTGTCACTAGTAAAGGGCCAATTGCCTGCCTCAAGTGTGTGTTATTTGACAAGGCTATGTGGTGACCAGTATTAGACTAGACTGTTTAAAGTTCAAAACTAGGCAAACTTATAACACAAATTTAGCAGTAAAAGGGTTAAAAAAAAAATTTTTATATGCTATTAATTGAAAGATATGAGTATTTAAATAATTGTAGGCAAGACGTTACTTTCATATTATCTTAAGATATTTAAGACGAGATTGAAACACAAAAATCTTAGGCATGTGAATGCATTAATAATGTAAAACATCTTTATATTTGGATATCATTGTAACTTAGTTTTAGTATGTAACACCACCATTCAGGATGACAGCAATATATATTGAAATTTGATTTAAATTCATTGATCAACATTATGTAAGGTGTAATTTACATAATTCATAAATCATTTTGAATAAAGAAATCCCAAATGAACTTGGTTAAACTGTAAAAAATATGAAAAGGTTTCAGCTGCTCAATTTATTAACCCAAAAAATTGATCAAATATATGCAATATTTTTCTCAACAGCATAAAATACAAATTTTGGGAAGATTTATTGAAACTTTTTAGTTAAATGATTCTTTAAAAGTATTTTTGTTATGGTACATTGACTGTAAAACATGAAATGTCTCATTGTGTCAATTTTCCCCACGCTGGTTTATATTGACTCCAGAGAAAAGAATAAACAATTTTGCCAATGAGACTGTGTAATGTATTTGATTTGAAATACTTTTCAAAATAAGGCCCTTTTCATAAAAGTTTTCTATGCAGCCTATTAGATTTTCTTTTAAAGGCACATTATGCTTCAATTGTTTTTTCTTCTTTGGAAAGGACAAATATGAGTTTTATAACATTTAAATAATGGTTAACGGCATCTTAGATGCTTATCTCCTTAATAATACAGCGATAAATGTGAAATAATTTGTCATAAAAGTAGTATTTTAACTTCCATACAAAATACTATACTAGATCATTGTAATAACTGTTCTTATTGCTAAAAAGAGACAGACACAAATGATGGTTTGGGTAACTGGCCAATGAGTAACTTTTTTGAAAATACAACAGGACACAAAAAATAAAGGCTTTTGAGAATTGAAAATAAAAGCATTTCTAGGGCATAATTGGCCTTTAAATGGAATTGTATAATCTTTCTATGTGGACAAAGCCATTTTTTAATGGAAATTTTCAAAAAGAACTGCCACTGAATAGCAAAAAGTGCAGACCATGAAATGCCGACATAATGTTGGGTGTTCTGGATGATTTTGCACTGCTTGCATGCATGGTTGAATCACTTGCTGCCAGGCCGATGAGGGTTAAACCCAAACAAGCTTTAAACTTATAATACTGCATTGGCATGCCATATTGCTAAGTGGATATGTGACAATTTCACAATTTTCACCTTGGTTAGGAATTAGCTAAGTGCTTGATACATTATGGCAAAAATATTTAGATTAAGTAATTAAACCCTGTTCCAAAGAATAACTTGTTTTCTCTCTGTACATTACAGGCAAGACCAAGCCTCCAGACTTTCAGATCAGCTCAGGCAAGAAGATCAGCTTACGACAACTTTGATTCGGACAAAATCTCAAGAAAAGGCAATTTCGGACATGGAACATATGAATCTGCAAAGAACTAACTATTTTTTTTAACTAGAATTTATTTATAGTGTAAATCAAAACTGTGATAAATATATAAAGATTAAGACTGAATCTGTTACAATTTTGATTACCGTCCTTTCCAATATATTAACGTTAAACTATAAGAGTGTGAAACAAAGCTCACACTTTCATTTTCTTTTGAGAAAGTGCAGTTTTGTTGTTAAGAAGAAGAAAAAATGGTCTAAAAAAATTTGTCAGTTTCTTCTGATTCAATTTTTCATCGAGGCAAAGCAAAAGAATTGGTTACTGTATACCACAAACAAATATTTGAAGACATTTTTCTGAAGCTCAGTATTCACTGGAAGTTACACTTACTTTGTATTTTTATATTTTCTCATTTTAAAATACATGTGATGAAACAATGGTTCTGTAAGATATGTAGCAGTATTGTCACCTTTTACTTTTACAACTCAGAATTATTAGCTCAGTATTATAGAAGGCTATTATTCCACCTTTAAATACTCTTCCAGAAAATATGAGTTACCTGTTGCATAGACAGTATTGTTAAAACATTAATTGCTTGTTGTTTTTTATTTTTATAAAAGGATAGCAAAAAAAAGTATTTTGTCATCAGAAATTAGCAGTATTTTTAAATTCAAATTATTTTGGCAATATCAGGAAGTTGTAGCAGCCTAGAAAAAAAAACGAAATATATCACAAAATGTAAATTTAATTCAATACTTGAAAAAAATGTGATTTTTTTTAACAATCTTAATAGTTTACTTCCATATTGGCTCAAAAATGGTGTTTATCATTTCATTCCTATGTTTAAATTTTTCATATACTTGATATTTTATATCATTCTATATTACATGATCAAATATATAACAAATTATTGTTATAAAGGAAAGAGTAGATATAGCTCAACAGATTAATATCTGTAATTATCCTAATTTTATGATATTAAATGCGTTTTAGGTAAAAAAAAATGACATACTACTGCTGCTTAGAACTCGGATTAAGAGCTGCTGATGATTTTTGGGAAAGTTTATGTTTAAAAAAAACCAAGCTCGCCCAGTTTGTTAAAGAGTTATTAAAGAGTTTTTTCCTCCCTCATATTTACTGTTTTTAGATAATTGCCATATATGTAAATATGCTCATCACTATGTGTGTGTGTGTGTATTGTAGTGTGTTTTCATTATTGTGTTAAGCAATATTATGACTTTACACATTCAAAATATGCATGTTTTACACATGCATAGATTTCCTTCCCATTCTTTTTCAAACTGTGATTCGTCTTTTTTTTTAAACCAGTATTTATATATATATTTTTCTTTCTTATATTATCAAACACTGAACACTACATTTTATAATTTATTGAATTTGTATACTGTTTTATTTATTTTACCCATGCAAATAAAATATTGCCTTTATTCACAGCTGTGGAGAAAACACTTTCAGAAATAAATAGGCATTTCATTTTTATTTTATTTTGAAAGTATATTTTGTCCTCCAGAAACAAAGTTTGTAAAAAAAACAATATTGAGTATTGATTCACTTCACAGAATTAAATGGGATCAAAAACTGTTTCAGAAGTTTTGAATATGAACTTTTTATAGGCCAACCAAATTTTGTTACATTTTACTTATACATTTCCAATGGCTACTTGTAACTATAAGTGCTGTAGTTTCAAAGTTGTAACATTCTAGTCTTTCGTACGTAGTTTTAGAAAAATATACAAATAAGTAAACAGAGGTTTAAGTATTAGGAAGAAAAAAACATTGAAAGATCGAAACATAATACGTCATTCAAAATCTCTACCTCTATTTTCATTTATGTTACATGTCAATGTTGTACCATCTTTAAAATATTTTGAATTACAATTTGTATATATAAATATACATCGGAATTCAAGAAATGGTCAAAACTAATCGCTGTATAAGATGAATTTTCACATAGATTTTTTTCTAAATTTTGAAATAGCTAAAATAATTTAGATCTGGTATGAAACGGCATTGTATAAACGTAGGTTAAAATTACTAGAATATAGAAGCTATAGTCTTCACTGTAAAGAAACCTTCACGTGTAGTGAAAAATATTCAAGATTTAGTTCTCTCCTTAATTTATGAAGACAATTCATAAAAATAGTGAATTACCATTCCATGTTTATTAACAATGAACATCTTAATTTCATTTCTTTAATCTGATAGAAAGTTATCATATTTTTTACAAAGTTACGACACCAATAAGATATGATTAAAAGAATATAATATTTATAATAACTCTTTTATCAGGAAATAAATTGCATGTACACCTCTTCCCTTAAGAAGAAAAAATTAATTATTTAGTTACTAGAGTTTTTGTTAAAAAAAATTTTGTAATAGAAGAAACTAGGTATATGTCATTATTTGTACAAAATGTAGGTAGAGTAGAAAGGTATTTTTGGACTGTGATATTCTGTATAGAAAACTGCAACTACATCGTTTGTGATACATTCAGTGTCATCGCATTGAAACAAAATAAAATATTGTTGAATTGTATTTTGTTCTTATTTTTGTATTCTTGTGTTAATTTTAAAACAAGGTGTTTTTCTATTTTTGTATTGCAAAGATGTAATAGTGTCCTTAGTTTTTATCCGGAACTCGGCAAATGTAGGTTTTCCAAAGCTAATCTTCCTGTACAAACAATCTTTTACCGTTACAGCTTCACGGTGCACAACCTGTCACAATAATTTAACCAAACATTCTGTAAATGTTTGTTTGTACCCTAGAATTGGCTGGGAAAAACATTAAATATTCTTAATTCCTGAGTAAGTGTTATTCAAGCGACATTTATGTAAACACATAGGCTGAAAACCTTCACAGTGGTTGGCTTAAAACAACTTGTCCCTTACCACCGTGGACCAGGGACTATAATTAAGATTTTCATTTATGGAAGCTATCGAGCTAACTTGAGTTACGTCGAGCTAACTTGATTTATGTCGGTGGTTCTACTCTTCTACTCGTGTGCCTAACTCTGTGTCTGAAATACTACAATAATGGGAATATAGGGCCTTCATCCACCTGTAAACCTTTTATGCTTAGGATTCCCAATAAAAGTTCGAGTGACCAGAAACCTAGAAAAATAGTGGAAACTTAATTTTAACGTTTGAATATCTGTAAAACCGTACCCCTAAAACTATTACAAATTCAAAGCAGGACAAAACATTTTCAAACTCAAACTTAGTCTGAGTAAAAAATACTGTGAAAAAACATTTCATAGATGTAATAATGTAATTAAGTGATGACAAAAACAAATTTTGCCAGTCTTTGTGTGCAAAACAAAAAATTCCTGGCAAGAAGATTTATTTCCAGATGATTAATGGCACAAGCGTGTACGACACGATGCTACTACTACGTTACCATGACAAATATGGAGAATAAGGGGTCCGTTTTATTCACCCGTGCTGCAAGCAGCCTTGAAAACTAGTAACGGTGCTCATCTCGATCTAGCTTCACATCATAATTTTAGATCTATTCCCAAGACTGAAACATAACTATCTCACCTATTTAAAACAAAATCTTTCTCTTTGTTAATTCCTACATTTTACAGGCCCTTGATCTACTAACCGGTGTGTTCCATATCCTACTGACAGCACTTGTTACATTTTACAAGAGTTTTGGAGGGATTGTTTAAGTACGACTGATGAATCCGAACAGTTATATATTACTATCCGTGTGTTAAAATTGGCTAAAATGCGAGGCATTTCTCCATATAATAGTCAATCGATCCTTATTTTTGCTAAAAGTCAGTTATAAGGTTCAGCTAGAAGCTATAGATAAAGCGTTCCAATAAAAGGTCAGCAAAGCAGAAATTTAACATACAATTTTACATAGTTACTCGTACTTACATTATTCGGCATCTTGTAAAAGAGCTTGACCACGGAGAACCCCAATGCATGGTAACGAGTAAACATTGGAACCACTTACTATGGACAAATCTAAATCCCCCAACCCTGCCTGCAATGGGGATATAATAAATAAAAAGGAAACCACATTTTTTGTGTCTAACACATTCGTTATGGTTTTGGGATGCATTTTTCTTTTCATACGTGCATGCTTGCTTACTGGCATAACTGCCGACGTGCATGCTTTCTCTCCTGTTAACACAAACGTACATGCTTGCTTACTTTGATGCTCCATTGCTATTTTAGTGCAATATGAGATGACTAAGTTTTATACACTTTGCAGTTGCACCAATGTATGTCCTATTATTATGTTGTATGACTCCGCTTATTGTCGTTCTAAAATGATAATTTTCCCACCAAAAGACCAAAATTTGAAAGAGGCTTGAAATACTATATAACTAATTTCATCAGATTTATAGATATAAACGAACGATGTATTAATTCATAAATTTATTACAAAGAAAAAAAAGATCAAATAAAATACATGACAAATGATTATTTATACATAAAATGGGGTAAATAATAAAACATCAACAATAGATTTAACAATAACTAAATGTCTTACTTACAAACATTTGGCTACAGATTAAATACGACCAAACATTTTCTTAAATCAAACATAATTTGCAAAAATATGACCGCGAAAACAAACCCGAAACTCCGCCCCCTTTGCAGCAGCCGTCGCAGCCAAATGCTTGTATGTAAGACGTCACGAAGGGTGCAAATCGCGAGGATATGTCTTTAGACATATTTGTCAAATATGGCATTATTTTGTGTCTGCATTTATGTACAAATGACGTATTAATTTTTTTTATGAAAGTGCAGTACAATTATTGAATACGAGAACAAATTTTTTTTTCAGTTGTCTTTCGCATGTTTTTTGAAGTTAATAATGATCGTGCCTTCACAAAACTTTATGATACTCTATGAAACTTTACTTTTTGTCGTCCGACAACTTGTTCATGTTCGGTTTCCAATTAACCTTTAGCCTGCTTACGTTTAGGAATCTCAATATGCGACAAGTGCATACCAAGATCATCCTAGTCATGTGATCATGAATTGCACTGTCCGCTATTCAGTCAGTAGATGAATGGACTTGTGTCCAGATTTAAAGATGGACAAGTTCCATTTGAGTATGGTAAGTATAAATTTATAACGTGTGTACAAATATTAAACTTATTTTAATGCCAAGGATTTCTACTCGCACCAGTTTTCTTTAACTTAGAACGCGGTTTTTTACGTCGTCGCACCATTTCTTCGTATTCCTCCATGAGGCTGCGTTCGGCTGCTCCAATGACTGGGGCGGAATTTGGTGGAGGGTTTGATTCTCCCGTAAGACTCTGATAATATTTTTCCTCCTCTGTTAAAAATTCTTCTGTAGACATATACCGTGATTTCTTTCTTACTGATAAATAAAAATAACATATAAATATAAATTCAATATTTTGTTACAAAAACGTTAAATTTTACGGATTTCATTTTTGCTCATGACTAAGAAATGAACAATCGTGGGCTGTCTTAGCCTAAAATAAATACACATTCAAACATATATTTTGAAAATAAATATTTCATCTCCAATACACTTTGCAAATTAAATAGATAAATTAAGTACTATTATGTATTCACAACAAATTATACAATATATACATGTTCACAATTAATTCTATGAATTCGCTTGCAATGAAAATTTCAAAAATATTGCTCTGATATAAGTCATGCAAGTATACCCCTTTAACGTAACAATATACAGATCCAAATACAATGCATGATAAGTCGATAACAAATTTCTATTTCACAAATTTAGGTGAGTACGTAAGAGAAAGCATATTTTCTGGAATTTGTTTATTCTTTCTTTTCCTCGGGTGTCTATGCAATCAAATCAATATTTTCTTTAACCAATACATGTTTTTATCATCTTTTCAACTGTGTGCTATCTTATTGCCTTCCTTGATACTAACTGTCCAATTTAATTAATCATAAACTTGACAACGCTATGATACAGAGATTGCTTTGAAATAGTTCGGGATGCCGGTCATCTTCGGTTCTGTTGGAAAAGGTAAATACAAATCATATCTTCAAATATGCCATTTGTTATTTCAACAAAGTAATACTTAAGACATAATATTAAACATATAAGTTACAAAATCACACACAAGAAACAATTAATAATGTTTAAACAAAAACGTAACCCAACCAAAATACTGGTGATAAACGTAAAACGTTTATACTGCTTGCTATTCGTTTTTGCCCATAATAATAAAAAAAGTAAAACAAAAAATAAACTTTTAAAACATACGATGTCCTTTAGAAGTGCAAAGTTTCATATTGAGGCACTGATAAAAATCTGTAGTTTATTTTTATCTTAAATTTGTGTATCTATTTTATTTCAAAAGAGGTGGTTTATGCCATGTTGAATTACTACTCTTAAAGAAATACTTACGTATTGATTTCCTAGGTGATGCTTTTGAAGAAATTTTAGATTTCGCCACAGATCTACTTGTTCTAGTAGACCTTTTGGACCTTGCAGATTGCGATGCATCTCCCCAATTACTCATTTCTGCATTCATAAATTCTGCCATACCACCTTCATTGGCGTCAGCTAAAACAAGGTACATTACAATAAAAAAAGTTCAGAAAATGATTTTTTTGTGAAAGCTATCTGTTCACTAAAAACGTAACGTCAAAGGAAAGCTAATCGTGTGCATCCATTAAAGATGTGGCGTCAAAATGAATCTATACGCATGTGAAGCATATCTTTTAAAAACGACTTGCTTGCTATCTGCTTTCAAAAACCTAAGAGGAACTGGTTTTATCTAAAGGTGCCTTACTGTATAATGATTTCCATTATTCCAAACCACTGCAATTTGCAGCAATAATACCCAATGTGTTATAATTTGATCGACTGATATTTATTTACAGCCACAGCATCCACTCAAAGTATGTCTACTAGAACCACTTAAGCCGGAACCAGGTGGCGTGAGGGATGTTGCACTTTTTCATTTTTCTTAATACACAGACTCCAACAAACCGTGTTTGCAATTTTCATGTAATTTTGTTGTGATTGATGCTTCCAATTTTTGTTCTAATGAACTATTTTCAGATATTCAAAACAGAATAACAACAATTGATCAGTAGCCTAGTTTTTAATAAGTATAAGCACCTGCTATAATGCAAACCTTACTCATAATACTAGTACTAATCCATGCCATATAAACTTAAATGTATAACTGAAAAAAGTACATTATACCGTTAATTAGTTTTGTTATAATAATTAAAGCTGAAAAAAACTAAAATAATGAATGTTTACGAAGATAATGACTTGCCGGACCATATCATTGATATAATGGAGCCTGGTCTTCTAAATAATTCAGTATTTCGATATCAAAATCCTTCACTTTATCAATGGACAATTTCAAATTTGAACCAAGGCAAGGTCTTCTTATCGATTAGGCAAACTTTTAGAAAGTCAAACCAGTTATTACCTTGTGTTTCTAATGGTAATACTGTTGTTTTGCTTCTGCTCATTCCTTTTCTTGGTGAAAGTTGTGCACGTCTGGTCACAGATCCTAATCTCGTGTTTGAGGTACTGCGTACGAGTCTTGGTACTGATTTTGAACCATTTTTATTAGAATGTACACTTAAAGCTTTGTAACTTCTTATACTTTTGGTACTCTTAGCTGCAACACTTGGAGCACCGGCGCTTGGTGCACGGATGCTAGGTGCTATTACACTTTTGGAACGGACACTCGAAGCTTTTACACTTTGCGCACGAACACTTGGTGCGTGCACACTCGGTGCGCGAACGCTTGATGCGTATATGCTCTTACTCCGGGTCATTGACTCTTTTCTAAATGATTTGGCATCGAATAAGTCGTCGTCGTCCTTTACAATTGGATATGGACTACGTCCGTCTGTTATAGCCAATGGTTGCTTTACATCACCGTTCATGTAGGGATGGGGCGTCCTTGCACTATTCAGTAAGAAAGACTTCTGTTTTGTTGGTGACCTCATGCTCCTTGCTGTCTTGCTGCCGACACTTCTTGCTGTTTTGCTTCCGAAAGAGCTTATAGGAAGTACGACACCACTGTCCATCTCTAAATTACATATATTAAAATGTGATTTTGAGCGTTAATTTGTTGGGATTTTTTAAACCTAATTTTATCAAATTGTACTGTATTATGATAGCGAAATCAAATGATATTTTGTAAGCTGATCTTAATATTGGGGTCTAACAAAATATTATGTTTTGCAAATAATTTACTTTTTAACAGTATATTTTTGTGTACATTTACTACTTGTCTAGGAAGAAGATTCAAATTTTCAGACCAGCTTTAAAGAAACAGAGTAACATACATAGGTTTTCATAATTTTCCTTTGTGTTCAATCAACTCAACAGAAATGAACAATAAATTGTACCGGAAAATGGGTCCATTGATACAACGCTTTTCCTGTGGGTGAGCCCAACCCAGGACTTTTCTTTAAAGTTGAGATTCATAGAAGTCTCGTTCATTGGATTCATCATGTCTGAAATGTTAGGTATCATAGATGATTTTAATGTCATTTAATTTACAGAAACATTGTTATATGTTAGTGTAAAATACATTGTCATCTGATAAGACTTTTTATTGCTTGCTAGTGTAGCATACGTGTTTGCTTTAGAATGACGTTATGACAGGACGTTGTGATATGTCAACATCTTAAACATATTGATTTCATGCTTAATTTATAATTTCTCTTGAACTTTTCCTAACAGATCTTAGAAGTATGCATGTTTTTATTGTACCTTTCTTTTTGAATCTTCTTGGTGAAACAATAAACTCATTTTCAAGATCTATATATCCCTCGGGTACTCTCTCCATTGAAGCTGGTGCGTCTAATGCAATTGACATTTCACCAAGTGGATGTTCCTCTGTAAACAAAACACACTTCTTAAATATTGACGTGGACATGACGAAAACATGCAAGTGTCATAACATACAAAGTAAATATCTACAGGTGCTGGCACAGTTAAAAGAACACAACCGCTCTGAAGCATATAAAGCAACGCAAGACTTCAAGAATGAAAGCAAGTTTATCATTGTCCAGAAATAAAGTAAAAGAGAGAATTGTTTTAGACCATCGTTTAGACAAATATGTGTCCAGCGATGCGATACAATATTTGGTTTGAAGATTTGACGTAAAAACGGAGTCAGCCAAACCATTTGCTTGCATGTAAATAACCAAAAAAATAAAGTTAAGATACTTTGAATTTCTCAAATTAACTACAATAAAAATAACAAAGACTCTCACCAGATATAAGAACTTTCTTTTCTCGAGCTTTCTTAGTCTCCTCTGTCTTACAACGTTTGTGCAGACATATGATTAAAACTATAAAAGCGACAAGCAACACAAAACAAACTAAAAAGATGATTAACCATATCCAGTTGGTTTTCTTGACACCTGATGGCGGTACACCTGAAAACAAAGTATAACATGCTTTTCAGAATTTCTGTCCACACGTGTGAATGCCCTCAATTCCATTGGTAATGCATATATTTAATTGACATATTAATGACCGAACCCTTATACAATTTATATATACCCAGGTTCGCTTGTTAAATTAACAAATTTATAACATTGTATATTTCTTTATATAATTAGGGTAAAATTCAAATATTTGCACCAGCCGTGTATTAAGATAATAAATACAGGTTGCGAAAATGTAAAAATTGACATAACGAACATGCAGTTGATCTGTCAGAAGTAAAGAAATGACCGTGATCGCATATCAGCATCAGCCGTGTATTTAGATAATCAAGACATGTTGCCAAGATGTAAATTTACATGACGATTGTACAGTTGACCTGTTATAAGCAAATACATGATCACATATCAATAAATGTTTAATACAATATACATATGTCTAAATATGTGTATTTAGTTTTGCAAATAAAATCATTGTAAGAAAGACCTATTTATTACATAATTTGGCATATGATTATTCTTATCAGAATGCAATATTAAAGTGAATGGTAAATAAACCAAACTTATGGTGTATGGGGACTTTATTAAAAGAGTTGGTGGCAAACAAGATGATAAAAGAAAAAAAAGTATCTTGAAATATCTGTTAATGACACCTCCGTGTTAAATATGTGTTTAAAGTACTGTTAGAGATCGTACGAGGCCCGTTCGGGTAGAAAAATGGTCAAGCAGTTAAAACAATATGAGACAGAATTTCTGTAAAGGTTAGATTAAGTGTAAGAAAAAGAGTGAACATGTTTGAGTGTAAAAAGCAAAGAGCTTTAAAGAAAAAGAAATCAAAGTACAGTGGACTGTGCATAACAGTAAACGTGAGTGTATATGAACAAAGATAAAAATCACACATAAATATGATATATTGCAAATCCGAGGGTTCACAGCTTCAACGAATTTTGTTGTATAAGTAACAATAAAAATGGTGACGAAACTAATGCATGTATATGAAACAAAATGCACAACAGAGGAGACAGTAATTGCTAAAGTGCTGCACCAAATAATTAGTAGTGTTGCATTCATTTATTTATTTATTTATTTATTTATTTATTTATTTATTTATTTATTTATGTTAGATACCATCCATCCAAGTCCATCTACGTGTCTCCTAATATATCAACAATCAGACTATTTGACTATTTGTCAACCAACAAATGACTAATATGTGCATCACTTCATTTGTAATAACATAAAACCAATTGCAACAAACACAAAAAACACCATTTCAAATGTGATTTATTCTTTCTTTACATGTATCTGAAATAGAGAAAGCAATAATAAGATAATGTCATATGGATAACAACTATTTATTTCCTTGTTAAAGATAAGGGATTAAGGAGATTGTGCAAATACGTCTAAATGTTAAACATTTAGCATTTATAATGACTTTCTTTGGTCATATTTGATGCTTTTTTCGTTTAACTTAACAATAGCTTATATAGTTTTCTTTCTTAATGCTTTAATTGTTATGCCGAAATGTAACACAATGCTTCTTTGAAGGGATGGCCTGTACAAATGCAAACGATTGTTCAATGTTATCACATGTTTAAAACAATGATTAACAATAATTTAAAAATCTAGTTATTTCTCAGTTTTAATACAGATATCAGAGCATGATAATAATAATAATATTTATATACAGAAATTCGCTTCAGTGTATTTAAACATTGCAGATTTATGATAAACAGTTTCTTAGATTTTCAGTAATAATAAACTAGCCATTCTCATGTTATATTTGCAAAAACGTTTAAAAACTATACATAAGTTGTTGAACTTAAAAAAAGATGAAAGTGTTATTTATATCCTATCAATTGCAAGTAATTTTATAGCAGATTTCAAAGTATGGACATACAGCAGTTCACATCAAATACTCAAAAAATACTCAAAAATATCACATCATTTTATCTAAGTAAATGTACTATCTTTTAAAAACAATCAAGGTCTTTCAAATTCTATTTGAAATGCCTTGAAACAATGTACAAGTATTCTTCAATCGGACCACAAAGAGGTTTGGAATATTAAAATAAAATTGCTGCTTACATGTGGGTTCGAGCACCATTGCTGCACCTATCTCGGTACCTTTAACAGGTAACTGTGTAGCGGACTGCCCCGCCACGCAATCTGTCTTTATTAGACTAAGATATACGGTCCCATTTGAGTTCTGTTGCATTGCCTTAAACAGTAAAAATATTGTAACAAGATTAACAAGGAAAGTCATTTTTCTTAACTCCGAATTTATCAACTTTTACCAATGTCATACTTTTCTTATTCTCGTAGAAGCAATCATCTTATCATTAAGTTAATGTGCTCTCGTATCCATATAATCTTATTATCTATTCAAACATAGTAGAGTGACAGCTGTAAATTAAAACAAAATGGAAACCTTAAATGTCGCAATGAAAAATTGAAAATAGCGCATGCTCAGTTTGGTTGAGCTTGTTCATGCGCAGTGGTTGTGTGTGCAACCTATATTCCAACGCACCTTTTCACCGGCTTAAGCAGAACTCTTTATAATAATCCAGTATGTACGACCTGCTTAAATCATCACATGACGGAAATTTTACTTTATATCATTGATTTGAATAAGAATGAAATTTCGGTAACAAATAAAGATAAAGCATTAAATTAGTAAACAAGTGGCGTCGTGGCCGAGAGGTTAACGCGTCAGAGAAGCAATCTAAGGATTACTGGCCATATGAATTCGGACCCATTCAAGGGGAAGCCGTTGCTTCCTTGAGCAAAAAACTTTACATTCATTGGTTGGTACTGATTTGTTTCAGGAACGGATTCGAGAGTGTTTGAGTAAGCTTCCAACACAATCGTCGAACTAAACAATGTATAAACAAATTTACTTAAAAGACTTTACAAGTGCATTGTACTTTCCACAAAACAATTAAGCAAAAATTAAAGGACAATAAACATATGTACTTACAACGCAGGTAAATCGACTTGAAGTTAAAGAGAGGCTCGCATCTTTGTTATAGTATGACGTGTAGTAAGTGGACGTAGAGGAAACGTATATGGTTGCAATGCATCCAACCTCACCTCCAGCTGTAAAAAAGTAAACGTTGTACATGTTACTTTACTTTTGAGTTGAGAAAAACAGAAGTAAAGTTAATGTTTGCATGCGTAGAATTGTAAAACTATTAATCAATACCTATTAATCATGACATAAGATCTTATTTACACTAAATATGGTTAAAAGTTTTAATCATTATCATATAACATATTTTGATCAATTCCTTCCTAGCAGCAAGTAATATTATACATGTTTATTTATGGGATATTATAATCAATTGACAACACATTTGTATTATTCTTCTAAAGCACCAATTTTTACTTTGACTTTGTTTTAAGTTTTACCAGAGTAAAAAGGCTCTTTCGTTGTACATCCTGTATTATCAATTAATAACTCTGCATGGCTTTGGTTACTACAGGCAATTATAGTCGATGTGTTCACATTGTCACAATAAGTACCGGTTTGATCGGTGTACGTGTACTGGAAAAATCCAAGGATAGGGTCCGGGCACTGGATGGCCGATATTGCTGCAGTCTCATTTCCTGTAATAATTGTGACAAAGTTAGCTATCTAGTAATATATCTCAATATCTTTTAAAGCAAATGTAGACATTTTCTTATATCAAAATAAAGAAAAACAGAATCCCCCAAGAACGTCCAGAACAATAAGTTTGAAAATGTTGCAGGCTCAGTTTGATTAAGCCTGTTTATGGACAATATATAGTGACCACTATATGACTACTCTCACTAGCACTGCCTTAAGCAGTATTCAACATTTAAACACGCTTATAATAAAATTTTGAATTTAAAAACATCCGCAAATGTGTTTATATGGCGGCTATTATGGAACCTCCAATGTGACACTTTCGAACCATTCCATGAAAAGCGGAATACTGTCCCCAAGTAAAAGAATGCCTTTGATCTTATCGAGAAAACAACGAGCGGAACTAAATAAAATGAAGTTTAGAGTGATGATCAGATATCACAGATAAGATGTCGGAATATAAATTTAAAAAGCTGGCAACATATCTTATAAGGGTGAGTATGCAATATTCATATAGGATATATGGAACCACCAATCTTGAAAAAGATCTTACAATACCACAGACACAACAATAATGTGGTGCTGAACTGTACAATTTTTAATGATTGGAAATAAAACATCCCTGATTAAATGTACTGGGCGAGTGCTGCATTATCTTACAGTGGTATCAATAAAATGAGGTTTAAAAGCATACTGTGTATGGCTGTTTATTTAATTTACCTGTCTTGATCATAGTGTAAAACTCTGCTGTATCAACTGTGGATGAATTACATATATCCGTAAGTGAAGTAATCGTGTCAACATTTGTTGTCAGAATAGCCCTGAATCTTAGATCACTTAAGGTTATTTCAGTAGCTGAAATGATAATTCTAATACGTTATCTAAGCAGAAGAGTACATCAATAGTGTTGTTGGAGTTATTATCGTGTTAGGTACTACTTATAAGCCCTCCGGGTACTAGTATCTTTTAGTATACTCAACCAAAGGTGCTAGTCGCAGAACGATGTTTGATCTTGTTATTTATGTAATTAAATACCAATACATAAAAAAAAATTAAAAGTAGTTTTTGTTGTTATATAACAATATAACATAAAAACTATTTTTTTCTATTTTAATATACTGGTATTATATTACATGAAGAACAAGATAAAACAAATTTTATTTCAAATCAATGCGCCAAGCACCTCTGTACTCGACAGTGTCCGCCAAAAACAAGGACCCGATGTAGGATATCAGGAAATACATAGGAACGGCCACAAATTAGATGTTGTAAAATTAATTAATGAGTTTGACATATTTAAAATATGCGTAAAAATTACTCGGATTCGCACTTTTCAACATCGTCAACACCAAATAAACATAGATTGGTGTTAATTGTTCTCTTTACTCGATGCAACGTTACATCATTTCAAAAAGTCGTTTGTCGTTTCGATGCGTCCTTTCGGTATTTTGAGTACCAACGAGTACTTTGATAGAGTATACTAAAAGCTAATGGGTGTGATGCCTTACAAGAAGATTAAGTAGGTCCTGTTCCTTCAAGACAACAACCCCAAAATCGACGGTACAATTAAGTGATATCGAAACTGACAGTCGATCTAAAGACCATTTATAAGACTATTTATAAGAATGTTTTACACACCAGATATAGTCTAATTGCATTATAAATTTATAACCAAGATCTACGCTTAAACTTTCTGCATGCATCACATATGTCGTATATATTTTTTTTTATACTTTTATGTAAGTCGAACTTCTCTTTCGGCATTACGGCAATGGGTTCCATGCTGTCAAACTTTGATTGGTATATACATTCCTTTTGTAATTCCAACTCCAAATTGCATAGATCCTCTCATTTTGTGCGTTAGCGAACAGCATGGATCCTGATCAGACTGCGCGATGGTGCAGACTGGTCTGGATCCATGCTGGTCGCAAACGCACTATTTTGGTTTTGTCGTGAAGCGGCTCAAATGAGCTTTTAAAATGCAATATTACCTGAATTTAAGTAGAAGTAATACGAATATGTACTAGCTTGTCTAAAGTCGAAACAGCCATACGGATACACGTCAAGGGTATTGCCAAGGATTTGAACCGTCTGATTCATCCTGAAAAGCATTTTTAAAATAAAATATTCTAGCTGTGATCGCTCATTTGAATGCTCAAAATACGATCAAACATGTTTGTAAAAAAAATAAAAAAGAAACAAGAGGGCCATGATGGCCCTGAGTCGCTCACCAGAAACAAATGCTTTTCAATGTTGGAATGTCAATATTTAAACAATAATTTGAAGAAATGCCATGACCTGGAGTATTTAAGCTTGAGCTTAAACGGGGCTAATCAAATTAATATGAGCAAACTTGATAAAAGACTACCTAAGAATGCTACAAAGTTTAAAAATATATCAATTATTTCAGTAGGAAATGATGTTCAAAGGTTTTTTTCTATTTTTAGCTTGAGCGGCCCCTAAAAAGGAGCTTATCAAATTAATATAAACAAACTTGATAAAAGAGTACCCAAGAATACTATAAAAGATTACCGAAAATGCTACAGACAAAGTTTGGTTATCATCCATTAATTAGTTCAGTAGAAGAAGATGTTTAAACGTATTTCTATTTTTAATTTTAGCGGCACCTAAAAGGGGCTAATCAAAACAATATGAACAAACTTAATAAAAGACTACCCAATAATGCTACAGAGAAAGTTTGGTGAACATCAATCAATTAGTTCTGTAGCAATAGATGTTAAAATGTATATATTTTTTTAATTTTAGTGGCCCCTAAAAGGAGCCAATCAAAACAATATGAGCAAACTTGATAAAAGACTACCCAACAATGCTTCAGACAAAGTTTGGTGATCATCCATCCATTATTTCTGTAGAAATAGTCATTTAAAGGTATTTCTATTGGCTCCTAAAAAGAGCCAATCAAAATAGTATTAGCAAACTTTATAAAAGACTACCAAAGAATGCTACAGACAAAGTTTGGTGATCATCCATCAATTAGTTCTCTAGAAATAGACATTTAATGGTATTTCTATTTTTAGCTTGAGCGGCCCCTAAAAGGGGCCAATCAAATTCATATGAGCAATCTTGATAAAACACTACAAAGAATGCTACAGACAAAGTTTGGTGATCATCCATCCATTAGTTCTGTAGAAGAAGATGTTTAAAGGTTTTTCTATTTTTAGCCCTAGAGACCCCTAAAAGGGGCCAATTGGAATGACATGAGCAAATTCAAGTGTGATTGTCACAAGGATGCTACAGACAAAATTTGAAGTAAATCTGCTCAGTAGTTTCAGAGAAGAAGACGATTGTTGACGCATGACGACGGACGATGGACGCCGGAGCATTCCCCTTTGATACTAATAGCTCGCCCTGAGCCTTCGGCTCTGGTGAGCTAATAAGATAAGAAAAAGACAAATACTACGTTATCATTTAAGAAAGAGGTACCAAAATTAAATTTCATATAAAAAATGAACAAGTCTTAGGCTGATAACCTGGCTATTGCGAACGTTCATATTTATGAACATTTTTTGGTATAAATCATTTTCTATGATAAATTTCAAAACAATTTTAGTTCAAAATAAATACCAGTCCGCGGAGGTAAATTGCTTTAAATAATGATTTATTTAAGCTTAGTTATATTTTTAAACGTCGGTTGAATAGCTTTCTGAATAAAATTTCCAACGCTTACTTGAACACGTATTGCGTTCCTGAATTTAGAACACAATCAAAGTGGCTGGCTGTATGTGATGATTGGAATGTTTTTGTCATCGATAAAGACATAGAAGTCGAGTCGATTGTGATAGTTTCAAAACTTGTGCTAGTCCATGTGCCATCCAAGGCTGATGGGAAACTCGAACATTGTTGCATTGATGGGGAAACTGAAAAGGACAATAATAACTTCATGGTATTTTCTCCATTCAATTCATGACGCCAATCTAGAGCTTTCTTGGAAAAAATATCGACGGCGAAAACAATATACAAATATTGTATAAAAAATTTAAGTATATGTAACGAGTCTTAGCAAATGAAGGTACCTAAAGATCAATCTATTTGATTCTATTCAAGTGATGTTTAGAGAAAAGGTAATGAATTAAGTTTACTCAAAGATTTAGATCCTTTAATTTTTTTAGATAATTTATCTCAACGGTCCTAGAGACTTCGTCCTAGAGACTTCAGGAGACAAAGTTTGACATTTACCACAGAAAATTTGATTTGAGAGATGATTTATGTATGATTTATATCATGGTAATGTCCAATCTTTAAACCTTTACTAGTTCTTGTACTGCCGGTATTCTATCTTTATAATTATTACATCTTTTTATAATAATTTGAGAGAGTCAGAATTTTAAATAGCACAAGTGGAAGTGAAATTATTATTATTTGTTTCATATGTTTGTCATGCAGATAAAAACATCATGAAAAAAAATGTAAACTGCACTACTCACCTGTAACAAGTATGACACAAATTTGTAAAAGATACTCCATTTCTAACGCGGAAAAAAATCACATATACAAAAACAATTGGATCTACCCGTAGCTATATCGTCCGTAGTAAACCATTTTCTTTTTTGCACCATTAAACAAATAAAAGTATCTAAAACAAACAGCGGTAAAGTAATCAATGAATTAATTGCAACTTAAAAAATGAATTTATCACATTATTGTATTAAATATGCCTATAAGAATATTTCCGTGACATATTTGTGCAATAATTGATTAAAAGAAGCTAGCTTTTTTCTATTTTCGATAAATTACACCCTTAACTACCAAGTTTTGAAACAAAAGCTATTAGCACAATGAAATACTTTCAAAAGGACATTTAAATGGAAAATCGGTGTCACTTTACAGACACGGCCAACCGTTCGGTCGCTTCAATTGTTTATACATAAAAGGCGTTAAAATATATATCTTCATTGTAATTCATTTTTAGGGTGTTAAAACAAAAAGAACGTGACCTGGTAGATTTATTCAATCCAACTAATATTTAATCACAGACAATTATCAACAAATATGCGACATTTTTAATGAAAATGACTTTGCATATCGGATATTTATGCCGTGTACTGTGACGCAATTTCATTATATGATTACATTTTTATGTTCCTATCGTGTGTTTGTAAATTATACCAAAAAGGTGTTATTGAAATTCAAATGAAAAATGAGTATAGGTTCAGACAGATTGAAATGAAAGTATGTAATGTATATTACCTAATAATCAAGATATAACAAAATCTCATAGGGCCTCAGAAATGATTTCATTGTGTCTTCTGAGTAACGGCAAATATGTGTTTTATTTTGTTTACAGAATGTAGCATGCTTAATCACATGAAGAAAGAAATAAGTGTTGAATGTGAAATGATTCATTATAAACGTAGCAGATCATAAACTCGGTGGTATCTTAATTATCTCCCATATAAATTACTAAATCACAATCAAAAAGATAAAGAAGCACAAACTGTTTTATTAATTTAACATGTATATGGCCAGTGAGTTTTCGGAAACAGTAAAAGAACACTATGATTATACAGAACTTTTGGGAAAAAAAATGAAAAAAGCAATTAATGCACGATTAATATAAAACGTGTAATAATCTTTATTTTGAACTTGCATTGGTTCATTAATAAAAAAAGTAAGGAGAAATCAGAAGGTCGGTCGAAATAAGGACTAAATTCAGCTTCATTATCCTTGATGAGATTTAACCTTAATTATTACGAAAGGATCCAGGGACTTTGATTTGATGCTGAAAACATTTTTATAATTGTTAAATATAGTTTAAAAGAATCTTTACTAGTATCTGTTTGTATATGTGAATTTGTGCATCAAATTGACTTTATTGAATAAACAAAACGAGCTTTTCTTCCTGTTTGTGTTTTCATATTATTTATTTAAAAGGGAAACAACCGCTAACTTGCCCTTGCTCAGATTGAATCATTGTTATTCCCCGGGGTTGTATAAATATTTGATTGTAGGCGATAAAAAAGATTTCTGATTCATAATGTGTGTTTTGCGCCGATTACTAAACTGACCTTTGAACTCGATACCGATGACGTTTGATGCTATTTATTTTTGATGTATTTTGAGAGGAAGGGGTTGTGTTGTACGTTTTTAGGGGTGGCCTTTATTTTGCGCTAACGCAATAATGGACATATGGGATTTCCAGCGAACGGACGCCTCAGTTTCACCATCGACGCTCATGCAGTACGCCCGTACGCTGGCTGAAATGCTTGCTCACTTGAAAGAATCCAGTCACTGGCGGGATTTGAACCAACAGCGGTAAGTGGCAAGTTGTTTGAAGTCGGCCTAGGGCGGCATATTAAGTAAACATAAAATGCGGAAATACCGTTCTTAAACACTACAAGAATAATTCGATCGTTTATTCAAAAGAAATATTGTAACTACGTTTACTTTATTTGATAACATTCAATTTTATAAAGTTCAGGAGTTCATAATCTACCTTTAATTCTCTTTCCAACGAAAATGCAAAGAAAAACAGCCTTATTTATGTTTTATGTAGCTTTTCACAAAAGCTACATATTATTTTTGTCTGTCGAATAGTCAGATAAATGCATGAATATGCCGATTGGAATCTGTTTACAAATCCTATGATGTTCAGTAATGTAGTACTTGCAGGACTAAAGGACATAGGTCTATTCAAGGTGAAAAAGAGGCAAGCTTTGTCTTGAAGATGACGAGTAAATTTGTTTGGTTTTGGGAAAACTGTTTTGATCTTACCAATTGTTTTCACATTTCATCTTCAAACCATCATAGAAGCTTTCGAAGACACAGCAAAAAAAGGGCAAGATAACAAATTATACAACCAGTTGAAGTCCCTTCAAGACATTTCAATGCTTCTTATTTTTTAAGTGAAATTCTCATAGCATTTTCCAAATTTAGAAAATTGATAGAAACCTCATTTTACGCCCGGATTAGCTTTGACAATTACATGACATTTTTTATATTTTAATACATATTATATAATTACAAGATGTAACAACATTATAACAAAGATAATATAACATAAATGAGATAGAGGTTGAGATATTGAATGAAGTTTGGTGTTTGATCTCTTCTCTCTTGTACAAAAAAAACTCTGTATGTATTTTACTAAGCTACAAAATACTAGATTATTGCAATTTGCATACCTTTAAGTTCGATAAAGTGAATAATTTAATAATTTGTCATCACATCCCAGTAAATTTCGTAAATGATGGTAAACTTTCCTAAAAATTTGCAAACAATTGAGTTTTATTTATATAGATGTTAGAAATAACAATATTTCACCTACATAATAAAGTCTAAAACCCAGTAAATTAGTCAAGCAGCTATAACCACAATTACTGAAAAATATTTAGGGTTTTATCAATATAACAAAATTATAATAAAAGTTTCAATTCTATAAAGTACTAATGCTATCCTTAAATGATAAAAGTTATCAACAACATCCTTTTACTATCATAACAAATATCAATTTTAATAGCATTTTAAATGATACAATAATTTAACATTGAAATGAGACAAGAGGGCCAAAATGGCCCTGAAATCGCTCACCTGTATATAGGCCCCTGGGACGGGGCCAATTTTGACCCCAGGGCTTTTATTTGAACAAACTTGGTAGACACTGACTAGATGATGTTTCATGCAAAATATTTAAGCTCTAGCTCTTACGGTTTTTTAAAAGAAGATATTCTGTTTTTTAAAAGAAGATATTCTAAGTTTTTTTCTTTCGGTTGCCATGGCAACCAGAGTTCTGCTTGGAATTAAATTCTTTGAACAATTTTTAAAGTTGACTACCATAGGAACATTCCTTTGCAGTTTGGACGAAATTGGTTAAGAACTTTATGAGGAGATGTCGTTTAAAGTAAAAGATAACGGACGCACGACGGACAGACGATGTACGGCTGCCAGTCGAAAAGCGATAACAAAAGCTCACCATTTCACTTTGTGACAGGTGATTAACAAAAGTATTGCAAAGTAGGGGGACAAAAATATGTACAACTAAATGCAAATTAGGGTAATCAAAAGTAAGTTTGAAATAAAGAGACTCAGACCTGTGCACAAATCTTATCTGAAACATGTTTTAAACTATCAACATTGTGATACTTAATCATCATAAAATAACCCCCTGTGCTGGGTATGTTTGTTTTAGCCTAGTCGCAAGATTTACATATTTTTACTATAGGTCTCCTAGGCAATGCCACACGCTTATCATCTCAGCTTTTCGCTAACCATCTCAGCTTTTCCTTTCTGTGTAATTTTCATCAATATAACTATAATGTATTGACATGCATATGTCTGACAGGCCAATTTTTGACTCTGGGTTTTTTTATTTATAGATGTATAACTTTTCTATTGGAACACGAAGTGATGATTTAAGCTCTGGGCAATGAAGTTTCTGTAATTTTATAAGATTTCATTTTTAAAGTCTTTTCTTCGCTATTTTGACCTGCTATTAACCATTTCATACAGTGTGCACCTTTTGTAGGAGGCTACCTTAAAACTACTTCTGAAGTTGGCCATATCCAAAACGAATACATTGTATGTATTTCAAAGAAATAGTAGATAGAGACCAAAGGACAATAATTTATCGTAAAAAAGCTAACCTCTGTGCTCTAGATTTTAATTTTAAACCATTTCTAACAATATTTTGTGTTTTTGTGACGTAATTTTATGATGAGAATGCAGTCTTCATACCAAATTAAGATCAACACACAAGCAATTAACATAATCTGATGTTTAGGAAAAATAAACTAGAGCTATCAATCAAGGTGATTAATACCATAATGACATTATAATTGAGAAAAAACTGACAAAGACCAAATGCACATAACTAATTAAGTAACTTATATAGTGACATACAAGACACATTTTACATATCAAAAATCCTGGAAAACTTGCAAAGTTAATCTCCTCACCTTGCTTTAAGGATTTGCATGACTAAGCAATGAATGACTTTCTTCTATTACAGGGAGTATAGAATCGGGAGTATAATAAAATGATAGATTGAATTCAATTTCCTTATTTCCTACTGCTTCTGTCATAGGTTTGGTACACTTTTTATCATATACCTCAAACTTTTTACCAGCCTGTTCTTTGAAGTTTGACCTCCGGTATACCCCTTCAAATTTTGGAAATAGTTTACTGTTTTTATCAATATGACTTTCAAAGTTCAAGGCATACCATACACTCAACACAGTTGTAACGTCTAAGACGATTTCGCTATTAACATACATGAAGATCTTCATATGATCAGATAGTATCAGACTATCTGATTCACAGTTATACAAAGCTATTCTAATAGCTTGAGATGAGGCAAAACACGATGCTATATAGGAACTAGATAACTCTTGATTTTTGTTCACTTCTGAAAACGCATTAACAATTGTTTGAGATAATACTTGTGACACTGCTTTAGAAGTAAATGCATCCTTTTTTACTTCAACGAGAGTTTCTTCCCCTGAAGTTGAATTTTCATCATCTTCAAAGTCCCCAGTTTTAATTTTCTTTGGTGGTGGTTCACTACTACCATCTTCTTTATTGTCTTCAGTTCCTATCTTAACTGTACTTCTGTTAACAAGTATATCTGCATGTCCGTGCCACACTTCTGTGTTACCTAATAAACATAAATTATATCAAATATTTACAGGTCCACATATATTAATTGCAATGCAATTCTACATACCAAAAAATTGTAATTTTGGAAGAGAACATTTTCAACTAGACCTATCACTGAAGGTGGTTAACACCCCCACAAGCAACTTTTGACTTTTTTGAAAAATAAGTAGTCTGAAGAAAAATTTGAACTCAACCTATAGTAAATGAAGTATCAACTGTGTACATAAGAATTTTCAATTAATTGCAATCCCAACTGGGGTCTTCATATAAGCTTGGTACACACCAAGTGTGATCATAAAATCTCATTCCTAACTCTAACTATTGTCCAGAAACCATTTTTCTATTTTTACTAATGGTGACCGTTGACCCTAGTGGATCAACCGGGGTCTTCATATAAGCTTGCTATAAAGCAAGTTTGATTATAATATCTCACTCCTAACTCTAGTTATTGTCCTGAAACCATTTTTTTATTTTTAGTAACAGTGACCTTGACCCCAGGGGGTTCAAATGCAATACCAACCGGGGTCTTTATCACTACTTTATGTAAGCTTGCTATACACCTAGTTTGATTACAATATGTTGTTCCTAACTTTAGTTATCATGTGGAAACCATATTTCCGTTTTAGAAATGGTGACCTTGACCCCAGGGAGTTCAAATGCAACTTCATGCAAGCTTGCTATACACCAAGTTTGATTATTGACTCAATTGTACTACAAAATTTGTGTATTTCAAAAGATTGAGGCATGGAGGGTTCAAATGCAATAACAACTGGGGTCTTTATGTACGCTTGCTATACACCTAGTTTGATTATAATATCTTGTTCCTAACTTAAGTTATTGTCTGGAAACCATTTAAGTTTTCCATTTTTAGTGACGGTGACCTTGACCTCAGGGAGTCCAAATGCAATACCAACTGGGGTCTTCATACAAGCTTGCTATAAATCAAGTTTGATTATTCACTCAATTGTACTACATAATTGTTTATTTCAAATTATTGAGGCATGGATCTGGACTCTCAGTGTAAAAATTTGATAATGAAATGCTAAATCTGCCATAATAGAAATAAAATGAAATTACTCCTTTGTATGTGCCAAAAGAAATACATTTTTGTAGTTTTATTACTGAAAATAAGTCAATAAAGGGAGATATCTTCAAGAAAAAAAAATAAGACATACATAAAGGGAGGTAATTTGAAGAAAACATTAAGACAGAGTTATAGATCGTGTTTTTTCTCACACTGTTATCTATTTATTTTTCAAGCTTCACTGGAATCTCTGTAATACTTTTTGAGTCTCTGGACAAAGAAAATGCATGCCATGTTAACCTTTGACCTCTAAGTATGAACTTCACTTTTTTTTTTGGAGGTAGGTTTTTGTATTGTGAATAACACCACGGATTTATATTACATCCGTTTTTCATTGTTTATATTTGTGCAAACTAATTTCAAAATCTTTTGATGAATGGAAAAGCTGTGGAAAAGACACAAACAGAAACAATGACAGTGCTTAGCTTTGAACTCTAAGTGTGGCCTTGACCTTGGAGGTAGAGGTCTAAGTGTTTGGCATAACGTGTATGTTGTCAAATTATGGAAAATATTTGTACCAAGTTATTTTAAAGTCCTTTAAAGGATGAAAACAGTTCTGGACAAGAGAGACACGGAATATACCCCTAACAGATAATTATGACAGACTTCTGATTTTCCAGTTCTACCTTAATCTCGGAAGTAGGGGTCTGCAATGAATCATGAATCACTGATTTATGGACCAGACACAGACAGGGGACAAAACGTATTCATGTTGCTTTGTCTTAAGTAGAAACATTAGTTAATAAAGGTAATGCATGGAAATCAGAGATAGAAGATAAAACAACACACATAGAAATAAAATCACATCATCTAGGTCTAAAACAGCAAAAATATGTAGACACAAAAATATCCAGAGTACGGTTTCTGTTGAACAATTGGTAAAACATTTGATCAAGAAATATCATTCTGCCATCTACCAATGAGCTGATAAATGGTAGAATATCCTCAATGCATCAAAAAAGTACATAAAAGATTTATAAATTACCAAGTGATGTGTTCATTTGATTTTCGCTGATATCCATTGCACAGTTTGGACACCTTCTTGCATCCTTTGGGAAAACTTTGTTTCCAATCTCGTAACTACCAGTCAATGGTCTAAACAAATGCGCAGCAAGAATAACTTGTATATTGAATTCATTATAGTCTTTGTTTCCGAACAATGAAAGAAGACACTCCTCATGCTGTTCTGAAATTAAAACAAAAATAATTCTTAAGCTAAGATTTTTAAGTCATATACACATTCACAAATGTTATTTTGTACAAACTTAAGAAATAATCATAAAATTTAAAAACCATTCTGCCTATATTCTGAAAAGAAAGAAAATGCCATAATTTTTACCAAATACATGTAAATACATTAACTGTCTGCTTAACATGATAATAATTTTCCATGCAATAGAAAGTTGTAAACTAGATCGGTTTCATTGATAAAATACATGGATCAATGTGGTACATGCATGGGTTGATATTGATAAAAAGAGTTTTGTTACAAATGAAGCAGGTCTCTATGTCAAAGGTTAAAGTCCCAAAGGGAGGGTACTCCCAGGGCAATTCTTAGGAATCTTGTTCAAAATAAATCATTGGAAATTTTTGCTGCATCATAAATAAATGGGGAGTCCTACATTACTTAAATTTTATGTCAGTCAAGACTTCCATGTACAACAGTCTTGTTTCAAGCATGTTCAAAATTGTTGTTTTGAGGGTCAAATTAATTCACGAATTCGAAAAACGCCGTTTTCGGGTACTTTCTGTACATAGCTCTGGGGAATTCACCTAATGGCGTGTAATAGCGAACTCGAATGTTTTTGCCCTTTTTTAAATTAAATTGAAATAAAACAGTTATTTCTTTATAAGAAAATAATTAAATATCATTGTACTTCATTTGGTGTAATTCCCCAGAGCTAAATCTGTAACGTTTTTTATATATAGGTATGATTTGGGGGAGGGGGGGAATTTGACTTTAGGGCGATTATTGATAGAATTTCAAGGTCCTGTGGGAGAACTTACTAGTTGCAAAAAAAATCCTCTAATCTTGAAATTTAAACACTTATTTCATGTCTTCCTTCTTGGATTTTTAGGTAAGAGAGCAATTTCTTGCAACCAGTAAGCTGAAAGTCTGCAAGTCGAAATCCGTCGTCAGTTGAAATGTTCACTGTGGCTTCCGAAAAACTATTTCCATCAGCTGATGCATCACAAAAATCGATGAAAACAGGACATGCTTCATTTCTGGACAAAAGACAATCCTTCCGAAAGTTGGTTTCGAAATTTGTCAAATGTTGACGTAAATGTTGTCTTTTCGCCATTTTTCGCGATTCAGACCAAGCGCACCAAACCAATTTAATGGAGATATATGATTAAAAATATAGAAGAATATATATAAGTGCAGTATTTTATAAACAATCAGATCTATCTTGTTTATAAATTGAAAGTACAAATGCCGAAGCAAGATGAAGGGGAGGTTACCGCGTGGACAAGTGTGAGGAAGATTTATCGGCTGTGACTAAAATCAAAGTGCTGCAGCACTGAATGCGACGGACATGCAACCGGAGAGACATTTAGGCTTTTTTTAGAAAAAACAAATAAAGTTTCCTTTTAAAAGGAAAGGCTTGCACAGTTGTGCCTTCATCCCAACCCTTTAAAATTGTGTGTTTTTTTTGTTTCAATTTATTATCACATTTTTTTTAATTACGGTATTTGTATATCATAAAGGGTTTATTTAGTTGGGTTTTTTTTTTTTTTTTTGGAAAACCGAATATTTTTTGTCAAAACGATTTGAAATCTATTCTCTATTGTATAAAACTAGATAAATAAAGAAAATGATCAATCGTAAAAATACTAACGTGATACTGAAGGAAAACAAGTGTGCACATTTCATTTCCCCTTTTTCGCAGCGAAATCATTCCTTTGCTTTATAGACAAGTAAATGCACTTACGTGGTACCAATTAATAAGCATGTATCAACTATGTTACACGATCACAAATAGACGATATCAGCACCAAACTCCTCACAGCTGTTACGTCACGTTTTGCTACTTTAACTGTACAGACTAGGGGAAGTAACCGCTGCGAGGAGTTTGGATCAGCACGTGATATGCATGGGCTATTTTTAGATTACCTCACCAAGAAGTTCAGTAGATCTAAATATAACTCGATCATGCGTGATTTGGTAAGCAGGACCACCCTTTGAAGACTGAATACTACTACAGCGTATAAAACTAATACAGACAAAAAACAATTATAAAAGAAACTAACTTTTGCGTCTTGAAAAACAATTGAAACGGAACAATTTCGTTTATAATTTATTACGGTTTAAACCGATAAATCAAGTAAAAATAGAAATCCTATTTATATAAACAAACTGGGATTACCGAAGTAACTAAAATAGCTTAGATTTCCGTAATATTACTTCGTCTGATTCCGCAGTATGACGGAATCGCCCGAATTGTCACGATTGCAATCGGAACTACATCGGCTATTATCATTAATCCGAAGAGTGACGGAAAAGGCCGAAAAGTTGCGATTGGCACGATTGCGGCTGGTTTCCCGTTCAACCATGCACCAACAGTTGTAAGCAGGAAACCACCTAACCGGAACAAGTTTTCCATATGAAATGGCTTGCAGCCGTGGCTGCAAGCCAAAAAAAAAAACAAAAAAAATAAAACACAAAATATATAACAGAGAAAATTTGTTCGATTTGTAGAGCAATATATTTTGTGTCCCAATCTGATATAATTCAGATTTTCTACTTTCAAGCATTTAAATACAGAATGAAATTTATGCATAAAAACGCTGGTCAAACTTGTAATTCAGTGTCCTTATCGATTTATTCCAAGAAATGATATGTAAATAGAAAAAAAACTGTCAACGAAATATTTCTAAAATAAAACCATGCAAAATAAACTTCAAGCATAATACATTATACATGTGAGAATGTTATTTAGTATAACATAGTGGGCATATAGACAATAAAATATAAGTCATTTGTATTTTTATTTCTCTTGGATATGTCTCATTAAAAATATTTTTGGTTAAAATCATCAGCAATTAATAGTGTATTTTTTAGATTTTTTTATTTACAAGGGCCAGAGCACATCGTTTTTATTTTAATCTAAATGTCACTTAAGCACTTCAGTGTTTAGTTGTCCTTTTCATTTTCACACTAAATTCCATTTTCAACTTGTTTGCTTCTTACAATTGTATTAAAAGTATTGCATGTAAACAAAGTAAGTATCCATTGGTTTACTACATGTATAATGTGTACTCCCTGTCCGAAAATCAGGTGAAGCAGAATCTATTTTTAGAATAGCGAAGGTTAACTCATATCGTGACCTAGAAAAATATGTAAACAAACCACAAGAATCGGAAGTAGAACTGATATCATAACTTCCTTCAATAAAGATTACCATGAAAGACTACATGGTGGTAAAGTGTTGAAAAACACTCTTGTTACATGCATTTTCAAAAATAGATATTTATACTAACCATTGTACTGTATCTAATTTATTAATAACTGCTGAATATTCAGCTAAACCCGCGTTATGAGTCACGAAAATAGTTCTTCTTTTATTAATGCGCGAGTTATTCTAGCGTCACGAAAAACTTTTGATTTGTTAATAATAATGTTTTGTATAATGTAGAAATATTTATTTCCTACTAATAATTTCTTGGAACTCAGAGCTTACACCTGTATTATAGTATAATTTGCTGTCCTACTTTTTCGACAGCGGTAAATCGTTTCGGCAGTAATTTGCATATTGCGCAATAATACTACGGAACTATAACGTTTTTATCAATCATATACGTTCATATTTTACCTTGGATACTAGTAACTTAATTTGAAATTGAAAAGGCTAAATATGGTAGATTTTAAGATATCCCGACAAAGAATGGGAGTTTTTAAGGATCAAATTCATGTACTAGTTCTTGGGCTGTTAATCGGTTGAGGACACTTTGCGCGATTGTAGCAGACGAAATCCCATTGTGTAGATGACTTAGCTCTGAACGCGCCTGAGGGCGCGTCCGTCGCAAAAAGGATTGGAGCACCACACTAAATACCGTATTCCGGTATATACCGGACAAGGCGCTTGAATGATAAAATGCTAAAATCTTGTCTTTTTACCCAACGGAATGAACTTTAACAGGTCTAATTCATCTTTTCACACCGAATCAAGTACGATAATCAAGGAAAAATGTAAAATTCGGCGAAAAAAACGATATTTGTCTATTTTGTGATCATGATTTCTGCAAGCGTCTAGAGGTACTGCTCCAATCCTGTATTGGAGGTATATTTAAATCCAGATTTATCGACAATTCGGACCCCGTACTTTTCGGACCAGACACTTCGGATCAGATACAATGACAGGGACAATCCAAACCAGAACTTTTTGTTTAATGGATCTTTTAGTTATGTACGTTTATTTTATTATTTTTTAATTTATAGAGGTAGAGTCTTATATTTTTTTTGATAATTTCATAATTTTTTGTTCTTCATATATCGTATGATAGTCCAAATGCATGTAAATAAACCTAATACGGTTGTTGAATGAACAAACAAAATATTTAAAATGCAAGAGTATGAATTTCTATATGCAATGTTGAAAAAAATCATTAAATACATTAAGATTTACGTCAGTAAAAAGTACTGTGGATACATGTATGCGAAATGGTCATACATGTATGTCGTTCCGAATGATCACATAGATTTACCCCTTTTGGAAGTAGTTTTACATGAGATCTTCCAGGATAGGAGCTGAAAATAAATGTTGGTCAGTGAATTACTGGAAATCAGATCCTAGATCCCTAGTGAGCCCACAATGGCTATTGATTTAAATTTTAACAATTATATTGATCTAGCAGTTATGGTAATTAAATTGACAAGTCATTTTGTTATCTTAAACTTCAATAAAGCTACATATTGTACAAAAAGTGAAAGAACTCGTTTATAGGTGCCTAATGCTATGCACATAACAAAACTTAAAATGAAAGCACGCAAATTTATTAATTATTTCAATCTAAAGTCTGCAAAAAAAAACACTTTTAAGGGAAAAGAGTGACAGAGTGCAACACTACATCTGATACTTATAGAATACGTCATTTGTGACAGAACTATTTCATTCAATGTTTGTATAATACATACATGTTCCAGGTTAACTAATATTTCCCGATATTATATGTTATTTTGGTTTTAGAGTGATATATGCGGATATATTACCTGTCAAGATTTTATATCACCCGAGCCGTTAGGCGAGGGTGATATTTTATCTTGGCAGGTAATATATCCGCATATATCACTCCAAAACCAAAATAATAATTTTATTACCCTTCCCGCGCCGAGTTAAGACGATTTTAAAATAAATCATTGCTACTTCAAATGAAACGTCGAAATAAGATTCCCTTAAGGATACCCCTTCACCATAAGATGACGTCACATAAATACATGACGTATTATCTTTCGAACATAACGGATGTAAACGAGAGAAAAAGGAGTAGTCTGTTGAACGCACTTTTTTGGAAATAATATCAAGCTTTCACAAGGTCATATTTGTTTCCTATACTGATGAGAATTTGTATCATTACTCTATTTTGGTAAATATCTATCATTTGACAGTTTAAAAGTGCTTGTAAATCGGAATTTACATCACGTAAAATCAAACCGTACGCGCATCGCAGAGCGCATGTTGTTTACAACGTGGGGTACCCATCGGGGAAATTTAATGTGTACATTACCCGTCTGGCTCGGTAATATCAATTTCTTTCGAGTGATCAATATCCAATCAAAAAGGCGGAAAAAAATCTGGAAGGGTAATAAAATTTCCTATTGTGTCTCCTTTACTTAAATTTTCTCGTTCTATGCTTGCAGAAATTCTTTATGTGGCAATATTTTGATAAACAGATGTATAAAAATTTCTGCAAGCATATCGGGAAAGTACAAAAACTACATTGGAAAAATATGGAATCGGTGAATTGCCCGAAACATGGTGTATGTTTTTTTATTCACAAAATTAAAGAATGTCAAAAATATTGGTATGAAAAAGAGACCATTATTCAGTGTCGGGTACAATACTAATTTTGTTGTCCAGTCACGACTCAATATATCGGAATCCATTATACTGACAAATTCAAATAACGACAGTGAATTAATGGGAACCAATTTTTTTCAACGTTATTATAATCCTTTATAACGGAAAATTCGTATTCCGACTCCGACACATAAATTTGGAAACCAAACGTGTTATTTTCTATACAATCAGTACCCGTTAAACTGACATTTGGTCAGTCAAGCGCGCTTATCATTGAACTGTAAACAAAAGCCGCATGGTGTTAAAACAGGTATTGTAGCTTTGTCAGTTGATTGTTGCACCCTATTACAATAACAACCTGTTGTTGTTAGCTGAATTTTGTTACACTTGCCAACTTATGACAACAAACAGTGTGCAATAAATTTTTAAAGGTTTAACTTTTAAAAGTCCTATCATTGTATGTGCTTTTTATTTTTTAAGTTTTATCATTTTCATATCAATCTTTAACTATTTAAGTTGTTATTATAATAGTAAAGTTGTAGTATTTTGTGTATGATATGTAATGTGTACAACAAAGTGAACACATAAACACAAAAATCTTTTTCATTATACATGTAGATGTTTATTATAGATATCAATACATAATGTTCAGATACCAGTGAATAAGCATACATGATGAATGATGAAATTCAATACACTGGCAAATTCGATATACTGACATATACTTTGGGAACCAACAGTGTCGTTGTAACGAGTCCTGACTGTATACATGTAGGTTTGGTAGCTTTTTGTATGCAGCCATATCACCACATCGGTAAAAGGTGTTGATTGAACACATTTCGTGTTTGCAGTATTAGCTATATCAAATAATATATGTAAATATTTTGATAAAATATTGCCATACTACAGACGTGGCCAGTCTGGTGCTCGCACGTGAAATGACGAACTGTACAGAATCATTCATTTCGGTAGTTTCAAAATTAACTTTTCGCCCCAGCACACAAAACACTGTTTATGGTACAAAACAGCCGCTACCTCACAAAACCATATCAATGGTAGTCTTAGATAATTCAATCAAAATAAATTTAACTCCCTGTAGATTTCGTTTTTTTTTTGTGTTTTTTGTTGTTGTTGTTGTTTTTTTTCATTCGATAATATCATTTATTCAAGGTTAGAGAATGACAATAGTTTACAATCAACAGGAAACAAATTATAAAAATGACTCATAGGTTGATATCAATAAATTCATAACAAACAAATTATTAAGGAAATCAACATAGATAATTGCCAAAAAAGTTTTATTGAAATTGATACATTATATCAACGACGACAAGAGGGTTTTATACATAGAAATAAACAGGTTTATTCGCATTGTACAGTAATATGACACATAAAAACTATATTTCTAATACATTTGTATCTGTGAACAGAATAAAGACTAGAACTATTTTTTTTCTTGAGGAAAAGTTCTTCAGTCACTGTTAGTTTAAAGTATATACAAATTTATATTTGTTGGATTGTGTTGGAAGCTATAAGCTTATTGAAACACTCTCGGATCCGTTTCTGGAACCAACCAGTACTAAGCAAAGAATGTGAAGTTTCTTGCTCAAGGAAACAATGGCTTGCCCCTGACAGGGTTGGAACCAACGTGGTCCTTAGATTACAAGTCCGACGCGTTAACCAATTGGTAAAGCCGCCACTGTTAGTTCTTGATCATTATTCATTGTTTATTCATTTGCTAACGCCACGGCCCCCTGCTAGCTCCTGGTTTCTTTAGTGCTAATTGAGTGTTACTCCGCTTGTTAATTGATTGATAAGCGTCTCTAAGGCTTGTCCCAGCTGTCGGTTTTGGACGTTTAGGCATTACTTCATTTGGTTCTCCTTCAGTTGCATACTCCTCTGGCATTGTATAGATTTCTGGCCTCTTCTCTGAATTAAAAAACAACAACAGTTTTCTCGTCAAATGTTCTGTGATATGATTTTTAATCACGATATAAAAATGAAATTAATGCGCTCTACCAGTTAACCTTTTGTCGAAAAATTTACAATTTATTGTAAAATGACAAATGTTAATTGGTCAAACGTCGTGCTCTAGATTTAGGATGATTCTTATCAAGATATATATGCTAAATCTGAAAAAATTGACACTCTTATATAGCTTATGTCATAGCATTTTATTTACATCATTCGGGCATGTCAGTTTTTAAATTAATAAATTTTTGCGGACGCCCATCATAAGTCAGGTTTAAACAATCAGTGTTGACCTAAAAGAGATGTTAAATCTTTTTTCAGTTAGGTGGATACTATGAAACACTTGATTATAATACAATGAATATTTTTGCGTCAAATATCAAATAAAGTATAATTTTGTAACTATTTTTCTCTAATTCCAAATTAATACCTTCTGAATCCGAGGTTTTGGCTAATACCAGTGTTTTACTTCTAGGTAATCTAGTATTTCTAGAAATAACAAGATTATCTATGGATCCCCTTCTTGAATTAGCTCTTGATGGCGGTCTCGATCCAGCTCTAGACACAGATCTTGACTCAATTTTAGACGCCTGTCTAGACAAGACGATACTTTTACTCCGCTTTGACAGCGGTGCTGGATACACACCGTTGCTTCGGAGTGACAGAGCCGGGCCACGTATACTAGATGATATTGTACTCTTGTCGTAAGATATTGGATATTTGCTTTTAGCTCTTTCCTTAAAACTATTGGCTGCCATTCTTGTGGTCAGAAAGTTCTTGGTTTTCGATTTCAATCTTCCACCGGTGCTGTTTGTAACGTTTGATGTACGGGCGCTTCCGTTTGCAATAGAGCCGTTTGATCCGGTCACAGCCGCTGTGTGTACAAAACGAATGTGAGATTAATTAAAGCCATTTAAGCATTACAAAGTAATGACAATTGATAGTGAATGGTGGCCTGTTTGCCTTTTTGTCTTTTAAGTATTTTTAATATGTACACTGTGAAAAGCAGGGTTATGTCGATATCCAATTCTTTGCATATCTTTAACATAATTATTAGTATGCAAATGTGGTTAAAGATTCTGCCATTGGTAAAAAATAAATGCCGGGAAAATAAATCATTTTCCATAATTCTCTTTAATGCCATTCAACCGTATGATAAAAAGTTGGTTTCTAATCCATGCAAGCAGGTTCTTATTCATGCATGCTATTTTTTATTGTTGTAAGTGTCCCTTTTCGTAGTATATACTGTCTCGTACATATTATTAGATATTAATCCAGTCAAGTTCAACTCCTCTTAATCTATTCATAAATGATACGTTAAAAAAGGATAATATTGATATGATTAAATATCGGTATTAAAATATTATTTTCAAGGTATTTTCATGTTACAGTGAGTTGGTTCAAGGAATGGATTCTCGAGTGTCTCAATAAACTTATACCAACTCAATCGAACTTAAACAAATTCATATCAACTAAGTGTACTATTTTAAATTCATGAATGCTATCACCTTCTGAAAAGTTCCTACTTGTATAAGGTTGTTTCTTTCCAACTTCAAATTTTGTCCATGTCTGTGCTGCTAGGTTAAGGTTCAACGACTGTTCTCCCAGAATATCATCACCACCTCCATCTATTTATATAAAAAATGGGAAATTCTATACAATAAATAATCATATATCTACCTGCCTTCTGAATACAATCGTGCTTTTATTTATTTTTCTGCATATATGCAGAACGTTCATGAATGTGATTGCCTTTGCCATAAGATTGTGGTGTTTTTTTGTATTTGTAACCTGCCAAAAGTTAAATATATATTTTGCTGATTGCCAATAAACTGAAACCAAACATGATACCGAATATAAAATCATTAATTGCTTCTCTAAATGTATTGGATGATGTCATTTATTCACCAACACTGTTCGCAAAAGTGTAATCGCGGACTGATTAGAATGCCATAATCAAAACAAAAGTCAGGATCACCCGATCAAGTTTCTACCCGTTATTGTGGTTACTTTTTCACATTCTATTCGAGTTTGTTTGCCCCACAACTTAGTTATGTAGTATGGTAACATTCTAGGCTTATAGCCGGTTTGTTTAACATTTTAAAACCTAGCAATAACGAGCTGTAAGCAGAATGCCTTACACTGTAAAGAATATCTTTAATACTTGTGGTAATTAAACTTATATAAATTCTTCAAGGAAAGAGGTTAGATACCAGTGGCCTGTTGAATACGAAGTTGTTTACGTCGTTTGCGCTGATCCGAGATTTATTGAAATCAATCGAAACTCTCATGAATCTTTGTGCCAATGGAGTTACAATGTATAAGGGACCGACAAATCTTCTGGACAGGAAGATTCCGCTGTCACACACTTCCATGTTTTACACGATCAAACATGTCTCATATATTTGACAAAAACATGAAATAAAGGATTTTCAACTCACTATTTTTAGTGGGAGATGACTTTTCGAGGAGATCTCTTTTACGATCTAAATACCCGTTTTGAAGACCTAACGAAGCCGGTGCATCAAGTTTTAACGACATCTCTCCCAAAGGATGGTCGGCTGAAACATTAATAAGATGACTAATTAATATCATTAATAAAACATGCTGGAAGATATATTAAATTGTGTACGAAATAGTTTTTCCCCCCGAGTGTTTAAATAATCAATTGAAGATTTTAAGAAAATCTATCAAAATTTTACTTTATGTCTGACGGGACACAACTTGAATGCTTTGGTTGGTTTTTCTGCTTTTCTATTTGCTTAACAGGTTTTCCTGGATAACTAACCAGTGCTTACCAATTTCTCCGAAAGTAACAAACTACTAATCCAATTCACACACGCAATTTGCCCTTTTAATAAGGCAGTGTTCGTTCGCCAGAAAGCAACGTTCTCCAACAACTTCTGCAAACCTTGTCAGATTGAAGGGAAACTAACTATTATCAATTGCAAAATATCACTATAATTCTTTCTTTCGTCGTAGGAAGAAACATATCTCTATCACTTTTGCCATAAATGTGGCACATGATTGCCGACATTTCACCACGTGACTGAAAGTAGTTCCAATATGGCGCCTTCTTAAGTCAGAAGTCTATTGCAAAAGCATAATATCTAAAGATATTAGACTGGTTTCTTCAGAAGACATCTTAACAGAACAATGCAAACGAGTGAATTCAATGACACCAACATACGAACTGACAAAAAAGGTAAATGATAAACCAACGTAAAACGTATTTACCTCCAAAAAGCGGCTCTTTTAATCTGGCTTTTCGGATTTCTCTTTTCTTCAACCACCAGACAAGACAAAGGCATGTTAATATGAAAATTATAAGAAGAATAACACAAGGCAGGAATATATATAGCCAAGTCCAGTTCGTGTTCTTGGTCTCTGTGTCCAGTAAACCTATCAGAAAATAAAACCTAATAATAATAAATGGTAAATTAAAGAAACATTAATTTTAATATTCGTGCATAAATCAAGTGAAGCACTTAAAATACCACGATATGAGCGAAAAGCAAGACATACATCAAATGGTATGATTATAAATCATGGACAAATATTTCCAGTCCCGTCATTTCAAAAAAACTCAGTGGAGTCCTTTTGAGTTTTCTTCTTGTACAAATAAGCTCATAAATTGACCTAATTTAATATTGTTCATGTTATTTGAAATAACTGGGTAATCAACTCAATATCAACTTAAATTTCTTCTGTCTACTCTAATGGTAATAGAATTTGGTTTCTTTAAAGTCCTTATTTGGGCTTTCTGACATCTCAAATATAAAAAGGAAATTTCAGGTATATCATTTTGAAATTTGAAATATGTAGGTCTTAATGATATTTAGTAGTTATTAAAAATACTCAGAAGATCTTCTTCCGTTACTATCTTCATCCTTTCTTTGTAAAGTATTAAACAACATTGTCATATTACAAATACACATTTGATTTTGTATTGAATCTATAACCAAATGATGAATTTCGTGAATTGTAATTACCCTAGTATTGTGGCACAATTTCTTGAAAAAAGATGTGCGAAAAAAAACACACACACACACACCACGCATGTGCAGTGAAAATCGCTTTATGTGTGCTGTGTTCAATTAATTGTTCATAGGAAATATTGTCAATGAAATCCCATATTTGTAGTTTACCCTCCGAATCACGGCAAGGATCCGCATTGAATACACTAAAGCACAGATGAGCCACCGCATCGTTCCTGGGCAAAGTGTCAAGTAGTTTATCAATACTAGATGCCTTTACTTTCGCAAGGAACCGATATAACTTCTATAATACCAGAACAGAGGTACAGTGCAAATGACCGTAGAAAAAATTTCATGATCACAATAAAAGTCCAGTTGCTTGATTCACAGTGTGACGCTCAACCAATTGAGCTAACCGGATAGAACATGCATATTCTGTTACGTTTCACTGCCTTAGAATGCTAGGAGAGTTGCCGTCTGCCTTTGAATGCTCAACAAAATGTTGTCTGTTAACAATGCCGTCCGTTTTAGTTTTGAATTTTATCAAATTTTCTTGAAAAAAATAAAGTCGAAAGTCAATCAGCTTGTTACATGACAATCCATCGACAGTTACGACTGCGTGAAAAGTGTAAATTACAAGCAAGATTTTGACGCTGATACCGTGAATACATAGCAGCTTAAACCCTCAGTAATATTCAACTCGGAAATATTCAGACCCGATTATTCCGAAAGGCCAAATGCGTGTACATGACTGTTACTGGTAAAAACATTCATTATACTGTTAGATCAGATATTTTTGCGAGGTCAAAATTTTGCGAAATCAGCATTTCGGACTAGCTCGCGAATTTCTTCTTTCAGTCCTATTCAGTTCATATAGATGTATGCATTTTATAGCGAACATTTATTCTCACAAAAATCTTTAAATGGCAAAATTTCATATCTCGCAGAAACTTCTGAATATACAGTAAATCAATAGTGCATAAGCCGAGACCGTGATGATTAATATATACAAGCCAATCTGTTTTAACCATATCTTCTTTCCTTACATGTATCTGAAATATAAATATTTAGAAATTACAGTGCAACCTCTGCACAGAAGAACACACTGTGGGAAAAAAGGTTTTCGGTTGTTCCTGAGAGATGGTGTTCTAATAAAGTTAAATTTATTCTGAAGTCTTACTTTGGGAATTACATATAGGATTGTTGTAAAGAGGGTAACAGAGTGCCGCTTGGAATGGAAATTTGACACTAGTCAGTCAACAGTGTACAGCCTGGTCAAATTGTACGGATGTCCAGGCTGTCCTGGCTCTCTACTGGTAGTATCACCCGGTTCCAGTAGGGTAAAGGTATTCCTTATGTGTATTCCGTAGCTTTGCCCAATGGTCCTTAATATTGAAATACATGTACGTTCAAAATCTTTTTTTAAAATGAAATGAACATCAATTTAAAGCTTTAAACCTCTATATAAATGTTATGATTTAAAAAGCAGACGATTAAAACGTATACATAAAGATAATAATTAATTAACAAGGCAAACGACATACAAGACGCTGAAAGAATCATGGTGGCTCCACCTGCCGGAAATGTTGTCGGTGATTGAGCAGCTACACACTCTGTTTGTTTCATGCTCAAAAAAACGGTGCCATTGCTGGCCTGGGTAACAGCCTGGAAAAAAGCATCACGATAACATAATTAAATGTATTTGATTTGAATGATTGATTGTTCGATTGATTGATTGATCTATTTATAATTGATATGTAAGAGTGAGTCGATCGTCCGAAGGCCCACCAAATGCGTGTATATGCATAAGTGTAAAATAATTTAAGCTTGACTTTTCGATCGTGGCACAAAATGCTATATTGTTTCTTTTATTGTTTTAACTGAGATTTTTAAATTACTTACTACAAAGTTCACTGATAGTATCATAACTTGTTACTAAACTATACATATAACTGGAACTTACTATGCAAATGAACGTTGTTGAAGGAGAAACGTCAAGGTTGTACAGCGAAATATAATAAACATTAGAACTAGAGTCATACACATTGGCAATACATCCTAATTCACCACCAGCTGTAAGTAAAACAATTCAATTCAATTGTTTTATTCAATCAAAACACATGTTCATATGAATATAAACAGCTAACAAAACAACAATAATATCATCAAACATAGGTGCTAAGTAATTACGAGTCCAATTACAAAATTGACACAATTTTAATACTTAATATGAGATATGCTATATGAAATTGTTCTTATACTTTTATTTATATTTATTATTTTGTAAATTAAGCATGATCATTACAGTTCATTAGTTTTTCCAATTTGTTGGCATTTTAGTGTCAATAATATAATTTTTAAACATTTTTGTTCTGATTTACATTCAAGCAAATAATGAAATTCATCACCAATAACGATTTTATCACAATGAGTACAGGTTCTAAGATTTCTTTCAATACAAAGATGGCGGCCCGTTTCTATAGTTAAATTGTAGTTCTAAATTTGCAAAGATATTTCATATATAAGATCAACAAAGGTAAAAAAAAATCTGGATACGGGAGATCACTCGAGAGCAAAGAAAATATAAGAAAAATCTGGCATCATGTCATGCTTATTATGAATAATAATTATTAATAAAAGATTACGTATACGACTGAATTATAGTTAAATATAAATAATGTTCTATTTTATTGATTGTCTGTTTTTATCTATTTCAAATAACTTAAACACTGCATGAATCTGATATTTACGAAATAAACTGAGCTTTTTTTCAAATTAAACATATGAGCCGCGTCATGACAAAACCAACATAATGGGTTTGCGACCAGCATGGATCCAGACCAGCCTGCCCATCCGCGCAGTCTGATCACGATCCATGCTGTTCGCTTTCAGTTTCTCTACTTGACTTTGTAAGCGAACAGCATGGATCCTGATCAGACTGCGCGGATGCGCGGGCTGGTCTGGATCCATGCTCTTCGCAAACCCATTATGTTATTTTGTCATGACGCGGCTTATATATTGTCATCTTACTTGAATAGAATGGATTGATAGACGAGCAGCCAGTATTGTTTACTGTTATCTGTGTTCTGTTTGAATTATCGCAAGAATTGATGTAGGCTCCAGTACCCTCACACGAGGTCCCTGTAGAGTCCGTGTATGTGTAATTGTAGGACCCAAGAATGGCATCTGCGCACATGACATTATTTACGGCATCTATCTCAAAACCTACAAATTTGAAACTAGCATAAAGCTTTATAATAACATGTTTATTGTTTACGTTTGCAAATTTGAAAAACAGTATTCCGTATATTAGTTATTTAATGGCGTTGATTGAAAAGAAAAACGCATGGTGGTTGATCACGTGACATTTATTTCCGGTAACAGTGGGTCAACACAAATGGCCGAGCCCACGACTTAAAACAAAAGTTAAATTTGCTTGGTTTTTTGTTACATCTTTCAATGTTTGAATGGTAAACATAAACCATGTTCCAGGCAAATATTTGCCGATTCTAATGGTACATAACTTTCCATCGAAACTGATTTACTTTTCCCGCTATGGTTGCAGAAATTTTTCTTTGCGGCAATAGTTTTTGTGTCACAATTCCTGCAAGCATATCAGGAAAAGAACAAAAGTTACATAGAAAAAAAATTGTACAATAAAAATTGGAAATATTTGCCTGGAACGTGCAATATGTTTATTATTCCGATGTCGAACGACAGAAAAAAGCAAATATTGTTCAAGTCATGGATGCGACCGTTGTCTGTGACACAATTTTACCCGAGATGACCCACTCTGATACAGGCGACATTATCTATAGTTATGTGTGAATTCGAAGACAAACATATATTTTATGGAGAGCTCCTGTTTGAGCATTATAAAAAGTAGTCAGCTTTAATATTGGAATCGTGATCTCTGTATACTATCCTTAACTATTCTTTGAGCACAGGAAGACATATCATGTGCCGGAGAGGTAAATCTTGTGTCGGATAAGCCGTATGTGTTAGGTACCATTGTTCGACCTAGCCTGTGCTTCTTAAACTGACCTTGGACAATACATAAAATTAGGGCATACCGTCTTTTATCATAATGTTAAATTCGGCTGCATCAAGCGTTTCTATGCACACATCAGCTGACGTAAATGAACCATCTGGTAGACCAACTAAACGGTAGCCATCGAAACCATTCTCTGTAGCTAAATATAGAACTTCCTGTGTTATAAATGCTAAACATGTTTAAACACGTGTATCTGACACTAACAATGAAAAAACATTTTATTGTTGGATGTATACGTATACTATATAATACAATTTTATGACTGGCACCTGTACAAACATCAGAAAAGCGTGTCAATTGGCAACCAGTCATGTTTTAGTGTGGACAATGAAAACTGCTTAAGGTAGCGCTTTTTGAAATCATGATCTGCAATTTTCGTTTATTTCTTTACTGCAGTAAAATTATTTTCCTTTTTACGTTATACGTGCCTTGTTGCAGCTGAAAAAAAATGGCCTCGTATTGTCCTGGTCTATTGATCACAATACATACTGTTTAGCCGGTGCTTATGGTCATGGGGGTGCTGCACATTTTATCGTCATAAGCACTCAATTTAATCGTGTTTGCAATTTTCAAACATACATCTACAATATCGGTTTGGCATGCAAGATTGAAATAGGATTACAATTATACCAGTATGAAGTTACGTTAAGTATATTTCATCGTATTGACTAAATTTATACTTATAAAAATTAAAAATAAATAAACACAAAAATTAAAAAATAGTAATATGAAAGAATGAGACTTACGCGAGTTCAGATAGTAGTAATAAGAATATGCACTGGTTCTTCGCAGATCTAGACACATCCACATATATATAGGATTGGCTAAACTGAACGTAGGAATTGTAACCTTTGACCTGAAATATTGGCATAATGATTTCAAGAAATTTTATAATCAAGATGACTTCGTTTTTATGCTACAAACTGTATACAGTAAACTTAAATGACGTCATGACGAAACAATGTCATTGTTGTGGATCATACATGTAGTTATAAAAAATAGAAAGGGCTATATTATATGCAAATCAAGCGACGCCCTGAGAGAGAAACAGATTGAATGTATGTATTCTAGAGGTCTTTCCGCCCTTGCATGTACTAAAGGTAGCATTAAGCTATTGGGTACGGGCCACTGATCTGCCCTTCGAACCACGAAGTAGTGGTGATTTGACTCTATGCAATTTATAGTAGTTTTCGCCGAAGGAATGAAATAAAAGTAACTCGATGTACAGAGACAAAAGAGATATAGAACGTAAGTAATCTTTGACATTATGGAACGGTCGGAAGGTAGTTCCTAAAAGAGATCACATGCCATACATAGCCTCGACTCTCGCACTATTGTCCTGTAAGTTGTTGTATCCCTGTTCCTTGCATACAGTGCTTTCAGCACTTTGATTAGGCCTCGTAGTCGTTTTAGGCGAGATTAACGACACTTTAAATTGGCGCTTATTTCACTTACAATTTTACGGAACATAACAATAAAAAAATACGAAAACCAACTGTAGAATATATTGCGTTCCGGATATAAATCGGCACTCCATTTCGTTTGCAGTGACGGTCTGTCCAGTGAACGTTTTGGAAAATGTGAGACTGGGTGACGATCCAGTGATGACTATTGTATCAAGGTTGGAACTCGTCCAGCTACCCCAAAGCTCTTCCGGGAGGGTACAATCCTGGGTTACTGAAAATAATGATAAGAGAAAGTGTAAATAATCGATATTGATATATACATATATGAGCCGCGTCACGACAAAACCAACATAGTGCGTTTGCGACCAGCATGGATCCAGACCAGCCTGCGCATCCGCGCAGTCTGATCAGGATCCATGCTGTTCGCCATCAGTTTCTCTACTTGTAATAGTGTTGGTAAGCGAACAGCATGGATCCTGTTCAGATAGCGCGGATCCACTATTCATTCATTTGTTTGTTTGTTTGTTTATTTATTTAATTATTTATCTATTTATTTATTTATTTATTTGTTTGTTTGTTTGTTAAAACATTTGTTCATGTCTTCTTAAAATGTCAAACATTTTAAAGTTTTTCCTGGTGTCCTAACATTTGTCAACCCTAGTTACATTGTTATATCATTTGTGTAACGATACTGCCGACTTCCCCCAAACCCCCCCCCCCCCCACGCACACACACAACACCCATAATTCATTTTAATAAAAATTGATGTCTGGACACGTTAGAGTTAACTTAAAGGCCCATTATTTGTTCTGTCTTATGTGTGATATGTTATGCTCATAGACAATACATACAGCAGAATCATCTTTTACAATGATGTTGCATATTGGTAATAATAAGTGCAGTTATAATGATTTACTATTTGCAATCCACTACCTTTAAAAGTAAGTATTTTACAATCAACGCTATTTTCTACAGGTGATAAGAACTTAGAAGTTCTTAAGCCATTATTACAACATTATACAACACATGTTTGCCTTTCTTGCTGGAAGAAAAACAAACAGATTATTTCTTAGGATAAATGTGCCTTTAATGTTCATGTTAATTTGATATTTTTCAACTATAAACAGCTTACGTGTCGTTTGTCCATGTTATAAAATAAAAGACTCGAAACTCCCGTGTTTAGCATGCAGGTTGACCAAATAAAATTGATACGATATAACTGAGCCGCGTCACGACAAAACCAACAGAGTGCGTTTGCGACCAGCATGGATCCAGACCAGCCTGCGCATCTGCGCAGTCTGATCAGGATCCATGCTATTCGCTATCAGTTTCTTTACTTGTTATAGGGTTGGTAAGCGAACAGCATGGATCCTGATCAGACTGCGCGGATGCGCAGGCTGGTCTGGATCCATGCTGGTCGCAAACGCACTATGTTGGTTTTGTCGTGACGCGGCTCAATTATTGATATTATTACAGATTATTTAATACACTTTCATAAAAGCATAAAACATGGTAAGGATGTCAATGGAAAACATGGAAGAGTAACAGAGATGCTTCTCCCAGCAAACACATGACGTTGTTTCAACGTTGCTCAGACGTTAGAGTCCGACGTTGGATAGACGTTGGAATTTAGTTGTATATGAAAGTTTTTTAGACGTCAGAATCCGACGTCAATCCAACGTCATAAAATGACATAAATCCAACCTATATGTAACGTATATACAACTACTTTCCAACCTATTCCCAACGTGAATCCAACCAGTTCCCAACATGATTCCAACCAGTTACTGACGTAATACCAACTAGTTTCCAACGTAATTCCAATCAATTCCCAACACAAACCTGACCCGTTTTCTTTAAATAATTCCCAAATAAAGAGAAAATACAAAACTTTCTATACTCGAAAAGTGATTTTATTATTCAAGAAAGTAATCATAAAAACAATTAAACAAACTATTTATGTAAAACTTACTATACAGTAAATATATATTTCCAACATAAATGCATAACATCAAAAAGGGCTTACTTTTAATAATTTATAGTGATAATAGAATAAGGTTTGATATTTATAAAATGTATATAAACTATTAAAATTTTAAAAAAAAATAAGAGCTACTTGTCTTTTCTAAATTGTTCAACATTTATCAGACCTCTTTCAGTCAATGCAATAATACACATTGTGTAATCCAAAATTATAACAAATAACAGTCAACAAATCATTTTCATTTAAAGGTCTACAGTATACATTAACTACTATTATCTATTACAACATATGTCAATTAAAGTTTACAACATGCTTAAAAAGGTTTTCTTTTAAAAACTCATAGAAAATGGAATTCATGGAAAATAAACCTTTCTTTTGCAGTTGATTTCATCGGTAACAAAATCGGATAAATGAGGGAAAATATTCCTTTCTGTCAAAATTAAATGTAACACACAAAACAATAATATTCACTTTTAAAGAAAGTAGGTGATTTTTTTTATCTTTTTTCTTCTAAAACTAACTTAAAAGTATTAAATTTGGAGATATACTCCTCCATGTGAATATTTCTGATATACTAAACGTTCACCACTGGATCCTGATTATTTTCATCTACGAAGACACTGTGTCAAATAATCATGTAAAAACTTGTTTTGAGGTTCAACTTGTCTTTTCCCCTTGAAACTGCAAAAAAGAAATAGAAATAAATAGGTGTACATAGCAACTTAAATGGTCTTATATCAATAATATTTAATTACTTTTGATTAACAGTTAATTTGGACAAAACAGAAATTATAGTAAATAACAAATTCAAAATCCATATATTACCTTAATTTGATGTCCTCATCATTCTTTTATGTCCAAATGTTTTTTCTGTCGACTGTTTTTCATGTATACAAATATATGCATTGTTATCAGCTAATTGTCATCAAACATTAGTGTCATTCTATAAAAAAACAAATCCAATGATTATTGACAAAAATTAAGTTATAAATTTACTTTGACAGTATACTTATGTTGATAGATCCCTACTTTGCCTTTTACGTGTAGATCTATTTGAATAACAATAGATTAAATCTCAAATATTGACATATGTTCCTTTGTTAACAAATACGTTGTGATGAAATACCTTTTGTAATCTGAGAGATTAAGGTCATGTAGGGATCTTGGCTTAAAATGACAACACAAATAAAACAAAATAATTGACAGAATTTCATACAATTTCTATATCATTTGAATCCCAAAGTACGAGTTAAATTAGGGCGAATCAGAACATGTTAATTAACTGGTTTAGAAATGAGATAATTGAATATCATGAAAATATATATTCCTAATGTAACTAATAATTTTTCAGTTATTATAGTATGCATGCAGTAAGTTTAATAATAAATCTACCTTCAAAAATATCACTTACTTTCTATTATGCCAGTTGTCTTCTATGATGTCCTTTGTCTTTGTTTGAATTTGAAAACAATTTGTTGTTGTAGCCTCGTTTTGAAATTCATCAAGTTTCCATTATTTTTTCAATTAATTTGAAATACTAACATTGTTCCTTTCTATTGTCTAGTATAACAAAAAAAAATATTTTAAAAATACAATGGATGTGAAGAAAAAAAATGAATAACAAAATTCGAATGATTATCTTGAACTGAAATAAGAGCCACCTATCGGGTTTATAAATCAGAACAAAGGGAAGTGACTCAATCAAGACTACTATGTTAGATTTCACAAACATCCGACGTCCTATCGACGTAATTCCAACACGTTGATACGACGTCGTAAATACAACGTTGTTTCAACGTTGTATTAAGGATTTTGACGTCGCGACATAAATCCAACTTAGATCCAACGTTGAAACAACGTCAGGTGTTTGCTGGGCTGTTTGACCACCAGTTGACTGCAGTAAATCTTATTTACATTTTAAAATAATTTTTGTAAACTTCACAAGCATTTTTTTCTCTCTTTTTTTCTCATAGTTTTTATCAAGATCACTCTGGTTTTAAAGGGTGGGTTCAAAAGTTTTATTAGCGTCGATGGTTCTACTTAAGCGACCAATCCGACCTAAATTAATGCCTGGAAGGGGGCACCTGAGGTCTTCCTCCAGCAGTAGTTGCTAAGATTTAAAAGATAACAACAAAACCGTATAACCTACCTGATAAATGCAATTTTAGAAACATGATTAAAAATCCAAATTTTACGTCAAAAATATTTAAACCTCCCATTGTTTTAAATGCTTTTAAAAATAATTTAATAATTTAAATATTTTATGTCTCGGTTTAAAGTCATTATTTTGTTTAAATCGAATATCTTTTATTTTTAACGTGGTGGAGATATGGCAATTATTTACATTTGCATTCATAAGATTTCGCTTTTTGTTTTAACTATCAATGATATTATATTTCAAGACTTACAGAAAGGGTCATTGATTTATATGTACGTTGTGATTTAAGACTTTACACCACTAAATTAGTATTATGGACTAGTTTAACTTTCCACTTGGAACTAACCATTGTTATGTTACAGGGTTCCAATATGTAAAAGCTAATTATGAGCAACCAACATCTACGAAATCCTTTAGCAACGGAAGCAGTATTTCGCACATGCGCGTTCTACATTCGACAAAAAGGGACGTATTATTATTACTTTTTTTTAATAAAAAAAACTTTAAAAAAATCTAATTATAAAAAGATTTTATTCGTATAATAAATGGAAAAGAAAAAAATATAACATGAGCAGACATGCTGGGTTGGAATTTTTCTGAGAACGTTTCTTTTTATGTATTCGATTCCGCCATAAAATATTTCACCTGATATAACCCACATAAAAGCATGAAAAATAAACTAATTCAGCTGGTTTAAGATAACTTGAATTTATTTTCAAAGACAATACATGGTAAATGAGCGTAAAAGGCTTGCGTTCAAGACAACAAACTCTTGAATTTGAGGTACCACGGGCAAGATTCCCTTTCTTTTTCCGCACTAACAAAAGTGTTAATTTTCACAAAAGCTGCATTGACCTTCATTGACCCTATATGTCATTATTTAATTTCATTCTGCAAAACAAAATTCAACATCATTATTCAAACATATTCTTGCAATAAAAACTTTTTCCAACCTAAAAACGAATACGATGATAATGTGTACAACTTTTTTATGACCCAAAGAATATTCCATTTAAAGTTGTGTAACCGATTAATGGGCCAAACGGTAACTGATACATTTAATCGTGATATGATCAAGTAGGTATATCGGGTCGTCTTTTATTCATAAAGGGCATTGTTTTTAACCCGAGGGCGTTGTATTTAGACTGTCTTATGTATGTCAAATAAAATCAATTGAATAACATTTATATACAGTACAGAAATCAATTCATTTTACATTTCTATGGTTCACAATTTGTCCCGTTTACTTTTTCGTTTGTTCGCTTTAGTGAAAGACACGGTTATTATGATCCACATCTAAGAACTTTATGAATTAGTAAGTGTCCCGGCTTTATTCATAAGAAGAAACTGAAGCCCTGCTACGAACTGAGGCCCTGCAAGGAACCGAGGTCTTGTAAGGAATCGCGGCTTTGCAAGGAACAGAGGTCCTGCAAGGCATCGAGACCCTGCAAGGAACCGAGGCCCCGCTAGAAACTGAGACCTTGCAAGGAACCGAGGTCCTGCTAGAGACCGAGGCCCTGTTAGAAACCGACACCCCACTAGAAACTGAGGCCCTGCAAGGAACCGAGGTCCCGCTAGAAACTGAGGTCCTGCTACAAACTGAGGTACTTGTTTCAATCGCTTTCCACTTCATACGATACTTAATTTACTGCTAAACAACGTTTGTATATAAAATCGGCCAACATAAAAAACAGCAACAAAAAAGCAAATATGTGTGTAGATCTCTTGTAACCAGGCATAATGACGTGAAATAGCTGTACTAATTCATGTGTTTATGGCCAAATATGATTTAAAGCCGACGACAAATTCTGAACGCACTTCACCGGTACATGATGAATGCGCACGTGATATCTACCCGAATATAGTAGTCATGTACATTATATATAAGATATTGGAAACATTGATGTTATCTATATTATCTATGTCTCTGATAATTATAAGTCCCATTCAAACAACAAAGCTATGTGTTGAAGGTTATCAAAAAGTAATCAAGTCATTTCACAGTGGAATCAATAAGAACTTGACTTCAATTTATTCAAAATGGTTTATTTTAAACACATGTAAAGCGTTTAGAAATAAAGAAAATTTACAAGTACAATGCACCTTATTAGTTATAGAAGCTGCTACATGAAAAAAATACAGAGATTTTCATTTTTCTTAAAAGAATGTAGGAACACAGTTTTATACACAAATTTGAAACTGGTAAAAATCTTAAGTCTTAGCTGGTTTATTTATTTGAAGTGTCCCACTGTATTTTTCTACACAGTTTACATTGTGCATATCTTCTTCAATACAGATTTTACTGTATTTTTTATACATATGCATAGGTCAAATGGTAACTTTCCAATTTACAATTGGAGAGAGAGCGCAGGTGCTCCTCTTGCATTATTTCAGGTACAAACGGGCACCCGAGTAAAACCACTGACCTTCCGTAACCTAGCTGGATAGCATTTTCACAAAGATGTATCCGAAGACGATTGCGAGGCTCGACCTACAAGTGGTTTGAAATCAAGACCCTTACCACTCGTCCATGGACGCGACCATTTTGAATGAACTCATCCTGCTATAAATTTTAAATGAACCAATTGTACTTTCAGGGATGTCAACACATCAAAATAAAGAAGTGCGCAGCCAATAGTAATAGATTCTATTTCAGACTGCATAGGATGTACAGGTTGACCGTGACTTTATATTTGAGACGTAGGACTTACATTATTAATATACAAATCAAAGCAGTACTGTATGAAATATACTTAGAGACTGATCTGCCCATCTGGCAAGACTGTTTCCATAGCATCACCTGTTATGTAAAGAGTTATCAATGTTACCATACAGGTCTCAGGTATGCTAAAATATACTTCAATGTTCTCTTACACAGTTCTTAATATTATTATTCTTTTAATACATGTAAATTTATAACTTTTCTAAAAAGCATTATTACAACACAGATTAAAATCTCACAACATTGTTTTGCATGAGACAAAAGAGACAACAATAAATTGACAAGATGTTTCCCTCTTGAAGAAACCAAAAAAGTAGCAAATTGTTTATTAAATGTCCAGTACTCAAGTCACTCACTTATCAAATGTTTATAAAACATTGAAAGTTTCCATTTTTATTCCTTGTACTTCTATTTTGATGTTAAAATGTTCCTAATGATCACAGAAGCCCATTCAATATCATACATTCTTCTTATCATTGATGAAAATAAAATATCAATATTTTGTTAATATCCCCCTCTGAAGCCTCCCCTGAAACCACCACCACCCCTTGATGGGCCTCCTCTAAATCCGCCCCTGAATCCGCCTCCTCCCCTATGAGGGCTACCAAAGCCTCCACCTCCTCGGTTACCACCACGGAAACCACCTAAATGATAAATAGATAGAAAATTAGAAATATAACGAGGTTCTCACTCCAAGTGGATGGAAACTCACCAAATTCTTATAGAAAGGTAGGTACATGTAGATGTAAATGTTAAGCAATGCCCTGCCTTGATAACTTTGTTTAACTCTAAAAATATATGTAAGTGAAAGGAGATATATTCATTACCTTTTAAGACATTAAGAAATCCCTTCTTTTTATTAACGTAGGAAAGCTATAGCAAAATGGTCTCTTAAATAATGGTTATGGCGACAGCGTGGCCAAGTGGTTAACACGTTAGACTAGTAGCCTAAGAATTGCTGGAACCCTGTAAGGGGCAAGCCATTGTTCTCTTGAGCAATAAACTTTATATCTAATGCTTAGTACTGGTTGGTTCCAGGAACAGATTCGATAGTGTTTCAAAAAGCTTAAAAGCTTCCTACACAATCAAACTAAAATAGATTTGTATAAACTATAAATAATGGTTATGAGCGTGTGTTCAAACTCAACATGAATCCTTATATGACATCAATACTGTTTAGTCAAGCAAGTGAACCATCCAGTTAGCTCAATAGGTAGAGTGTTGGACTGTGAATCTGGTGACCCCGGTTCGATTCCCTGACGGCGCAGTTCACTTTCGTTGTGATTGATCATGAAATCCTTTCTACAGTCATTCGCACTGTACCTCTGCTCTGGTATGTACAGAAGTTTCAGTTCCTTGAAAAAGTTAATTCAACTAGTACTGGTAAACTGCTAGACAGTCTGCCAAGGAAGGATGCGGTGGTTGAACTGTGCTCCGGTGAATTCAATATGGCTTACTGTCTTGATCCGGAGTGAAAACTACCAACACCACCACCGTCAAGCAAGTGACTAGCAAGTGATTTTAAATATCAATACAGCTTTCCAGCTAAAATACATAGGTTTTAACATACATGAAACAAAAATAGAATTGTACAGACTAACCTCTGTCATATCCACCACGCCCACCACGGAATCCACCTCTCCCACCTTCAAAACTACCACCTCTACTAAACCCTCCACCCATCCTTGGAAACTTGTTTGGCGGTCCTCCCATATGTCTATTATTAAATGTAAATAGTTTTTATAACGGTAATAGATTTTAGAAATTTGACAAAATGTATAATCTAAATGTAGTTAAACTAACTAAATGTCTACTGTTGAAACGTAACATGAAGTTACTGATCTGATTTTAAAAATTCAAAATTTCAATAATATGGTGATTTTCTATAGGAGACAATTAAAATATGGCAGTCTTTTTGAAGAAAAAAATGAAATGTATGTTGCCAGTCTAACAGTCTGCTTGACTATTTTTATTTTTTTTTTTGCTTGACTAAATCGATTTGGATAATTAAGGAATATATCCTATGCTCAAAAAGGGAAATAATTCAGAGAAAAATCAATGCTTGGAGTTATGAATCTTGGTCAGTGATTCAAAAATATGATCAATAATAATGTGTCAAGTTTCAGAAAGAACACAATATGTAAATTTGGTTGTAAAGATATAAACAAAGCCAGAATATTCAACTTCATAAAAAAGATATTATTCAGTTAATATCCATGCCAAATTTATGAGTCTTGGAAAGTGACCTTACAAGTATTACATGAAGTTTCAAATGAATTTCAAGTAAGTATTTTCCTTAAGACATACACAAAATTTCAAATAAATTACAATTCAATTTCATTTTCAGTTATTAAGGTACAATATTATATAAACTTCAACCACATTTAAAACCAACACCTATGCCACGGTGACACAGATACCTAACTTTTTCTTTCATTACGCGAGCTAAAAATGTTAACAGCTTACCCTTGACTATCATCCTGCAGGCCAAACCTGCCAGCATTTGGTCGGGATAAAGCACGTACTACATTCATCAGCTGCTCTTCTTGTGGGTCTGGGTTCTGTATACTCTCAGGATTCTGTGTTGCCCGAACTATCATTGCCTCCAGGGCCGGGCGTAGAGATAAAATCTTCACAGCTACTTGTGGATCAATCTTCAAGTTAATCCTGTCAACAAAATATGCATTGATTTTTTTTAAAAATAAACCTTTGTTTTCATCTAATATGACTCTGACAAAAATCATTGAACCAGAAAATGTTGATGATATGCACAACTAGACTTGGTATTGATAATTCCTGTAAAGTTTGGATTAAATTCCAATAGTGGTTTTTGAGCATTAGTTTTGTGATGGGCGGACCAGACAGATAGACAGAAGGATGACACAGAAGTGATCCCTATCTGTTGCTACTTCTCAAAAAATGCAGATTTTTTTTGTGGTATGTTGGGGGTCCTTCCACATACCCAGCTTTCCTGGATAACTAACCAGTATTTATAAGTTTCATCCAGAATGACCGGCTACTAATCCCACATGATTTCTGAATTACGGTGTGAGACAAGTGACCTTTGAACCAGTAACACCTGAATGTCCACAATATCATATACTTTTTTTCTTTAGTTTTATAAATTTTGAAATGTGGTTAACTCATCTGGAGGTATGCAGCATCAATAAATGTGAAAGTGAATTACAAAACAAATTGAGCTTACCAGCCATCAATGACAATAAGGCCGTCAATCAGTGATACGTTACGTCCGGAGAAGAGGAGAAGTTGTAACGGGGAAACCATCGTCATTTGTTTACATGACACGGCTCTTGTACGAATCTGTAAACAACATTAATATCATGAACCATTCTTTGACTCATGCTTCTTATATCATAAAAAAACATTAATAATAATACTACATTAGTATACTTGCAGAAATTCAAAACAAGACTTTATCAATATTTGTATGTTAAGGGGGCATTCAGCCGTTGTTAGTGATATGATGCATGTTTTGTAGATAAAATTATTTAATATTACTTAGTTTTAATCAAAACAGAATTTTTTTTCCAACCAAAGGTAAAAGCGGAAGGCCGCTTTAAGAAACGAACCTTACCAATATATTCTGAATGATATTTATAGTGATTTCTGTGGTTCACATGGATTATTTTTTACACAGTATAATATAGAACAACAATTATGGCACAATTTTGACTACTACATCACTGTGATTAATGCCATTTCAAAAAGTAAAACAAACAAGAGGGCCAAGATGGCCCTGAGGTTGCTCACCTGTATATAGGCCCCCCCCCCCCCAACGTTGCAGGGCCAATTTAACCCAAGGGCTTTTATTTGCACAAACTTGGTAGACACCCATAAGAAGATGTTTCATGCTAAACATCTAAGCTCTAGCTCATTGGGCTTTTTAAAAGAAGATTTTTTTTAAGTTTTTACTATACACATATAGTTAAAAACAATGACACCCCTGGGGCCCGGCCAGTTTTGACCCCAGGGCTTTTATTTGAACAAACTTTGTAGACACTTACTAGAAGATGTTTCATGCTTAATATCTAAACTCTAGCTATTTGGGTTTTTTCAAAGAAGATTTTAAGTTTTTGCTATACACATATAAAGAAAATCAATGACCCCCAGGGCGGGGCCAATTTTGACCCCAGGTCTTTTATTTGAACAAACTTTGTAGACACTCACTAAAAGATGTTTCATGCTTAATATCTAAACTCTAGCTATTTGGGTTTTTTCAAAGAAGATTTTTTAAGTTTTTGCTATTCACATATAAGGAAAATCAATGACCCCCAGGGCGGTGCCAATTTTGACCCAAGGGCTTTTATTTGAACAAACTTGGTAGACACCTATTAGAACATGTTTCATGCTTAATATCTTAGGTTCTTTAAAAGAAGATTTTTTAAGTTTTTACTATACACATATAGGGAAAATCAATGACCCCCCGGGGCGGTGCCAATTTTGACCCCAGGGCTTTTATTTGAACAAACTTGGTAGACACCTATTAGAACATGTTTGATGCTAAATATCTTAGCCACAGCTCTTTGAGTTCTTTAAAAGAAGATTTTTTAAGTTTTTACTATATGCATATAGTGAAAATCAATGACCCCCAAGGGCGGGGCCAATTTTGACCCAAGGGCTTTCATTTGAACAAACTTGGTAGACACTTATTAGAACATGTTTCATGCTAAATATCTTAGCTCTAACTCTTTTGGTTCTTTAAAAGAAGATTTTTTAAGTTTTTTACTATATGCATATAGGGAAAATCAATGACCCCTCGGGGCGGGGCCAATTTTTGACCCCAGGGCTTTTATTTGAACAAACTTGGAAGACACCCATTAGAACATGTTTCATGCTAAATATCTTTGCTCTAGCTCTTTGGGTTCTTTAAAAGAAGATTTTTTAAGTTTTTAATATATGCATATAGGGAAAATCAATGACCCCCCGGGGCGGGGCCAATTTTGACCCCAGGGCTTTTATTTAAAAAACTTGGTAGACACTCACTAGAAGATGTTTCATGCCAAATATCTAAGCTCTAGCTCTTATGTTTTTTTAAAAGAAGATATTTCAAGTTTTTTCTTTCGGTTGCCATGGCAACCAGAGTTCTGCATGGAATTAAATTCTTTGAACAATTTTTAAAGGTGACCACCAAAGGAACATTCCTGTGAAGTTTGGATGAAATTGGCTTGGTGGTTTATGAGGAGATGTCATTTAAAGTAAAAGTTTACGGACGGACGGACGACAGACAGACGCCTGACGAAAAGTGATCACAAAAGCTCACCCTGTCACTTTGTGACAGGTGAGCTAAAAATATCGCTCATACCTTTTCACCAAAGATGAAGTATGGCGATGGGAACTTGATTTCTCTGTTGCTACAGTTAACCGATGATTTATGTACAAGGGCCGCCTTGCTCTCCGTCGTGAGAACTTTTCTCTTCTCTTTGTGGTAACAAACATTTGGATATAAGCCCATAGCAAGCAATGTGATCACCTAAAATGAATAAAATTGAAGAAATCTTGAAGCTGTATCTATTATCATTATTATTTTTTTAACTTGTCTTCTAATCTACTCATGTTAACGACTTAAAAAGACTGTTATTCAAGCTAGTACAGAAAGTTTAAGATTACAAATTTTACAAATTTCAACCGTAACAGTTACAAAGCCTTTAACCATCATATAGAGCCAGGATAGAGCCAGGCCATACTGCACATACACGTCCATGCAGCCTAACCAGACTTTATACAGCTGCTTGTAAAACTACAATAGTTTTTCCCCTATATTCCAATAATTGACAATGAAATAGTTCAAAACTAAAGTTGGACAAGTCCATTCAGCAGAACCTGGGTGAAATAATATTTTAAAAGCTATGGTATTCATGATACCACATCCATCTTGTTTTATCCTGATATCCCTAAAAATGACAATGGAATTGTTCAACATAGAAGTTGGACAAGTCCATTTACCAAAAGATTGGTTAAATAACACAAAACATAAAGTATGATATTCATACCACATCCATCTTGTTGTCTGGTCCGTTATAATTAAACATCTGTGGCATAAGACATTCCTCAGGGAAATCTGCATTAATGAGAATGTCCCGTATTTGATTTGTTGCTTCACTCGTCATGCGTAACGTGGGCATCGATAAAGATTTGGTCTCGCAGAAATAGCCCTCACTCTGCTCACCTCCTTCCCTAAGTAAGTAAATGGTATAAAAAGATCAAGTATATTGTTTCAATGTCGTTGTTATTTGGCTTAGTTTGTGCGAAAATTGGGCCAATGGTCAAAAAGTATGTTTATTTGAAAATATTTAAATGAAAAATTCAAAACTGTCAAATTGTTATAAACTTGAGAAACAGAAACATTAAACTATGAGACTTTGTTTAGTAAGGTGTTTATTATGAATCAAGGAATTTGTACACACATAAGCATTTTGTTTTTATGTAGATTTTAACACATGATTTGGTAATATCATGGCGGCCGATCTAACTAACCAGATTTCCTGGATAATAAGAAAGTAATTACCAATATCCCAACAAGTAACCAAATATTTATCCAACATGATTTCCGAATCAGCAATGAAAGACAAATCATCATTAGACTTGATGTCTAAGATATATTATCACTGAGAAATATTTCCTTGCCCAAGGATCAAACTAGTAATCCCTGGAATACTAGTCCGATTCTCTCCTATTGTCCTAAGCAGGTGAAGGTCGACAAACCTTTCAATCTCATTATTTAGCTAAAACACTGGCTAAAATCTCAAGAAAAAAATCAAGAAAAAGTATCTCTTTTAATATCTCAAAACAACTATATTCCTGCATCTTGTATTGCTCAAGACTTCCAGAACAAACAAATTATAAAAACATTTACCTAGCTTCCTGCCACTGCTGGAATGCATTGAGTAGAGCAACATGGTCACTGTGCCGGTTACCAGCCAAACTCTTGTGGGCCCAGCCAAGTCGCCTTCTGTCAGAGGGTGTTATAAACGGTTCAGGAAAGGTTGTGCTGGCTGCTATGGTACAAGCAGCATCACCAACACTGAAAAAATATATAGTCAGGTGTTGGTAACATTTTGTCCTGGCACAGTATAGTGCTAATATACTGAGAAAGAAATATTTCCAACACTTTTCCCAAACTCTCAACCTACCCTGCAACTCTACATTTTGGAACAGTTCATTTGAAGTTTAAGGAAACTTAAAATCAAAATACTAATACAGGTAGATAGTATAGTCTAGTCCAAATTAACAAACAGAATGGCCTGAAACTTACAATAACAGGTGGCATATTGTTTATAAATATTGAAACCTATCCCTGCCAAACCTAGTGGTTTAAAAGAACATTCCCCTTTTTGCAAAAACAGCAATAAATTAAAGTGTCTTTGGAATTTATCCAATTCCAATTTTGTCAACATGTCACTACAGTAAAGACAAGAGCATGCCACGTGATGTTATCACTCCTCTGTTTGACATAAACTGTAAGTTAAAAAGGGGCATTGCACTTAAAATATAGCTTTTCAGGATTTTACCCCTTGTTTAACAATTGCACATTGGCAAGACAATCAAGTATTCCTAGTTCAAAGTTTCATGTCGATAACTTGAAAAAAAAAATTTGAATAATGGGCTACATTGGAGTTTTTTCAGGACAATGACATCAACAACATAGCAATCATAATAGCTCAATTTTTTCTTAAAAACAGACAAGCTAAAATGATGGAAAACAAATCTCCTATACATCAATTTTCAGTTTTCTTTATGAATGCTAATAAAGACATATTTCAGGTTTCATGCATGCTGTTCGTCCTTAGCCATTTCATATCATTGAAAATTGCAAAGTTGCAAATATTTTAAGTCCAGGGCCGTTAAAATCTGATTTTGACTTACTTGTCCGTTTTATGTGAAGCATTTTTTAACTTGTTTGTATAATATTTACATAGTTGATTGTTGAAAATTTCCTCTTGTCCGTACAGGTTGTGGGACATCCTGTACAATACAGACAATTGATTTTGCCATCCCTAAATTCATTAATGAAAATTGTACAAAGAACTTCCAGTAGAAACTTCCAGTTGGGAGGGAGTTTTAGGACTGTTCCGGTAATGCTGTTTCTATTGAAACTGTAAAGGTAACATAAAATAGTAGAAATACCCATCTAAACAAGTCAAAACTATGTTCAACCATAGCAGAAAACACTTGCACATAAAATGCAGAAAACTATTTCAATTAAAATTTCTAGTCATGCTAACATTTACTTACAAGAAAATACACCCATAAATGATCATTTTTCCAAGTCTTGGTTCTATAGGCAGTCGAGCTAAAATTCTTCCAAGGGGAGTTAACTCATCATTTGCATCTAAAGCACGCATCTCTGAAAATAAACAATATTTTGCAATAACATCAGGATATTATCTAATTACAAACTGCATGCTGCTCTGTCCAGAAATCAGTAACATTGTCTAATTGACTAGTCCAAAACTATTTAAAAGTTGCTTGTGTCCATGAGTTTTAGTCCCATATAAATAATAACAATTTTAAATGTATTTTTTGGCACAAAAATATTTCTAGATTACTGACTGTGTATTACAGTAAGCAAATGGCAATATCTGTGTAGCACATCTTACCTGCGATATGGTAACTACATATATTCATTATATGACAGAACAAGAGCAAGTTAAACAAAGTAACATACTTTAACCAGCCACTTAGGGTACCCCCATTTCACTTAAAATGCAACAGCAAAAGGAAAATCATAATACCAAAAACATGAACATTCTAAAAATAACCAAAACATGAAAATTCTAAGTCTTAGTTACAAAACATACATTATGAGGTTTACATTCAATTTGAAGGGAAAGAAAATAACTTTAAAGAACAACTTAAGTTTTTGTTGGTTTTTCAGTCACAGTGACCCTAATAAGGTCATATGTGCACCTACATGCATTATTTCTGATCACCTATATGAATATTCTAGAAATCTCTATCTATATACCAACCTTTCAGAAGAGCTTCTGCTTCTATTACAGCATCTATAGGTGGTGGTTCAACTGCCTTGGCAAGGAAGCCCGAGATTGAGCCCAGTCTGAGTAGCTTGATGGATAGGGCCAACTCGTGGAGAGGTGTACGATAAATCTCTGGGGTGGTGTGCTGGTCCAGCCTGAAATATGGATAACCATCAGCCCATTTTTATAACATATAAATAAAGATTAAGAAATTTAAAACAAGTACTTGGAAACAAACATACCTTTCTGAATCATGACAGCCTAAATCCAAAAGAAAGTTTTAATAACAGAATGTAATGTATATAAAATAAGCACAGTACCTGAATGCATCTCTTTATAACAAATTTTCATTATCTCATAAGCAGAAAATTGGATTATAATCCAGTGAGCATAATTTGCATATTTTTCCAATTTCAAAACTAAATGGAAAAGAAACATTTTTGGAAAAAAGCACCAATCCATATAAAACATAGCGTAGTTTGATTAAAAGATTTCTGAAAATTATCAAAGAAGTAAGCTTTCTGCAATAATTGTGCACCTACTTGTCAAACCTCGCCCTTGAGCACAGATGGAAGGCAAATCCCTCCCTGACACGCCCTGCTCTACCCCGCCTCTGTTCCAGGTTAGTTTTTGACGCCCAAACTGTTGCATAGTTGGTCATGTTGTTATGGGATGTGAACAGCTTCATTTTAGCTCTGTAGGAGAATAAGAGAAATTATCCTCAAATAATTTGTTTCAGGTCTTTTTCTTTTAAGAGACACAATTTCACTCAACTATTTTTTGTATAATTTTCTTCGGTTTTTTTTTTGTTTTTTGTTTTTTTTTCAATGTCTGACAAATCATAATGGTAAGTGCTAATCTGTCACGAGGGTTGGAAAATACTTTTATGATGAGTAACATGTTAACTTCATTTATGTTTCATCTAAGTACTGGTACATATGTTCCATGTTATGATGTACCAATAAGTTAACAAGATATTATTGCAGATCTGAAGAAGAAGAAAAATATAAATTCACTAGTGCTTTACATTTGCGATCTTAATTTTTCCCATCCAAACTAGCCAATTTTTCGTCACTGATAAATGATTTAGGAAATTGTTGTTCTTCATTTAGATTCTAAAAGATAAATTTAAACCCAAAAAATATATGTAAAATATATATAACTATCTATTGCACTAAGTTCATCAATCTTGCGTTAAAATCACACTTTATCCAGGAGATTGGACAAGGATTTAACTTATTACAGTGATGGAGACACATAAACATCACAAAGTTGAAAAATATAATTTTTTCGCCACTTCTTAATTTTTATTATCGAATTAGTGTGAAGAGATTAAATAGACACCCTAAAGTGCATTTCGGCGAGTAAAAAGGCCAGAATTTAGCATTTAATTATTCAAGTGTCCTGTCTGGTATATTCCAGAATATGGTATTGGTGTGTTGTTTCAACACTATTTTTTGTTATTTACGCTTGGATCACATAATTAATATTTTTTCTTTATGCTAAATTAATAAAGTATATTTCCTACTTACTTGCAAGAATCGATAACAAAAGCAACATCATTGATGGTAATACTTGTTTCAGCGATATTTGTAGACAAGATAATCTGAAATATAAGAAGAAGTGCTAGGATGAATTTAATAAACTTAGAATGATACATTGGCATGAAAAAGAAGATTTATATAGGGATCATAACTCAAGAACTGTCCCTTTTTGAAATCTTCAAAAAACTTTTTTTTTTTTTTTTTAAGTTTTAAGACACATCAACACTGTAAAGGTCAAATGGCCACTTTCAAGCTTTACTTCAAGAGGAAGACCTCAGGTGTCCATCTGTGCGTTACTCCAGGCACAAGCGTAGGAGTAGAAACATTGGCCGTTCAGAAAGCTAGCTGGATAGCATCCTTACAATACAAACTACTAACTTCTTTAGCAGGATTCAAATCCATAGTGATGCAAGGCAAGTGGTTTGAAGTCAATTACCTAAACCACACATGCCATTGAAGGCTCTAATATTTATATATTTAGAATTAGATGCATTATAAGCAACATTACACTAACAACTTTTAACACATCTGTAAAAACAATATTCCATTGTCGTGAATGTCAATTGTAAATAAAGTTAAAACACTACTATATAAGTTGAAATGAATAGATTTTTTGTTTTTTTCCAAAATATTTTGATAAATATTGAATAACTGAACTCTTTACTTAAGTATACAGACAGCAGATGATCACTGAACAGATGTATAACATAAAGTGATTTTTCATCGGGGGCGTCACAAAATGGCCGTTCAGGCAAGGTGACCGGCGAAAAGAGGTGACCGTTTGTACAGGTTCAACTGTATGCCATATTTATATTACCTTAGTAACACCTTGTGGGACTGGATCAAACACACGTTTCTGGTCTTCTCTCGGGATTTGCGAGTGTAAAGGTAGCAGCCGGAAGTTTCTCCCACCTTAAATATAAATTGTAAATTACTAAATACAGTACTACCTCTACAAAGCAGTACTCTGTAGACCAATAACCTTTTTAACAACAACCATCTGTTCTTTCCAAAAATTATACTTTGATGTGTATACTTCAACCTTGTGTCAAGTTATCCACGTCGCAAAAAAGAAACATCCTATTTTGGAGGTGATTGGAGAGAGATCTTTAGAAAGTGTGTTGAGAACAATTGGTTTAATTTTATCCAGACCACAGGTCTTATGAGGGTTTAGGTTATTGAGAAGTTTCTCAATTCCTTTTGCTCCTATTTGGATATCTGGCATAGAAGGGACAGATTGATCATGTTTAGGGTTCATTTTACACAAGGACGCAAGGGATAGGGGAGATTTGGGGCTAAAGACTGACTGAAATTGCTTATTTAAAGCTGTAGCCTTTGAGACATCATCCAGGTGAAACTTACTTATTTTCATACTTTAAAGCTGCACGCCTCCAGATGAGCAAAAATATTTTGATAAAATTAAACCTGAGAAAAATGTACTAAGATTTTAGAAAGGTATAAAGATTCAAAATTCTAGTAAAAATTTACATTTTTTGTGCGATTAATGACCGAATTTTTCAGTATTTATAACTATATTTCTATTGCGTTACTAATGCAGTAAGGGCTATTTTTGCATATTTTGACCTCTTTATAGTTATTTACATAGCTTGTAAGTGCCATTGATAATATGTTAATTGCATTCTTTTGGTAACTTTACAATATTATACAGTTAAATACATTTTCAAATTTTCATGAAAATTAGCATGAATCAGATTTTTCTTGTTTTGAATGCTTAATTAAGGAGTACAGCTTTTTTGTGTTGGGTTTGTGACCATTTTGGGCATCAATGTTGCTTAAATTTAAGATGTCTTCAAGATACTGGTTATAAGCCTCTTTAACCTTTTTCCGCATGTTTCATGTCAAGAAATTTTTTACGATCAGAAAATGATTTTGATTTATTAACATTTTTAAACGCCCGGTTTCTTTTTCTGATCAGTCTCTTGACATATTGGTTGACCCAGGGAAGGTGATCCCTAATTGAAGTTTTTGGATGGAATCCATTTTTCAGTTAGAGAGTTTAGAGTATCTGAGAAATTTTCCCATAACTCCTCTATATTTAGTGCAGAGTATTTTCCATTTGTCTTCATAACCTGGTGATAGTCAATTAGTCACTGTTTAATGTTTTGCCAGTTTGCTTTTTTATAAAGGGGAATCATAAGAGGCTTTTGGTAACTTATTGACTTTCACTTCAACAATATTGTGGTCACTGTTGCCTGGGAGGATATGGACCTGGTTTACTAGAGTGAGGTTTGTAGTAAAGAAAAATTCAAGGATTTTGACCATTTGGGTGAGGTTGGCATCGTTGAAAATTTCGATGACCTGTCTGTAGAAGGAAGGGTGTCTGCAAGACTGGGATGGACTATCAGTGTCCCAGTCCATCTCATGGGTAGTTGGGATCAAATGTATTAACCTCACATGTAATGTTTTGTTAGTTTTTCCTCAACATATGAATTCCAAGTCTCAAAATATGCTACGTTTTTATAAATTTTTGTTCAATATATACCATTTAAAGGATACAAATTCACAGTCATCTGTACAGGGCACTCAACTGAGGTTTTTTGACATGACAGGACTAAAAAAAAATTCCAAGATTTGTGTACTATTTGATGTTAATCTGGACCAATAACTTATGTGCAAATTTTCACCCCATTATTTCCAAAATCAAAATTTTTTTGTGCTAAATAACCAAATCATGAAAAGCATTGCAACGCTTTTTACATCAATCTGGCTAAGAATGGCACAAAAATCAATTTTTAATTTAATACTGAGCATATTTTTCATTATCCTTTACACATTTTTCCATTATTAAAGTGTGCTTGATCTATCTAAGAATTTCAAAGTTTACTTTTTGAGGATTTTTGACCTCAGTGGAGCCCCTTTAAGGCATTAACACTTTTCCCCCAACAAAGGCTTCATAGTAAGCAACCACAACCATGACCACAGAGACTCTAAATAAAACCTTTCTGCTTAAATAAGACATATACTATTTTTTTGCACATACCGAATTCAGGATGCATTTCTAGATGTTTATGGAGAGCAAAGATGAGATTCCAGCCGGGCAGAAAGACAAGGATGGCTCCTTCTACCTCCAGGGTCTTTATATATTTTATCAACGCCTGAAAATTTAAAATACACAGTCTTAATAATCTTGAAAAGGGGGAAATCTGTAATATAATAATACTGTAGTCTACAGTATAGAACAGGTTATTTATACTAACAAGAGCTGTCCTAAAGACGGCACACTTGACTATTCACAGTTCTCGACAGTAAAAACAGGGGAAAAACTCTGTAAAAAGGTAATTCAGACAATGAAGCCAACGCTGAGATGAGTACAATAGCTTTCCCTATCTCAGACACCTACACCAACACTGGGTAAGTGCAATAGCTCTCCCTATTTTTCAAACAGACAGTTAATACAGAATATTCTCTCATATATAATACTTAAATTAACCATAAATACTGTCTTGTATATGCACATGACAAACATATTACTGACTGGATGTAGCACTTACACAAAAGACGTCATAATTCTGTTATAAAGGAAGGAAACAAAAACTAAATTTTATGAAACTTAAGCAGAATAGCTGTTATAATCTGACTACGATTCCCAATTTTATTTTTTTGTGGTTATATTAAAGCTTATCTCAGGGTAAGTATATCCTAAATATTAATCAGTAATTTTTACTTTCACATACAAATTATTGATTTTTACATAAAATATTTGAGCACAAAATGACCAAACACATCTTTAAATTCAGGAGCTCACATTTGAAGCCCTGTCAATGTTTCATTCTGCTACACAGATCCTATAAAACATCAACAATTAGTTTAGTTAATACAAATTTATTTAAGTTTGTTTGTCTTGCAGAAACACTTTAGAAACACTCTCAAATCTGTTTCTGGAACCAACCAGTACTAAGCAATACATGTAAAGTTTCTTGCTCAAGGAAACAACGGCTTGCCCCTGACAGGGTTTGAACCCAAGCGGTCAGCAATCCTTAGATAACTAGTCTGATGTGTTTACTACTCGGCCATGCCATCATCAACGATCATAATGATATTTACCTCAATAAGTTCAAATGATGTTTCCTTCTCGCTGATCATTGCCATAGCACGTTTTGTGTGCTCACTGTACTCATTGGAAATCACAAGATTCATGTTGTCCTAGCATGAAAACAAAATGAACATATCATATCTATTAATCATCATAACATAAATAGTGGATCATAATGTAAATAGCAAATTATAGCATAAATAGCAGATCATAACATAAAAGTGGATAACATAACATAAATAGCACACTAAAAAATAAATAGCAGGATACATAATTGTAACTTTCATTATAATTCCAACCTCTAAACTACATATTTTTTATAATGTATTCAAAATCTTTGACTATTGTTTCATTATGCCAGTTTCTTCAAAAAATTCAATGAAACTTCAGGGTTTTTTGTTGTGTTTTTGGTAAGGCTTTTATATCACTTAAGTTAATAAGCAATAATCAAGCTTAAATGGTGGAGAGGAGATTGCAGGTGTATTTTTCATACACATTTTTACAATGATTATGAAAAAGCATCTATGTAGGATGAAAAACTAGAACAGAATAGTAGTACACACAGGTATGTGAGCATAGGAAGATTGAAATTTTTGGCATTAATACAGGAACGCAAGTGCTAAATTCAAATGAACTTCATCCTCCCTGAATGAACTTATCCTTTAATCATATAATTGACAAAATATGAAGATAAGTCAATAGTTATTTTAAGTAAATTGTCAAATTCTTTTACAAATGTGAGGGAAAATATCATTAAAGAAACATTAACAGTAACATTTTCATCAGATGAAGATATTTATAGATGATAGAAATGTCAAAGATTTTTTATCTGACCTTAAAACCATATAATATGTTGGGAATGACCCTCAAAATGTTGACCAAGGGAGGTAATATGTTATATAAAACTCATCAATACCTCACTGTCCCCAGTCTCATCTTCTTCATCCCTGTCTCTTTTCTTCTTTCTATCATTTGGTGGCGGTATAAAGTTTAACATCTGTATACAGTCCTCTAGGTAATATTCTAAAATAATGATTAAATAATATTTTGTTAATCATGAAATTTTGTTAATCATGATCAATAAACCACGATTTTGTTAATCATAATAAATAATTCACCATTTGTGTTAAACGTGATCAATAATCCACAATTTTTGTTAATCATGATCAATAATCCACAATTTCATGATCAATAATCCACAATTTTTGTTAATCATGATCAACAATCCACAATTTTTGTTATTAAATGATCAATAGTCCACAATTTTTGTTATAAAATGATCAATAATCCACAAATTTTGTTAATCATGACCAATAATTCAAAAATTTTTTATTTTTTTCTGTGAATAAGTTTTGCACTGTATCAATTTAGAAATGTGACAATGGTCCAAGTATAGTTGGTGATCTCTATACAAATGTTAAGTTTAAAATAAAAGTATGGATAAAGGATATTAGAACTATTGTCTATAACAAAATCATCAAACGAAAAACAATATCTTCATTAATTTGCTTGAAATGAATAATTCATGTGTTATATTTGTATACCTTGAACAGGGTATGTCCTGCCGTAGACTTCTACCACTTGACAGTTACCGAAGTAGTCCGTAAATAAGGTCGTATCCACGGTAGCCGACATCAGAACTACACGAAGGTCAGGGAACGCATTCACCATGTCTCTGAGCAACACTAACAGAAAATCAGTCTGCAAAAAAATCACATCAAAATACAATCACATTGAATCACTTATAAATACAGTATAACCTGACTTTAAAGATAAATGAGTATGATTTGGGAAAATGAAAAAAGATGGCGGTCACTAAAAATAATAAGTGATCAAAAAAGGTTTTTAACATCTCTGGCTCATTTTTTACGACCAATAATGAATGTTACTGTATATATGTATTAAATGGATAAGGATCAATGATGAAACAAACAATACTTACAACAACAGCATAGAATTATAGCATATTAAATAGAAGATTAAATGAGTGTAAGTTCAATACTAAATTTATTGAACAAGTTGAATGAAATCATATTATTCGAGACTCTATTGAGCATTACATTGTTTTATTCAACAAGTTCAATAAATTTAGTATTGAATCTACATGAATAAAATATTCTATTTACAACATACCCCCCAAAATAAGAACTGTTTACAGTCAAAAAGAATTACTTTTTCATGGAAACGCACATAGTGTAACAGCTAACATTAAGCGCACCTTTACACTATGTTTGTATAACGCAAATGAAGTATGCAAGTGCAAAACCATTTTTACAGAGTCAAAAAGCCACTCAAGTGTGTGTTAAAGTACAATTGATTAAAAAAAGAATAAACTTTCTTACCACATTTTACCTTGTATATTTCACCATATTTATTAATCTAAACAAACAACATATAGTCTAAATTCATTATTACCCCAATCACATTTAAAGCACCACAAAGTATGGTACTTTAGTCATTTTAAAATACACAAAAGTATATGATATACATGAAACTCTTACATTAAGATCTCTCTCATGTATTTCATCAACAATCACATGTGACACTCCTCTAAGGCCATTCTCTAATCTTCTCAAAAATGTTCCTGTAAACATAACAGATATCTTAGGTTATGTTATTGCTTTGAAGTTTGTAACACCCGAGGGTTAGCCAAAATCATCTTTCCTTTTTTCGGTGCCATATGACCTATACTGCATTGCTACACCATAATACCGAACATTTCACTTCACAATAATTTATTTCTAAATACATTTTCAAAATTTTCATGAAAATTGACACAAATCTGGTGGCATGCTAATTTAAATGACAAATTATATACATGTACTTGCCTACTGTACAGTACATTATTGCGCCATACGGCCTGGGCATCACAGTTTCAAACCGTACACTGTAACCTACACTGGAACCCAGCCCTTCTGCTCTCTCATTGGCTACTCTCTCAGCTATTGAAATTGCACTAATTCTACGAGGCTGAAAAACATACACAGAATTATTTCTGCTGTATACATGTACATGTATCTAAAATCAGAATATTTACTCATACAGAATATCTACCGAATCGGGTGGGAAAACAACAATTACTGACAAATGCCGGTACAAATATTTAATCATGTCTCAGCCTCCTCCTTAATGTCATAGAGTAGAACTTAATCTTGAGCACATAACATTTTTATAATTTATTTTGTATTAATGTGTATTAGAAGAAAGGATATGAGTTTATAAGATTGCAAATTATAAATTGTCATTACTCATATATTGTCACCTTAGTGCAGTAAAGAGTTAACACATATTAAATCACATAGAGATTTAACCCATTACACACTAACACTGTAAAGGTCATATGGAAATTTTCCAGCTTTAGTGAAGAGGCCTTAAAGGTCATATGGAAATTTTCCAGCTTTAGTGTGGAGGCCTAAAAGGTCATATGCAAATTTTCCAGCTTTAGTGTGGAGGCCTTAAAGGTCATATGGAAATTTTCCAGCTTTAGTGTGGAGGCCTTAAAGGTCATATTGGAGGCCTTAAAGGTCATATGGAAATTTTCCAGCTTTATGTGGAGGCCTTAAAGGTCATATGAAAATTTTCCAGCTTTAGTGTAGAGGCCTTAAAGGTCATGGAAATTTTCCAGCTTCCAGCTTTAGTGTGGAGGCCTTAAAGGTTATATGGAAATTTTCCAGAGTGTATGGTCGGGCCTCTGCAAAGATGTGCAGGTCAGGACTTTCAGTACCAGAATTCTAAATGTCAAGCACACAGTGGTGAAAATTTCACGAGTGCAGTAATATTGAATATAAGTATCAAAATACCTGTGTAATGATAATGTTACAGTTAGCACCTTGCCCAGTTTGAATCATCTGTTCTAATATAAACTGTGGAACCTAGAAAAACAAAATTGAAAAGTAAATAGAACTTGTATAACATTTTAAGACATGCTTTATTGATTCAAACATGCATAATTCTGACTATTCTGTACTATTGAAATCGTATTTATTTAACTTTGATTAATTTTTTTATTCTATTGGTTTAAAATTGTCATGAACATTATACAGACTTTAAGACATTTAAGGAAACAGTGACTTTTCAACTTATTCATATATACCAGATGCCTATAAATGGCCTCTTCCCAATTGGAATTTTCTTTAGAATCATAATCTGAACTTACTCCAACTTTTTTTACATCCAAAAATAGCAATTTTAGTGATAATTGGTCCCAAAATCAAGAGATTTAGACCCCTTCCCAATTAAATGAGAAAAACCACTGAGTGACCAGCTGACAAATTGTGACAGTAGAAACAGAAACAATTTATCACCACAACTTAACTTCAAATATATCAAAGACTAGTTAAACCTCTGTAGATTTACCACAAACTTTTTCTCTCTTTGAATTCTTCCTTTTCATCCATAAAAAAGACCAGTTAACCTTTATAGTTTTGCCACAACCACTTTTCTCTCTTATAAATGCTTATCTAGTTTCCACTATAAGGTAACTTCTAACACATAAAGATAAGACCAGTTTACCTGTGTAGTTTTACCGCAACCAGTTTCCCCTCTGATAATTGTTACAGGGTTGTTGTTGATGGCGTGAAGAATATGCTCTGTTGATTTATACACTGGTAAGTGTGAACGTTCGTCCAGCATCTATAACAAACAAAACTATAGTTACAAAATAATAATTACAAATAATTAAACACAGACTTTATAAAAATCCATTCTACATTTATTCTAGCCTGTAAACTGTGTGCTTATTCATTTACAATTCAATGTTTAATGTAATTTTTAACATTTTAAATAGTGAGCTAATAAATGCCATGTTTTGGGAACCTGAAATTCTGCTTTTTGTTGGAGGGTCAACTTCATTACATGTTCAGTATATGATAAAGCAATAACAAGAGCTGTTTGGTATGACAACGTGCTCAACATTATTCTCAGTCCTTGATAGTAAAGAAACAGCCAAAATTATTGTAGAATTTTCCAAGTTAAAAAGAGCCATAATTTTTCTCAGAATATATGTTAGAGTTATGGATCTTGGATAGAGACATTCTATTATACTCTCAAAAAATGTGTTAAGTTTAAACCCATGCCCTTGTGTAGTTTTTGAGATACCAACCTGCACACAAAACTTAAACAAAGAGTGAAGCCAACACTTGAGTTTTGGGATACCAACTTGCACACAAAAACTTAACAATAGTCTGAAGCCCACGACGATGGCGGGGTGAGTAAACCAGCTTTCCCTATTATTTGAATAGTAGAATAATATTTTTACACTACAAGATCTTGGCATTGCTACACATCACTTATAATTTCACATACCTATATATCTTGTTACCTAATTACATGATTTAAATAAAGTTACAACTGAATGCTGCCTGAAGTATTTTTCATGTAAGACATATGCAAAATCTTAACACAAAAACACACCTTAAAAGTCAAAAACTTTTTTCATTTAATAGAAGGAATGAAATCGCAAATAAAAATAGTTAATGAAAGGCAATTAAAGTACAGCAGTTTTACCTTTTGGAGCATAGAATCGTTGGCTTTCTGGTTCTCCAAGGAGTTGTATAGGTCCTCACTGATGCTTTCTAGAGTGGACTACATAAAAAGAAATAAAGCAAGTCATTACCTCTATGCATTATACCTATAATATCCTGCTGAAACCTTGACGAAAATTTCCATTTTTTCCTCCTTTGGGAATCAACTATGAAATGAAATTTCAGCCAAAGGGCAACATCATCCCAAAGACATGGGGAAATCATTCTTCTAGGTATTTGACATAATATCATTATGCTACAGGCGACATCATCCTGAAGAAATTGTTTGTGAAATGGTGACTTACCATTTAACTGGCATAACAAAAGTGCTTGAAGGAAGAGACTACCTTTCTTGCCTTTTAGTCATGTTCACTTAATTTCAAGATATTTGATAGAAATAATAAAGTACAGTCAAACTCGTGTTAAAGACCACCTCCAAATAAAGACCACCCTGTAAATAAAGGCCAGTTTTTAACAACCACAATTGATAAAATAAAATAGAGTAACCTCCAAGAAAAGACCACTTGTATATAAAGACCATGTTCAGTCCATCCCTTTGATGGCCTTTGCTCACAGATTTGGCTGTATAATCAACAATTCCATTATTTTCAATTTATTTATATCTCTTATACACAACTTGGGACAGTGTATCCTATTAAGTAAATTTATCAATACTTTACCACAATGAAAATAATCTTTAATAATTACTGATTCTTGAAAATAGACTTTAAATAATATAACTTGAAAACTTCATATATGATTACCCTGTTTTGTTAGGAATTGTTGCAAAACTTCAGAAAAAAAACAAAAAGAATCACTTACGAATGCCAGCGGGCCTTCATCAATGTTACAATTCGACCAGGGGTTCCAGTTTTGTTGTGGCGGTGCCCATGGTACGCAACCACCTGGACGTTTGATCCCGGGCTCAAACTCGTCCAGCAGGGTTTTGTTTATCAGAGACACAGTACCATCCTGGTTAGGTTCCTGAAAAATAAAGAAAACCAAAAACCGCTAAAGCATCAAACAAATTTTGTATACTCAGGTATCAAAATGTGAATATTCTGAAAAACCAAAATCAGTGCAAAAGTGAAAACTAAGAAAAAGTAAAATAAGATCCCTTTAACATATATGTAGATGTAAATATTAACTTTGTCTCTTGTATTAGTGCAGTAACAGAATAAGTCCTTCTAAATTTAATAGGAGTTAATCAGTTATTGCACTAAGGTGACGCTATGAGATATTATTCCTCTATAAATTCATTGATATGCCTTATTATAGAAATATTAAAATTCCGTACGACACAACCTTTGCAAAGCATCACCCTTTCGGAGACAAAGATCAGCAACAACCAGGATCTTCATCGCTTTGTATGTTTTATTTACCAGGGCTTCAATTAAGTTTCAAAATTTGGAAGTCAGAGAGTGTAAAATGTCAGACATTAAAGTCATATTATAAAGGTAAAGAAGGAAAAGCATTATATTTTGGAGGTCACAAGTCAAAACCAGGATTAAATGGCTCACAAATTTCTATGAATGGAAGCCCTGAATAACACTTATTGTCTTCTGTGAAGTATATTAAAGCTGGATGCCTCAAGATTAGCTAGATATTTCAAGAAAAATTAAACTTGAATAAAAAATGTACTAAGATTTTAAGAAAAGGTAAAAATATTCACAATTAAAGAAATAATTTACAAGCAGTATGCCATTTAAAACCCAGATTTTGTTGAAATTTATCGGATTTTCTCTGCTTTTACTAAACACGAAAAGGACTTTTTTTTGGGCCTTTTTTTTTCCCCAAAATTTTTGGAAAATTTTCTTAGTTTTTTAAGCGCCTTTTTTGCAATGTTTTAAATTACTTCTTTATTCATTTTTAAAATTTTTTCTTTTTTAAAACTTTTTTAAAAAAATTTTATGAAAATTAGCCCTGATTTTCGATACATTTCTGCTTTTAAACCCTTTAACTTTCATCTGTGTACCCATTTTTATCCAACCCAAATTTTTTTAAACTGCCTTTAAATTTATTTTTAAAAGAACTGTGAAAACTTTCATTTAAAAGGGAAAATTCATTTATTTAATTTTTATTGGGTACCCAAAAAAATATTTGAATTGGGGTTTTTTTAACAGTATAGAGCCCGATCAAAGGGCTACAGGGATGTACAGGCTGGGCCCGGCTCCCATTTCTTGTGAAAAAAGGCTAAAACACCTTTTTGGCCCCCACGGGGAGGGTTTAAAATTTTAAAAAAGGGCAAAAAGCAATTAAAAGGGGTTTTCAAAAAAAAAAGGGTTAACCCAAAACCCGGGGAATTAATTAGGGCCCCCAATCCCTTTTTATTGCCACCCAATCTTATTTAAAAAAAAGGGGAAGGGTTTTTCGGGGCCCCCAACCTTTTTTTCTTTGGTAAAACATAAAATTGGTGATTACCGCCACCTTTCGTAGGGCTATCGATCTGAAATCAATAGAGCACATAATTAAAACTAGACCTATCACTGAAGGTGATTATAGCCCCCAGCAACTTTGATCTTCTGAAAAATAAATAGTCTGAAGAAAAATTTGAACACAAACTATCAACTGTGTACAAAGAAATATTTCAATTAATTATAATCCCAACTGGGGTCTCCAGATAAGCTTGCTATACACCAACTTTGATTACAATATCTCATTCCTAACACTAGTTATTTGTCCAGAAACCATTTTTCTTTTTTTTAGTAACGGTTTAAACCTTGACCTAGATCCCAGGGGGTCCAAATGCAATACCAACCCAGGTCTTCATATAAGCTTGCTATACACCAAGTTTGATTACAATATCTCATTCCTAACTAGTTATTGTCCGGAAAACATTTTTCTATTTTTAGTAACGGTGACCTTAACCTTGACCCCAGGGGGTCCAAATGCAATTTGCACTAACCCTGTCAGCCTCCTTTTTCTTGACCTGGCCTGTGTATGCCTCAATCACGCCCCTGTGGTACAGCTGCCTGACTAGAGAAAGCGCACAAGACTTGGACGCCACTTGCTTGTTCGAACCATGTTCTCGAGCGGAAATATCTGAAACAAAACTTTACTGATTAAAAATATTGCATGTATGGAATTAGACATGATTGTTAAAATAAGTTTATATTATTGCATTTAACGGTAAAGAGAGTTCAGGTATTTCTTTATATTTCTGGTCATGTTTTTTATGCAGATTTTACACATTTTTGCTCATATGTCAGATATCAAAGTGTTTTAAATAATAGAATAATAATATCTGTCATATGTTTCAGTATGAATATTCGGATTCTAACCACAAACATATGTCAGATATTTTTTCTTGCATATCCATATTCCATCATATTTTAAATTTTTTACCATTTTCTATGGAAATATATGTCATTACATCCGTAACTATTTTTTGATAACAGCGTATTGCAACGACTCTAGTTATTTGTTGTTTATTTGATATCAAAGTTTGTAATTAAGATATAATTGTAATTACCTAAATACTTTTCATTTCAGAAAATATAAGTAACTTTTCTTGTAATAATTAGGTTTAAACCATGTATTCAACTCTCCATTATCTATTGCTTAATCAGTAGATAACCTGTCGAAGTTATTAATAGATTAGGAATACTGCCCATTGGTCAATTCCAAGTGGGTCTTACATAAAAAGCTGCATCACTTGTGCAGTCTCTCTCTCTCTCATTCTACTGACCTTTGGATTTAATACAGTTTATTAACTAGAAAATATTTTCTAGTAATTAATTATGGAAGAGGTAAATGTTAAAGTTGTCTAAACACCATGATGGTGATTTAACAACTTGTGAAATGTGTTAAGTTTTACAGTTCTTATTACTCTAAGTGCAAGTTTGTGTAACTTGATGGAATTCATATATTCATAGTGTTTAAATTGTTTATGATAAAGTGTTAGAATCTTTGTGCCAGATGTGCTAATTACTGCTTCACTATGAAGGTGATGTAGGTACTTAGAAAAGTTTGTGTATAAGTGAATGAGGTTGTAAAGTACCTTGATCACCATGTTGGTGAATTAACCACTTAGGAAATTTACACCATGTTGGTGATTTAACAACTTAGGGTTTTCTGAAAATAAAAAGTGCAAGTTCCTCAATCACCATGTTGGTGATTTAACTACTTAGAAAATTGTCTATTAAATTACATAGGTATAATGATTGTGAAGTTCCTTGATCACCATGTTGGTGAAATATTTCAGTTTGTGAAATAGTGAATGAAAAGTGATTTTAATTTGACACAGTATTAGAAAGTGAATCATTAGTGATGTGCTATAAGGTGAATTTTCAGTAATGTCTTTTAATATGAACTTTAGTGAAGTGTTAGTAAGTGAACTTATGTGATGTGTTAGTAAGTGAACTTATGTGAAGTGTTAGTAAGTGAACTTATGTGAAGTGTTAGTAAGTGAACTTTAGTGAAGGTAAGTGAACTTACATGTATGTGAAGTGTTAGTAAGTGTATTATAAGTGATGTGTTGATATAAATGACAATGATTCACGACTCTTATTCTGAAAAAGTGAATTTTCAATGATGACGTAGCAAGTTATTGTAGATGTTAGAAAAAGAAGAACTTTTGTGCATGCATTGATGTAAATAACTTTATAAATGTAGAACATAGTAAATAAAATTTAGATTAGATGGACACCTCTTTTTGTTATATTTGTTATATAAATAAGTATCTAAATCTAGTACTAGACGAATCCCAAAAGCTGAGCATCTTGTTGAGGTAAATTAATCTACTTATGATATCAAATGCCCAATTTGCCCGCAGGATCGCTTCAGTATGAAATTACAATTTCATTCATAACGAAGAAATTAGGACATCCAAAGCATGTCATCGTAAATTGCGCGACTCATCTTGCACCCCCCCCCCCTGCCAGATGAAGTTTCTGGCATAGGTAAAACTAAAGGAAATACCAGTCTGATATGCAATAAACATTTTGGCAGATAAATATCAACACAATAGAAGTTTTAAAGGCCTATTCTCAATACAAGGTTTTGTGGTAATCTTTCAAAGTGTTCATGAACACATAGTCGAAATTACATACTGATATACATTACCCATAGATACATTTAAGAAAATTACAAAAAAAGACTTAAATACAACAAGATTTATGGACAGAATAAACAAATAAACTTCTTATGTTACAAAAAACTTACAAGTTTTCAATTTGTTGACGAAGAATTTCATCTCGGCAATGAAGCTCCTGTAAAAATTCAGAAAACAAAAATTTAAATATCAAATCCAGTACAAATCACTCTATTTAAAACTTTCTCCAATTCCCAAATCAGCAGGGTATTAAATTTATCTGCCCTGCCACCAATTAAAACTCTACCTTTATTTCAAAGCATCAAGACAATTTATGTGTGGTAACTTCATATACTTTAGAAGTAGTATATGACAGTTAATAAGCGAGACCTGTTTGCAGTAAGTACATCCCTATGATATCATGTCTGAGGAGTACTATAAATGTATATACTCACCCATAACGTCTATCATTTATTAACACGGGGGGTCTTAATTTTACATTGCAAGAAGTATTATAGTAAAGGGGGGAAAATAGTCTTATAAGCAAGTTTATAATATTGTACGTCTATAACTTCGCTTTTCTAAAATTTCATTGCATAATCAGTACGTTTATATAGTTTTATATCCACGGCTGCTGTCGATTTATAAAGAAATCTTACATTTTCTCCAAAATATTAATTATAATTATATTATAATTAAAATAATTATGCTTGATGTATTATAAATTCATTATAAAGATTTTTAACAGATTATATGGCCGCATATTAACAGTTGTTTGCAATATAACCCTCTACTAGTGGCTCGGGTCATATTTCCAAACAACCGTTTATATAGGGCCATTTAATCTGTCAAAAATCTTTATAACTAATAATATATGGTAGATTGCCATGGAAGCAACCATAATGTTCTGGTAAATTGTAACTGGCAGTGCAATGACATACAAAAGGTAAACACTGTCAAATTTCCCCATAATGCCCCAAATGTGGGTGGGGGAGAGTAGATTTACAATTAACTGGAGAATTAACAAATCATTTCACCTTAAAACAAAAGAATTTCTCCATAATGAATTATCAATCATTCTTAACATTTTAAAGAATGATAACTTTAACTACATAATAATAATCAAAAAGTTTTCACAATATTATGCAGTGTAATATTGAGTAGAAACCATGTTATTTAAACAACCAAAAGACAATAAACAAAATACTAATTTTCCCATCATTCTTTGGAGGGGTGCATGCAATCAAAACGGTTCCTCTGCTATTATCCGAAGACTGACGGAAAGGGCCAAAAAGCTGCCATTGCATGATAATATACAAGGATTTGATCATTATTTCTAACATCAAAAATCTAAATGCAAGAAAAACTTGCTTATTACCTTCATTCTTACCTTCTTTTTACCTGAAAGAACCAAAGTCATCAAGATATCATCACAGGGGAGACAACCTGTTTGCCATGAAAACAGGGGAGAGAACTTGCAGAATATCCCTCATTCTCGGCAGATGGTCCTCTACTGCTAGGAATCAAACAACATTACTGTACTAAAATACATGCTCCTTTTAAATGAATAAATTTACTTCACACATGAATGAATACATATTATGATTCATTCTAATTTTTTCTCAGCTGAAAACTCTTAATTTCCCATTATATTTTTTTATCAAAGAAAAATTTCCTCCTTCCACTGAGGCATGTTAGGATTGCAATTGTAGTCCTGCATTTCACTGAAGAGAAAACAACACTGATTGGTCAATTTGAAATTGTCAACTTTGAAATCATCCAAACAAATGTTTAAGAATTCGACTGACTGGTTTAACACTTACACTGGCATTCTGTAAATTGCAAAACCAGTCTTGTTTTTTTTTTTTTGAAAATAGAATTCCTTTCAGGACCCAGTCTTAAAACATATCTTAATCAAAGTGAAAGAGCATGTATTTTACAGTTCATGATCAATAATACAAGAAAATATGACAGACTTTAAAGATAATTTAGTTCTTCCATCACTTTTTTGGTGTTAACCACCAAATCAGTAATGTCTCAGGGTACAAATATCACATATATTGATATTGATAAAAACAATTTAATTTTTTTTATTATATTTCTGTATAATTTAAATTAAAAGAACAAAATCAATATTTTCATTAAACTTTTCAACAAAGTTTTGTAAGCTTGAAAATTTAATCCATGTATGTTTGCAAAACAATGGATTAACTCTTAAAATTTTGGATTTTTGTGATCATATTTTGAAAACAAACAAAAAATGGAATGAAAAAGTAAAAAGTTAAAGACAAAACATTTGGAGAGCAGCCTTTGAATAGCAACCCTGTCATTGCTTTATTTCAAATCTTAAATTCAAAATCAGCAAATCAGAAGACAGGGTTTCAGACTGCTTTCCAAACTTGAGTATAATACCTTAACACTGAATACTGCATGAAAATTTCATACACAGAAAATTCTTTTTCTTTTTTTCAAACTGAATAAAAATGTTTCCTTCTAAAGTCTGTCTTTTCTTTAGTACTGATCACCAAACAACATTGTTCTCTGAGATAGATGTCTGAAAACAACGTTGTTTTATTGTTGTTTGATACTAACAGATCTTAAAACATACCACATGTTCAGTTCTCTAGATTCTTAACCCTTCACCTGCTGTATTTGTGTAATGGATTTGCCCTGTCCTAAATTTTGGAACAGTCCATTCAAAGTTTAAGGGATTTCAAAATAATAATACAAAAATTTAGCTACCATCAGTATAGAGCCTGGTCTGCCTACAGGAATGCAATTGATTGTGCCATACTTTGAATTTGGAACAGTCCATTTGAATTTAAAGAGATTTTGTTAAAAACATAGAAAAATTTAGCTGCTAACAGTATAGAGCCTGGTCAGACTGCACATATGAACAGACTGGCCTGGCTCTATACTGGTTGCAAAGGCTGATCACTTTTGTTTCCAGCAGGTTAAGGGTTGATATAAAAATCTCCCCATCAAATATATAATAGTTTTCCTGTTTTTGATTAAAATATCATCAAGTGATAATAAGAATCTTATATTACGTTTCTGTCATACATTGAACCAAGGAATATTGCCACATACAGACTAGCTTACAAACCTTTCCCACACTTTTTTAAATTTAGAAGAATTAGCAACTAGTGAGATTATTTGCCACAAAATTGAAAGAAAACTTTCCCTACACAATTGTGACATTAGTTTGACATTAATGAAACATTCAGCTTTTTCAAGAAGCGAGAACAAAACATGTGTTTTTCATCATAATATTATTTTATAAAATATAATAATATATTATACAAATATGGACTTTTTAGCTGTTGAATATGATGTGATATGTACTGAAAAAATTAATATTGACCGAGGCGATAGCCGAGGTCAATATTAATTTTTCAGTACATATCACATCATATTCAACAGCTAAAAAGTACATATCTGTTTTATTATAAAATCTATAAATAGCTTTTATATGGCTTATCACATCTGCCATTGCATACGACGGAAATCATTATTTTTCAGCCTGTCTACTGTTTCCATAATTTGGCCCTTTCCATTGGCATGTTAATCCCCATTTTTCTTATAAATGAAAAACGGTAATTTAAATAGACTTATTTGACTCTCATGTACACTAAACTCAACGTTTATTCAAAATAATAGCAACAAACTTGGCGTGACGTCATGTCAAAGTCTCGCGTCTTTTAGGGATTCCCAGAAAATCTATTTTTAGAAGAAAAACCGGTGATTATACTCTGAAAATCTATTTTTAGGAAAAAAACAGTGAATATACTCTGATATTGACCTGTTATTTTTTACAAAAAGTTGCTTGTTATCCAATCAGGGAAAGGCATTTCAAAGCTATTTATAGTTTATATAATAAAAAAAGATATACACTAATACAGTTGCTCAGTTTTTAACTTATTAATATTCATTGGCAAATACAGATTTATTACATAGTCAGTTAATTTTTTTAAGGACAACTAACAATCTTTACCTCTTTGCATACTGGTAATTTGTCAAAGAGTTATAAAACACTTCAGTAACAGTATATATGAATATGTGTTAATTAATGATAATTTTTAGCCACCCTTTTGCTACCTGAAAGACAGGAAATATTCTCAACTTACAAAATACAAACAAAGCAGTTACCTTAGAGCAGTAACCGTTGAGTAACGGTTTAACTCCTTACATAGATTTAAAAGGAGTTAACCTGTTACTGCACAAAGGTGACAAGGCATACCATTTTTTGAGTTATGACAAAAAAATGCATTCTGGCTTACTGAAAAATAAGCATCTTTCTTTTATTACAACTTCTGGTTACACGATAAGAACACAAATGACTTGATTTCAATATAAAATTACACATTTAGTAGCAGAGGGGTGAAAAGAACAACATTCAGTTGACTCTCAATAAGTCAAAATCGCTTTACTCAAAATTCCGCGTTAGTCGAAGAATTTCTAAAGTCCCGTCAAATTTCCTTCTTTATCTTTGTATTTTAACTCCGCTTAGGTCAAATTTTGACTAATCGAGACTCCTGTTTAGTCGAAACGAAAATTTGGTCCCGTCAATTAAAGTCCAACATATTTTCATCTCAATTAGTCGAAGTGTGAAAACAGCTGACTGATCAAAGGTCGGCTACATCAAGGTAGATGTTGTCACTCTAATTCACATGTTTCACAGTAATTTTAATTGCTGGTCATCATGTATTATTAACACGTCGTAAAAATGGCTTTAATCCGTTTCTGGACTTAATTGGTTTTAACAGTTAGATAACTAAATTAAGATTACATTTCTTTAAGAAATTTGACTTGTGCCAGTCAAATATTAAAATGAATTTTTGTTGAAATAAATGTGTTATTGTGCTTTTATTGTAATGAATTGTCATGAGTCCTTATTAAAAACATGTGCTTTACTGATGAATACTGACAAACTTGCATTTATGTCATTGATACGAATGTTTGTGTTTATGTTTTACTATTAATATACATGTATTAAATTTTGAATAATATATTTTTGTTCATTTATAATTTGTAGTTGTAAGTGATTTACCGTCATTTCAACGGTTAAATATTGCAGCATTGCGGCTATCAACAATAACAAACCTACTTCTTTGCACATATAATTTGGCACATGTATATACATGTACAAATGTCAACATGATGGCAGCAGATCCACGTTACTCAAATTCCGTTTCCCTCGAAGTAAAATGCCCAGTCCCTTGGATTTCGAGTTACCGAGAGTCAACTGTATATTTATTTTTAAATATATTTTTGTCAATGTAATGTATGATAAGCCATTGAAAAAGTCTGAGCATATGTAAATAGATATGCTGTCAAGCTTCTTCTATTTGAGTCATTGAGTGCCGTGATTATCTATAATGGTAAAAAAAAGGAAATAGATTACCATATTACCATGCAAAACAATACAACATTTTCTCTTGATGACTTTGGTTCTTTTGTTTCCAAGACAACATCATTCTCCATAATTTCTTTTTTGTTTTCTTATTAATTTGTTTATTTGTTTGAATGGGTTTTATGTCACACCGACACAGTATAGGTAATACTGCGACATTCCAGCTTTACTGAAGTAGGAAGACCTCAGATGCCCTTCCGTACATTATTTCAGGGACGAACGGGCATCTGAGAAGAACCATGATGTTCTGTAAGTTAGCTGTCAGGGTTCAGGCTCACAGCAGTGAGGGGCAAGAGGTTTCTTATTAACGGGTAAAAATGTCATTTAGTGAATGTTTAAATTAGCTATTATTGGTGGAAGAAATATTCACCGGCATAATTACTTGAATGCTGCTCGCCGTTATGCGACTGAGGCCCTCGAATTAATAATTCCAAGATAACAAGAGCGCATGACTCTGGCAAACAGGCCAAATCGTCATTTTTTGTTTGTTTACTGGGCCCTGTATGTATTGCGCATAGGTAAAACCGGGCTATAACAAGAGCGCTATCTATGTTAACGCATGGTTTTGGCCCCGTTATAACATGGGCAAAAGAGGGAAAAATAGCCAATTTTATGCTATAATGTGTATTATGTCAGGCACGATCTGGCACAAGAGTAGCTTGGTTCAATCATGCTGAAAAATTTACTAAATTTAGCTTTACCATTTAAGTGTATAAGACACCTCCATATAACTACTGTCCTAAACCTTCTATTGCAAAATTATCCAATTACTTTTACACTATCCTACCTCACCCAACCTACCTATTGTGGTCCGGCCCAACCATCTTGTAGGAGTAGTCGGTTTGTATCTTATTGGTCTGTAAGAACTGATGGAGGCGGGACTTGGCATTCTCCAGTGTCCAATTACCATGAATGTCAGCATTAAAGTCCACATCTTCTGACTGAAACAGATTCGTACCCACATCACATATCTTTGATCTTTCTTATATACAATGTTACAACTTATTAACAATAATTATAATAATAATAATAATATTAATAATCTGTAAATCAATAATAAACAATAATAACTAGAACTATCACTAAATGTGATTAATACCCCCACAAGACTGCTTCGGAAATGAGGATGTTACTAGTAACAGAATACCTTGTAAAAGAATTGAAATATAAAGTTATGGTTGTGGGCAATTAAAGATAGTTGTGGTTCTTGTATGTTGCATTTCCTTTCAATGTGGTTGGCCATTGATGAAGTTTTATTGAATTACTTTGTAATAAGTCCAGAAAGAACAGTTTCAAGTCCCAATGAGTGATTTCTTAATTTAATGATAGAGGAAATCCTAAAATTCCCCTTCAGCAGTATTTGGAAAAACTAACTAAAAGTAAGCCAAAAGTATAGCTTGGTGCATTATCCTAACATTTGAACATAATCCTAACATTTGAACATAAATACCCTCCTTGTTACAAACCATACAACCAGTGCAGCCAAAGATTGTGCCATCTGACCATGGTTTGCACACTTTTCAGTCAGTACTTATTTTGAAAATTTCCCTAAATATAATGAATGGTTTTGTCCTCATTGAAAGATGGACAAGTCCATTTCAGGTATTTAGTGTGGTCACAGTTAAACATTAACCATGACTTACCTCCTCAAGTTGTCTTTTCATTGCTATTTTCTCCATGTAACTTAAAGGTGGACCTCTTTCATAAGGTGGGAGATCTCTTTGTGGGACATCGTCAAAGGATGGCTCATCCTGGGCTCCTAGTTTCTGGTGAGGGGCCTGAACTCCTGGCAGCTGGGCAAAACCAGATGCACTGTCACCATCTCCTTCTCCCATCTCCGATGGTTGCTATGTAAAAATATTTTACAAAACATCTTTATGCATCATACATAACTTAGTTTTCGACATGTCCATTAAATCCCTTTTTCTTTTTCTTTTCAAAATTGAAAAAAAAACACAGCAAAGTACATTATTTCTGGAAAAAATATTTAGAGTTTTTATTTTACTATTTATAACAGAGGCCTACCAATGTAACCAAAAGGCCCCTTCCGAATTGAGCTTTTCGCTTTCCCAAATCAGCACTTTTAGCATTGATAAATAATTAATTTTTTCCAAAATCAATAGACTAGAAGTATTTATTCCAAAAAATCAAAAGGCTAAGCTCTCCTCCAAATTAAGAGAGTACCCTGTTGATTATATTGCAATTTTCTCAAATCATCATATTTAAGTATTAGGGTTACATTTCATGAATGTTAGTTATTTATGTCAAATCAGTAGGATCTAAATTTGTTGATATCAACATCATTAACTAAACATTTAAGCTTAATAATAACATTTATTATGACGGCATACTTAATTTAATAAAATATGTAATAATACCATAACATCCATCAATACATAATGTAGATAAATATCTGATAACAATCTCACCATGCCTGGGACCTCGCTCTGTTTGATATGACCAAGTCGCACGAGATAATTGACCATATCACGAGCGGAGTTTGCCTGTGCATCCTTCTTATTGGTGGAGTTACCAACACCTAGGTAGTCGAACCCTGCAACCTGAACCTCACATTTAAATCTTGGCCTATGCTTTGCTCCAGTCTGACTGAACTCGTAGTTTGGCGTCACTTTATTCTTACCACACCATGCATACAAGAACTGCTTGATATCAGTCATGGTGTTAAGGTAAACAATCAACTGGCACCTAAAAATGTACAAAAAAGAAAACGATGTCATTTATCTGACAATGACAAATATAAAAAAAAATCTTGACAATTAAGTAAATTGTCCCATCGGTACCACATCTTCAGTGATATGGTATTTATACAATCATGTTAACCTGCATTTGTAGCACTTAAAGTCCTATAAGGGTAAAGAGTCAACTTGGCCCTATACCAACTCGGCACAGGTCAACGCGGCCCACTTTTGAAAAAACCAACATATTAAACGTATTAACTTATAACTCTGATTACCTGAGCTGACCCTGATTAGCCTAATTAAATGTCAATGTCTCTCTTTATAGATTTAAATCATGTGTAAACTTTAATAGATTAAGATGTAAAGTTGCAGTAGTCGATACCAGTAAAAACAAGCCAGTAAAATTAAGTTCTTTTTATTCTGACAAATTCACAGTAATATTAAATAACATTTACTCAACGGTATTGGTCAACTTAAATGCATTAAACTTTAAACATCTACATCATACATTGGCGCAATCACACTTGATTATAACGCGACGGGTGGTGCTAGGTCAAGAAAAAGAAATACCGTATAAGTACTTTTTTCTGCGGGAACTTTATTTCTGCTATTTCTGCGGTTCATAACGACACCGCAGATTTAAAAACCGCAGAAAATTAAGCCTTTCCTTTTGTATATGTCGAAATATTTCAACTACCGGGATAGTATAAATACAATACCATGTGTAGTTATCCGCTTTTGTAGATGGGATTTTTTCTTTATGTATCCGTCATGAACAAAATATTAGAAAAAAAACTTACTTTGCTTGTTCTTTTTGTTGAAATAAATAATTATCATGTTTGTATGATTTTCACTCACCCCAAGCTTGATGGGTCTTTTTGTGAATAGTTTAAAAAAAACAACTATAATTATAGTTTGACAGGTGATGCAAAAATGACCCTTGTTTGTTATTTTCATTAAAACCTGCTATAAACACACCTTTTATGTATCTGTACAATATATTAAGTCGACGTGCGATTTTGCCATTGTTTATTTTCACACTTCATATTTATACAATTACAGTATTAAAATTTGTCATTGCATGTTATTTTCTTGTTTGTTTTTAACGTGCATATACCGATACATATTGATTACGATGAAACACATTATCAGTCGTGGAAGTAATGTAACATCATCAAATCTTGAAATGTTGTCTTTTTTTATCGGTTAATTTTGTACAAATATCTTAGTTAAAACGCAGAAATAAAACTCATCAATGCGAGAATGATGACACCGCAGAAATAAAATACGCAGAAATTTAAAACCCCTTATTTTAACAAAAATTGCAGAATATTAAGCCCGCAGAAATAAGTACTTATACGGTATACAAGAAGTGATAGAAAGGTAGAAGAGGTTGGACGGGTCAAAAGAAAGCGGTATAGACAAAAAGTCTGGCCAGCTACATTTCGCCTCTTCAACCCAAACCTCTCCAGTTACTGTGGCCGTGGCTGGCACAGCCTTGGATATCACTAGTGGGTACTTGTAGCTGGGCCCCTAATGACGGATTAGAATGTGAGGGATGATAACCCCTGCTAGAAGGATACCAAGTCAGGGGCCTCTGCAACGGGGGCAGGTAGGCTGTTCCAGGTCGTGGCTGTACGACGGAAGGAGGAGTTCTTGTAGTACGATGTAGATGTGGATGGTAGATGGAACTTCTTGGAATAGTTACTCCTAGTGCGGCTCGGGGCAGGGATGAGGTAATCGCTGACTGGTATGTCCACAAGGTCATTGGTGATGTAGAACATCATGGTCAGCTTGGCTTTGGTCCGCCGTGACTCTAATGACTCCCACCCCAAGTGTTGGATCATGGAGTAACGCTGCTGGTGTTATGGTAACGGTTCGTCACATATCTTGCAGCTCTCCTCTGGACCATCTCCAGCTTGCGTGCAAGGTCCTTGGTATAAGAGTTCCAGACAGTGGAGCAATATTCAAGGCCTGGTAGCACGAGTGAAATGTAGGCTGTGCTCTTGACCTGTTTACTGCTGATGCTCAGGTTGCGTCAAAGGAAGCCGAGTGTACTGTTGCCCTTCTTCACAATTTTGTCAACATGTTGGTTCCAGGAGACGTTTCCAGACATAATTATGAACTCCAAGGTACTTGGTTGTCGAGTCTATCTCGAGTGTGTGGCCCTTCAAGGAGTGCGGGTATATGATGGGGTTCCTCTTCCTGTGGACCCTGATTATGCTGCACTTTTCTGGGTGGAAACTCATGCCCCAACGTTTCTAAAGATTATTTATTTAAGAATTCTAAAATCTAGCTAACTAATTAGCAGATTAGTATTGTTCTCTGGTACTTTCTGTGTATTCCAAATAGCTCTAGGGAATTTTCCTAAATGGTATGTAAAATTTTATGGAGATGTTTTGATCTTTATTCAGTTTATAGATTAAAATAAAATAAAAAATAGCTATTCATTTAAAGTAGCCTGAAACCCCGTTGTATCTATCTATTTACCGATGAATCACAACTGCAGTTAAAATATTTAAATCTCCTTAAATCTTTATTTTGTATAATTTATTTGGATTCTTTTGTCATAATATTTACATGGCAAACATCACTGATATATAGTTTTTAGCTTTGGAATATACGGATATTTACAGACAAGTCCAACAGGTTGAAGAATTAGGTCACGCCATTATATCGATGCATTGTGAGAATCTCTCAGTTAGTCAAAGTTTGGGAAGCCTGACTTATCTTCATGCTAGATTTTTCAATCAAATAGAATCAAAGATGTCTGTTTTAAAATGTCAGCATAAATTTAGGAACTTTCAACACACAGTAACTGTGCGTTTAATAAGAACACACTTTTTATAAGTCTATCTATTATCTACAAAGTCTGACGGTACTGGAAACATGTTTTTGATCATGTTTTGTGGCACAAAACAAATGAGAAAGATTTTCGTGACACTGTTGTAAATGTAAATAATCAGTAGCTACTGCATTTTGCAAAAAATCGAAAGATTTGTAAATAGATAGATATAATGAATAGTACGATACAATGGGGTTCCACTATACTGTTTTAAAAAGAATAAAAAAGCAGGGTTCTCACTAGGACTTTAAAACATGGAGTCCATGGACTCCCAACCCTGAAAAAGTTGGAGTCCAAAAGCACGTCGCAATTAATATGTTTACAGATTAGTCATTCAATGCTCACAATAGCATTGCTGATAATTTGAATCTTCAAGAGACTTCCAAAGTTTATACAAAGTTTATACATGTAGTTATTAAAAAAAAACACTCTGAACTACATAGTATAATTATTGTTTTGTTGTTAATATTATGAAATTATTTCATTATAATGCATCAACACATGGAAATCCGTTTATAGACTGACACGCGCTGACGCATTAATTTGTGTATTTGTGGTTGTAAACAATCGGTAATGTTTATGCGTCCCCAGGCAAAATTAAGCGTACGTGGAATCCTTGCTCTGAAATATTTGCGTCCAGCTGTAATAAACATGCGTACCGGGACGCCGAAATAAGCGTCCCTGAGAACCCTGAAAAAGTATCATCATAACATAGCGGATATGGATTTTAACCAATGATTTCATTCCATTGAGTCAAACTGCTAATGGGGACCTCTGCAAATCCCGAGTTCTATGCCTACTGCACAGCAAAAGAATATATGGGCATGACTTTGGAAATCAACTTTTCATTACCGAAATCAACTTATAAAATCACAATTAAGCGTTTTATTATATTTTTTTCATTATAATACATTACAATAGGTTAAGTTTGACTTTCATGCTAAAAATTAGTTCGAAATAATTATTAATAATGAATTTAGAAACAAATAACTAAACATCAAGATTATTCCCTGATTTGTCACGAACCGAAATATATGTTACAATACCGAAATCGACTTGTAAAATCACAATTAAGCGTTCTATTATATTTTTATCATTATAATCTATTACAATAGGTTTAGTTTGACCTTCATGCAAAAAAACAGTTCGAAATAATTATTAATAATGAAATTAGAAACAAATAGCTAAATATCAAGATTACGTACTTAATTCCCTGCATGATTTGTCACGAACCGAAATATATGTTACCATACCGAAATCGGCTTGTAAAGGTTAAAATAAACATTTTAATAAGTCTTGTTTAATTAATTAATATAAAATCATTCAAACTGAACCATAAACAAAGGAAAATAATATTTAATTATAAAAATGATGATGTTATAGACGGATATGTATATTATATCATGATTACTTCCCTTGTTATTAATGTGTTGCATTACCGAAATCAAATTTAGATTTCATTTCAAAGATGAGAACAACCCCTAAATAATTTGCATGAATTTCAGAAGTCTATGAAAAAAAGGTATTTGAGTGAGTTTTAAACATTGAATTCATATCGCTTATTTTCAATGTTTAGATTTTCCCTTTAGTCAGATAACATAGAAGCGTATCATCTCTTTGATGTTTCTTAATGATTTCAAAATACAAGATTAAACAAAACTGTGTTTGAAGTTATCCTCCTAATTTAGATCACTGTTAAAATAGTTGATTGGAAATTATCACAGTATTTAATTTAAATCCAATGATTATGATTTGATTAAAATAAAAAGACGTAGCGGTAGCCATTCATCATAACACCTTTACTAATAAGGAGCAAGCAACGTGCTCGGACAATGGAGGTGTTAGTTGACACAATATACTCGTTAACCGCAATCCTTTAATATACATCGGCGCATGGAAACTTTAAAGTATCCAAACAACATAATTAGACATAATTATTTTACATGAACTTAAAGCTGCTTGTCTCCATTAAGACAAAAAGTACATTACAGTTTAATATAAAATGACGTATAGCGACCATCCCTATATAATATATATCAAAATACTTTTTTTATAGTTTTATAGTATAGATATTTCACATCTAGTAAGCTTGTAAAAATATAATCTTATATTACATGTAAGTAAATTGTCAAAATATCTGTTTTAACTAACATGTAGGGGTGGTCGCTATACGTTTCCGTAGAAAACATTTCTGTATATGAGACAAGGTGCTTTGATATTATTATTACCAAATTGTTCCAAAAATGTATGCAATTTTTGATGTCCCGGATACTTAACTACATATTCTACTTATTGAAAAAGTGTTAAGTCATGATGTTATCGATTTAAAATCATTTTAAATTTCATATCTGTAAACAGCATAAATTTATGGAATGACTGATATATATTTATATGATGGAAAAAATGGAACACTTTATACTGATAAATTTCAATTATGTAATGTTGTAACTTGTACGATATGACATGTTGTGTATTACTGTATTAAGTAAGGTGTGAAGTAATTAAGACAGGAGGTACAGTTGACATACAATGTATGTTAAAGATAAAAGATTATAATGAACCATCGGTTTATTTCGTAATAAACATTTAAATAAATGACTAAAATATAAAAATATTATAATAAAGAGTCCCCATAACATATGTTAGCGATTTGTTAATATATAGTTTAACTGTTCAATAAAAGAAAGACACAAACTTTCCAATTTCCAATTTTACTGCCTGATACATTATACAATTTTTATGGAACATTTTTAGAGCAGTCGAATTATATATCTGTATTCAAAATTATAATAGAAAATCATAAACTTCCGGTTGAAGCTGGATATTTTTTTCTTCATAAAACATAAATATGTACAAAATTTATAATTATCTTTAACTCATATTACAGAGTATTTTATTTTTCCATCATAGTCCGATCAAAGCTTTTAAAAAAAATACGATTTGATTAGAAAATTGTTATGCACGAAAATCACGTGCAGGTATATAACATGCTAATAAGGCGGTATCAGACTTTTTCTTAAATCATTCAAATCATTATATACATTGCATTCTAATATGAAATGGTATTCGTCTTCTAAGACATTACATGAAAAACATTTTCTATCATTTAAAGGTGAGATGATACTCTTTACCAATTACCTTGTGAGATCTTTACAAAACCGTTCAACATTGATAATATTTAGATATGGTTGAAACTTAAAAACAGAAATATGTCTATAAAATAGAGCTCTACTAGAGTTATCTAATCTACTATCTACTAATTACATACATAATTTAAACTTCACAGCTGATTTCGGTAATGCTAAACACATAACGGGTTGTTTAGAACAAAGGGAAGTAACTCAATAATTACATTTTTGTTAATAACACCATTAAAATAAAATATTTTCAATAGATTTTTTAACTGAAATTCTTTTTCACTATTTTTCATCAAATAATGAAGGAATAAAAGCAATATTTTAACTAGGTTGGTTTTAACGAGTTGATTTCGGTATCGTAACGTACCCATTAAACTGGACTTAGTCCTTAACAAACGTTTACGTTTATTATAACCGACCACATATAAAATATATCATAAACATAATCTTAATTAAATAATAAATATAGTTATTCTTAATATAAAACTAAATATAATTTGATTAGTATACTCATTCAATTTGTTAGGGCTTTTCATATAATAAAAGCATTGATTGAAATTGAATTTACTAGTTGTTGTTGTTTAGTCCATCATCTTTATATAGTGACACTTATATATAAATCTACTGAGCCCTGAGAATTTACTCCAGTTATAACTTGTGATCGTTTGGTCTCCGTGTAAAGCATTGATTCTCATTAGAACCTGACCACTATTACACGTCTAATTAATTGCAGGTGGTCACTAATCAAATTTGAATGAATGAGTCAATCATTATTATCACCTAATTAATCGGTATCCTTAACATACACATTGATTGATAATAAAAGCCCGTGGCAATAGGGAGTCCTTTAATGTCTTTTACCAATTTCATTTAATTTGTTTGTAATTGTCAAAAGCGTTAAATTAAGACACAGATTTAAATTAGATTTGTAATATAAATCCGTGATTAAGATTATCATTAAAAAGTTCGTTACTGTCAATCCGTGTATTATAAATACTTACAATAATTACAATAAATAGTGATAACACAAACCTAAATATCAATAATTGAAAAGTGTGCCGAGTTGACCCGTGCCGAGTTGGTATAGGGCCGAGCTGACTCGGGGGCCCCCCCGAGTACGTTTTAGGGCCGAGCTGACCCGTAATGAATAATTTATGCTCGGGACCGAATTGACTGTAATCCGGAAAAAAACACAAAAAACATTTTTAATGCTACAATTCTGGACAATAATTGTTTAATATCAGACCTAGTTGGGTCTTGATCTTGCGACCCTGCGCTTGATAAACTGTAAATATAACACAAGGAACCGTTTCCTATCAATGCAGAAAATGTTATTAAGAGTAGTCTCCCTTACCTTAATAATTAAACTCAAAGCGTTTTATTTACCAGAAAGGTAACTATATTAATTTGGGAAACTCATTCACTACTGTAAGTAAATAAATAACCGTCTGAACAAGTATCTAGAGTCATACGATATTTTGTGAGAAGAGCAAGCTGATTTTAGAAAGAAGTATAGTACAACTGATCATATATTCTCTCAGAAAATGTTGGTTATTCTTTTCTTATCAAGGTGTAAAAATGTATATATTGTTGTGGTCAATGGATAGTATACATGTACATGACCTCGCCCACTTATTTTCATAAATATCTTTTTTTATACTAATAAATATTTTTTCACTCAAAATGTTTATAAAATATCTTATTTTCAATAAAACAACAAAGGAAAGTTGTTTTTAAAAATTTCATCCATATACATGTACCATACTGTAAATGTATAGTACTACTATATTTATAGTATATACTGTATGGTGTCAGCTTTTGAATTGTAAAAATGATAAGATTTGTATACTGCAAATACTGCATACTCGGTATATGTTAGATATGGGATTGAATAACCGTGGCTTTCTTTTGTTAACCTTTTACCCCATGAGCATATTGCGAAAAATTGCCGTTTTCATTGAAGAGCCTCCTGTAACAAGTTCAAATTGCTATGAAACTATGAAAATGCTTTAATACTGATGAAACTAGGCACCAATGTTGACTAGACCATAGCCTTTGTAACAGCCTGCTCAATCATAAATTTTCTGTTACCATGGAAACGGGGGACGTCTTAAATTTGCCAAAAATCAATATTTTGCATTGTTGTTTTTCATCAAAACTGATTTCAAAATGCTTCAACTTCTCAATGAATTGAGATGTAGTAAAAGGCTTTTCTTGGCGATGAGGGGGACTACCGCCCCCTTTAAATCCCTCCAAACAGGAGGGGGCACATCCTCCTTCTGGCAACCCCTGATGTACCATTTTGATGGGGGACAACGCCGAAAAGGTGCTCACTTTTTTAAACAACATTTCTCAAACGAAAAAAGTGTTTGGGGCCTAAATAGGGCACTTTTTCACTGTTTGAGTCCAGAGGAGAGCTGCAAGATATGTGACGAACCGTTACCATAACACCAGCAGCGTATCCTCCATGATCCAACACTTGGGGTGGGAGACATTAGAGTCACGGCGGACCAAAGTCCAGCTGACCATGATGTTCAAGATCACCAATGACCTTGTGGACATACCAGTCAGCGATTACCTCACCCCTGCCCCGAGCCGCACTAGGAGTGACCACTCCAAGAAGTTCCATTTACCATCCACATCTACATCGTACTACAAGAACTCCTTCTTCCCTCGTACAGTCACGACCTGGAACAGCCTACCTGCCCCCGTTGCAGAGGCCCCTGACTTGGTATCCTTCAAGCAGGGGTTATCATCCCTCGCGTTCTAATCAGCCATTATGGGCCCAGCTACAAGTACCCACTAGTGATATCCAAGGCTGTGCCGGCCGCGCCCACCGTAACCGGAGAGGTTTGGGTTGAACAGGCGAAATGTAGCTGCCCAGACTTTTTGTCTATACCTCTTTCTTTTGACCTATCCAACCTCTTCTAACTTTCTATCATTTCTTGTATATTTCTTTTTCTTGATCTAGCTATTAATTTACATTACTGTTTTAAAAAGAATAAAAAAGTATCATCATAATGAAATAATCAAACGAAAAAAGTGTTTTGGGCCTAAATAGGGCACTTTTTCACTGTTTGAGGACTCAAAGTGGGGTGCAAAAAGCCTCAAAACACGTCTATATGAAGGAAAATGTTAATAATGTTTCAATAATGGATTTAGAACATGTAAGATATTTAACAGCTGAAGAAAGTAGTGCTGAATGTGCAGTAGTGTGTCGTAAAGGTAGAAAATGTAAACAAATAGTATTTTTGACTTCCATACAAAATACTAATTCACAATAATTATACCGATTGCCAGCAAAGCAAATGATGCAAAGATATTTCATTTATATAGCAAATAAGTATTTTTTGTGGAAACTGTAACAAGACACCAAATATTTAAAGTTTTTGAGAAAAAAATGAAAGTAATTTCTGAGGCATTACGTGCCTTTAAAAAGTCTTGTTAAGTTCAGTTCATCCAAATTAAGTTGGAACAGTGATGTTCAATCTTTAAGCAAATGTTTAAACTACCTTTTATATAAATCAGAGTTTGTGTTCGAAGATTATTTTAGCATACTTCCTTGGCAACCGTCTTCAGCTTTTGTTAAAATTTAGATGTATGAATCATAAAATGCCAATTGAGAAATGTGGATTCCTAAATATAGAGAGAAATTTACGTATATGAACTGTATGTGAGTCAAGCCAACTGGGTGACGAAGTTCACTATTTCTTTTATTGTTCACATATTGGTAATAGTAGACGTAAATTTATTAAACCGAATTATTAAAGGTATCCTGATGCATTGAAATTTGAAGATCTTTTGAATAGTAAAAAAAATCACATTAAAAAAACCTTGCTTTATTTTGTAAAGAAATAATTACAACATGCAAATAATAAGTATAATGTTGTATCATTAGTCTTCTAGAAATTTTGTTAATGAAGCATAAGTTTCGGTTAGTATTAAGAATCTAGTCATATCTAGAATCTTATTTTGTGGGTACAATACAATTGTCGCTAATTCTCCTGTTTTTATGTATATTTTTTTATGTATATTTTTCTGTGTTCCAGCTGTTGCATGTTCACAATTTTATATTTTATGTAAGATGTTCTATATGAACCATGACAGTATTGAATAAATCTTTAAAAATCTTATATAAATCTTAAATCTTAATGAATAGTAAAAACAAATCACATTTGAAACACTTGCTTTGTTTTGTAAAGAAATAAAATTTTACAACATGCAAATAATAAGTATAATATTGTATCATTAGTGTCCTGGAATATTTTGTTAATGCAGCATAAATTTCGGTTATCATTAAGAATCAGTCGTATCTGTATTTTATTTTACGGGTGCAGTATAATTGTCACTCATTCTCCTGTTTTATGTATATTTTTTATATATTTTTGTGTGTTCCGGTTGTTACATGTTCACAAAACCGCCTCCGTGGTCGAGGGTTAGAGTCGATGACTTCTAATCCATTTACCTCTCTGGCGTTGGTTCGATCCCCGGGAGATTCTTTATTAGTTTAGCGCGGAGAAAGGTAGTCTAGTACTGGTGTAACTCTCCAGGAACGATGGTTAGGAAACTGCCCGCATATATGACTGAAATACTGTTGGGAAAGGGCGTAAAATGAAACAAACAAACAAAACAAACATGTTCACAATTTGTATTTTATGTCACATGTACTTATTGAATAAATCTTGAACTCTTGAAATCTTCTTTTGTTTTCTACACTATTTCCACTACTTCTCATCATGTGAAAATAAAAACAATAAAATACTTTACAAGTACAAAAAATGCAAATAAATCTTTCGTATTAAATTTAACTGAAGATTTATTTCTACTTCACCGTTAAATATACATGTATAGTACTGGTCAGGAGCCCATCAACTGGACAATTGTTGAACCTTTTTGCATACAGATTTCATAATATTGGAGATAGAGATTTGAAAATTTAACATCTATAGTACAGCCTAGGTTCTTCTCCTAACTAATGAATTGTTTATCGACACTTATAGACGAGGGTTTCAAAATTACCTAAATTGTCTACACTATAGTACCATGTGTAAAGATGGAAGACACATGCATTAAATTTATTGATGACAAAAAGTGACCGATTGATGGACAACCACTGGACAAAGACAAAAACTAAATCAGGCATTTTTGGGGTCATCCTGGTTTTAATGGTTGTCCGGTTTTGGTGTTCAACCAGTATGTAGATTATTGTGCGCTCACAAACTGGAATATTGTTCTAGAGTGACTGACATACCTTGCAAAAAGCCCTCGATCTTAGATTAAATTGAAAATTTTCAATAGTTAGCAGCTCATTATGACATGTCATACCTAAATTACAAACGCGTTGTGACTGAAATGCTCAATTTCTTGGATTCGAAATCGCTACAACAATGTAGGTTACCAAATTTCATTATCATATTCTTCAAAGTCAATGACCAAGTAGTTGCGGACATAAGACTGTCTTATTTCCACCATAAACCAAAATTATAGTATTCCTGTTTTAGAACCAACTTCTATTCTAACGCATTCTCCAAGTGGGACCATATGAGTTGCCCATATGGGGCCACATGGGTCTCCATTTAGAACCAATATCGATCCCATATATATTGTTTGCTGGGTAGCGCCATGCAGTCATATTTGGGGTCTGTAGTTGGATTGTACCATGCAAATTTAGATGTAAATGGTTCGTAGCAACAAAATGTATTCGTTATTAATTTTGTCTTTGAGAGTGTTTGTTTTTTGACATGTTTGAAATGATTTACAGGATACTTTTCATCCAGATATATATTTTGTACATACAGATGTCAGTTCTCATGAAAGAACTTTGAAAGATGGCGACTTATTCAGTATATTGTTGTTGTTTTTATGTTTAAAAAAAACAATTATAAGAGTAAAAATATTTTATGAAAAATTTAAATGTAAATAAACCTAAGCATAAACTTTAGAAAAATTTTAACATTTTAAGTTTTTAACGTGTTCTTAAATTAGTCAATCCATATTTCCGTACTTTTAAAAAATAACTTTTCGTTTCAAATGTCTTTTCGTTCTTTAATGATAATTTCTAATCTTCAATTTGGAGGTAAATGTCAAAATCGATTGCATCAATGGCCAGGTTGGAATTTATTGCAACTTTCTTCAAATTTTCTGTATTAAGATGATATCTGGCCACAATCATGAGAAAGATGAGGAAGTTATTTCTATTGTAAGTATTGTGTGTGTCAGATTTATTCGTATTTTAAAGGGAGATGTAGCACAAAATTTGTTTGTGTGGGATGGGTCAACGTGAACTTTTATGTTTTGGTGACCGAGTTTTTGATGGCAGATTAAAATTAAGAACTTCCAAAAGAAAATCATTTCGTTTC